ACTAGGGTTCGGGAGCCTTCGGCCGGCCCTGGACATGCCTACAGGGTAGATCCTTACAGGGTAACTCCTACAGGGTAGGTGGCTACAGGGTAAGTCGCTACAGGGTAGGCACAGCCGGCCAAGGCAACAATGAGGTACGTTTACACGGGTTTGGAGTTGTATAACTCTATAATGATCCCTCCGCTGGTTCACCAACGGAGACCTTGTTACGACTTTTACTTCCTCTAAATGACCGAGTTTGGATAACTTTCCGGCCCTGAGGTGTCGTTGCCGACTCCTCTAGGCCAGTCCGAAAGCCTCACTGAGCCATTCAATCGGTAGTAGCGACGGGCGGTGTGTACAAAGGGCAGGGACGTAATCAACGCAAGTTGATGACTTGCGCTTACTAGGAATTCCTCGTTGAAGAGCAATAATTGCAATGCTCTATCCCCAGCACGACAGAGTTTAACAAGATTACCCGGGTATCTCTACCAAGGAAGTACTCGCTGCCTCTGTCAGTGTAACGCGCGTGCGGCCCAGAACATCTAAGGGCATCACAGCATTTAACTGCCAGACTTCTAAAAATCTAGCATCCAACCTACAGAGTAGATCTCCTCGTACTTCGATTTATCGGATCTATTTACGAGAACCTGATTCCTAAGGGGATTAGCACGTACCTTAAGCCTTAAAGGCCCACTTCTTTCCGCGCGTTGCGACGGTTCAGCGCAGCCTGAACTCGCCACAAGGTTGGCCGCCTATTGCTTACAGGGTAGCTACAGAGTAGCTACAGGGTAAGTATAGGGTAGGCGTTCCTTGTACCAGGTAGTGTCGCTGGTCTCAAGCAGGTTACTGCTTCTCCTCCCGATAGTAAGGGGCTTCCCTAAAGGAGACAAAGATACCAACTAGCATCAAACTTTTACAGGCCTGTGATATAGATATATAACACGCAGTTAACCTGTTATTGCCTCAAACTTCCATCCGCTTGAGCGGATAGTCCCTCTAAGAAGCCAGCGTACTGCCAAAGCAATACGGGCTATTTATCAGGTTAAGGTCTCATTCGTTATCGCAATTAAGCAGACAAATCACTCCACCAACTAAGAACGGCCATGCACCACCACCCACAAAATCAAGAAAGAGCTCTCAATCTGTCAATCCTCATTGTGTCTGGCATTTAGAATAGCTTGGATAAACCAAGCCTGCCTCACAACACAGGGCAGCTAGGCCCCAAATCGCCTCCCTTACTTCGGTTATTCGGACCTAATTACTGTTTTCTGTGTCCAATTGTCCTGGCTGCTGCAAGCCCTTAGAGAGCGCCATGGAATTCAGTATCTATTATTTCTGCTTAGAAAAGTCTGTCCTTTTCCCGGTATACTTCTTGTGTAGTGTTGTCTTTCTTAATGGTATAGTCCCATCTAGTGCGGGTTATGCCTTTGTCGTTTAATTGTGATCCATCTGAGTAGATGACAAGGTCAATGTTCATATTTCTCTCTTATAACCATTCCTTGAAGAGCTCTGTCTTTTTGTCTTTGTCCTTTCAGATGAGGGGCTTTTTTTATGATAGCTTGGTGAGTATTGGTCTCTAGAAGTCAGGGATTAGCTGGAAGTTCCTTTGTAGCCTTGTTAGTTCTTTGTGAGCTTGTACTTAGAGCCTGCCAACAAGAGGGTGTCTTTGGTCTAAATGTCTGAGCCGTAGGCCGTGACGCCGTCTTATTGCCTCTGTAAGAACTCCTGCTGGAGGAATCTGTGATTCAAAGTGTAGGATATGTCCAGGATGTGTTTTCCAGACCGGCAGGATAGCCCTGATCGCCGTTCGTAGTACAGCATCTATCGTTTCAAAAAGCCCCTTAATGCGATATGCTGATGTCTCACCTGAGCTCCTGATTTTTTCGATTCCTGGGTACCAGGCCTCTAAGCCATGTGTAAGAATAGGAATAACACAAGCTTTCACAGCTCTCCTGGTTGACTTTACTGGGAGTCCTTTGACTGTGTTGTATAGTCCTCGAAGGTGATTTGTTACCTTACTAGCTTTCTTAGCCCAGTGAGAAACATGATCTTTAAAATTTAGTTTTCTATCCAGAAGGATACCTAGCCATCGCATAGAAACCTTGGCTATTTTGTTCATTGTCCTGTGGCGGACTGGAGGGTTGTCTGAGTTCTTTTTCCTTGAGAAGTGCATGATCTCAGTTCCGTCGGGGGTTAAATTCAATAGCATTGTTGTGTCCCCATTGGTTGAGCAAATGAAGATTTTCAGAAGCCTAAGATTGTCGGGGCTTTTTGCCCACTGTCCTGATACAGCCTTGGATCATGTTGATCAAGCTCTGTGTAAAGGCATCCACCTGGCCAGGGGATACACCCAGCCAGGGGAGCTCATGAATCCTGGTTTGGACATTATCCGCCAGCTCTTGTAGTTTATCGTCCGGTACTATCCAATGATTGGCCTTGGGGATTCGGGCCAGATCTCGGTGAATTGGGACAACTATTCGTAATGTCTTATGATCTGAGGTGCACTGAAGTGCATCATTGACTGAGGCTTCAGCCATGGGCACATCTGAGAACACCAGATCTAGTATATTTCTGTTATTATGTGTTGGGACATTTGGTTCAGAAATCAGATCCAGTCCGTGGTCTGCCATAGTCTGTGCAAGTATAACACCACCATGATATCCTGGATTGCTCGAGTCCCAGGATGTGTCGCTAGCATTAAAATCTCCAGTTATAACGCAGCCAAAAGGTGGAGTCCATACTTCCAGAATGTCATCCACTTCCTGTGGGTTGTCACATGGCCGGTAGACACTGGCAAATGTAATGCCTTGTACCTTAACCCAGGTGATGTCTCGTGTAGCATAGGGCCGAAGTTGATCCGCTTGAAGGTGTTTTCTCACATAGATGAGAGATCTGGGTCGTGTATTGTCGCTGTCCCAGGAATCCACTGGGGAGTATATATCGTAATTGGGGTGTGTCTTTACTCTCATTCTCCTGCCTGGTGGTATGCCAACCCAGGGCTCTTGTATCAGAATGATGTCTGTTAGCATTGACTGATGACAATGGTGTCGGCATCCTTGGGATGAGCTGTATCTGTTGTGTCAATTTGCATTGTGGTGTCTTTGTTATTATTGTTAGGCATTGACCCAGCTTGGTTTCTGCCTGTTTCATTAAAGGCCCTGGATCTGGCTCTTTCTCTAGCCAGCCTTATTTCCTGGATTTGCTCCCATGTGTGCTTGTGGATGATGCCTTTCACAACCTTGGGGCGTGCAGGGCATTTGTCGAAGTTGGCAGCATGAGGTCCTTTGCAGTTGACACACTTTGCAATTGGTTTTTCGCATCCCCCCTGGTGTACTGTACTGGCATAACGTGCACATACTTGCTTTTCACATCGGTAGTTCCTACCATGGTATCTGAAGCAGCTCGCACACTGGTGAACCTTGGGGGAGTATTGAATGTGCCTTGAAGTCATTAAGTGAGCAAAAAGCGTGAATGGTTTCTTTGCTGCACGGGGCAGAAAGATCACCCATGTAGTCTCTGGATCAGAATCAACTGTGTTCCTTGAGAGTATGCACCTTAAAGGTCCGTCACCTGTTTGGGCTTTAACTTCCTTAGCAACAGCAATGTCGGTAATATCAATTGTCAACCTTTCCGCACTGATGACCTTTCTTGGGCATCCATCGACCTTGTAGTGATACCAGACCGTGTGGGTCTCAATCTTTTCTGTCTTAAGAATATCGGTGATTTCTTCTTAAAAGGCCAGGAACTTAGCCTGAGTTGGCTTGTCCCTTAGGTGTAAGGTAAATCCAGAGGGGCACCAGGTCACTTCTCTAAGCTCTTAAGGGTAGAACTTAAGTCTTCTATTCAGTATAGACTTTATTCTGTAAGGCTCTAGGTGGCTATTATCCATACGAATAAAGACCCAGAGATCATCCTGTTTCTTCTTCAGTTGGTTGGCAGTGATGAGGGCGCCAGGCTGTGTTTTCCTCATGGTAGTGTTGACTGTCCGTGGATGCTGCCGCTGGCTAGAGGAGACAGCTTGGGCGAAGGTCATGGTGGGCTTCACCATCCCTATCCCCCCAGGAATGGTCTTCCTTTTGGGCGGATCTCGGGTTTCCAGCCACTCGTTCTGACATTTAGAGAAGAAAACGCTGAACTCCTTGGCATGAGAGTATAGTTCAGTTCCAGCTTTCTTAAGTGTCTTATTAACTGCTGTAGCACACTCCTGAAATATTGTTATCCTGGCTTTATAGAGGTGCTTGTCTTTAGCCAGTATTTTAGTAATTTAGTCCTGGTATTCTAAGGAGGAGGCTTTATTCCTTATATCACGTGTAATGGCTTGGTCTGTAGAGATTTTGTTTAATTAAGATCATTTCATTCTAGTAGTGCTACTGTTATTAATATTTCAGGATTTTCTTTTTAGAGGGGAAATAACAATGAAGTCAGCCTCAGAGACCTATGACAGGCTGCTGCTGATGTCGTCAAGCAGCGCTTGGCGGAGCCTGCTCGGAGTTGCCGGGCCGTATGTCTTTCTAGGGGCCGGGGATTTGAGCACGCCGCCAGTGGTCGTCTTTGGGACGGCCACGGGCGTGTTTGGGGGCCCGTCGTGGAAGGGTGCCATCCGGCTTGTGAGAAAAATTCTCTTATGTCTTGACAAAGATAGTCAGTTACTGAAAGAAGTGCCTGCTTTAGTTGTTTTTGGCAAGTTTGTTGTCTTTTTACTCCTGGCTTTAGCAACCCACCACACTTATCCGCAGCAGAGGCTGAGTCAGCACCATATGTGGCTCATCTCGGACCAACATAGCACCAGGATCCCCTCGCAATCTCTATGCCAGACTAAGCCCAAATTAAAAAGTTCCGAATCCTCTGATCCTCCACCGCCCATCTCACCCGTCTCCTGACTATAATTATGACTTTGCGTCCGTGAGAAATCAAGGGATGATCATGTTCTGTTATCCTTGCACCACACTCCGCGCCTCCTGACTTGCGACTTCGATCGGTATCGGTATCCCAGCATTGTTGACTAGTGCATAGGAGCTATGGAGGGCCTAGAAATTGTGCGCAATGTGCCCAAGGGCGTCCTGTATGCGATCGCTCCGTTCGTCGTCGTCGCTACCTTGCTGTCAGCTGTTCGATTATATACCACATGGAGCTACTACCAGACCATGAGGCAGTTCATCGAGTCGCCACAGGACGGCAAGAAGAAAGTCAAGCCACCACAGATACCGTACTCATTGCCATGGCTAGGCAATAGTCTCCAATTTCTGGATCCGAAACCTGGTCACTACTGGAGCGAGCTCTTCGCATGGCACCCTCGATCCACAGGAGTATGCACGCTTCTCATCGGCGGAAAGAAGACGCATATCCTGTTCTCTCCCTCGGCTGTGCAGGCGCTGTTCAAAGCCAAGACACCGTCCAGAGATGTCTTTGAGCGAGAAATGTTCCACCATGTCTTCGGGATGCCGGACGAGCAGATCCACAATTTTGAAGCGGGCAAGCACTCCCAGCACGAGATGAACAGCCAATATCTCACCAAGCACGAGCGGGTCAATGAGCTCACATCGCACTTCACCCGGGTGCTGGAGGAAGTGTTGGAAAAAGACGCGCGGGAGGTTGTCGAGCTTGAGGGGATTGGTCTGTACGAGTGGCTGCGTGATCGCATGTTCACGGCTTCAACCACCGCTTTGATGGGCGAGAAGCTGTTGCAGGTGTACCCAACATATTGCCGAGACTTCTACCAGTTCGACAAGGAGTTCCTGAGTTTCTTCTTCCAGCTGCCGAAGTTCATGATGGGCGACGCGTTGAAGAACCGGGACAGGATCTTCGACAAGCTCGAAGAATGGAGCAACGAAATGCACCGACTCAGCGGTGGTAGCCCTGTGGACCCGGAAGGTCCAGCTTGGGAGCCGTTGTTTGGCAGCAGGCTCAACCGGGCGAGGCAGCTTGATTACAAGAATATTAAGCTGAATTCCAGAACTGCGGCTGCGCTCGATCTTGGGATCACTTTCGGACTGGCAAGCAATGTGATACCGGCGACCGGATGGGTGTTGATGCACCTCCTCGACCCTGAGGCAGACCCAACCATCCTAGCGCGAGTGATGGAGGAGCTGCGGCAGGCGGAGAGGTGTGACGGATCGCTCGACATCCCGACTCTGGTCTCGCAACCTCTCTTGCAGTCCGTCTGGACAGAGACGCTGCGGTTGTACACGGATGTGCTGGTAACGCGCAATTGTACCGAGGACTTGACCCTACCGGTGGACGAGGATGGGAAGAGGCTTGTGACCTTCCGGAAGGGAGACAACATCTTTGCCCCCTCGTGGCTGGGTCATCACGATGCTGGTGCGTGGTCTGGCAAGGCGCCGTACGAGCAATTCTACGCCACGCGCTTCTACACTGAGGATCCGGAGACGGGGCGTGGAACGTTTAGTATGAGCGGCACTACTGGAAAGTAAGCACACGATCGATCTCCTTGCCTCTGACACATACTCGACTATCACCATGTGCGCCATACACACGCTGATGCTTTACTAGGTTCTTCCCCTTTGGCGGCGGCAGGACAATTTGCCCAGGCAGAGTCTTTGCGAAGCAGGAAGGCCTTGGAGCACTCGCCATGATACTGCTGTGCTTCGACTTCGAGTTCAAGGGGTTCACGGGCGCAGATAAGACGCCGGTGGACACATTTCCGGGTCTTGCAAGAGCGTTCGCTGGAAGCGGTGGGCTGGTGCCGGGCGGCGATATCAGGGTCAAGGTTCGTCGGAGGCAGAGGTGATATTGCGGTACCTTGTGAGCGGATTGTTATACTATTGGGTATCGAGTCATCTCAGTTGCACTCCGAAGAATTCAGCATTGAATATGACTTCCTTGCGTTTGTGAGGAGTTGATGTCAGTCCTAGCTCTTGCTGACCAGGTGGCCCGTCCCGCCTTGACCCAACTCGGCGGGAGTGGTATAAATCTTGACGGCGGTCCTGTTATGATACTTTCTGATCCGGCGTAGCGCCTCCCTTTCTCCAGTTGCCCTCAAAGCTAGATCGCCACGCTACAGTTAAGAGTCAACTTACGAAAGGCAGTAACCTACTTGGTGTTTCGGTGCACCGATGGGTTGATGTGGGCGGCCCGGTTCGGTCTGGATCCCGCATTCGCGAGGTAACCGCCTGAAATGAGAGAAGATGTCACAACACACGTCTGTCCCTTGGGGTGCCTCCTTTTTCAAAGGTATGATACCTGAGGTAGCCGTCTCATGACTTCGAAAAGTCGTTCAGACCATTGAAAAATAACGTCCCGGATGATGCCCAAGTGCCTGATCTCTATTTGTTTCAAGCGGAAGATGTCGCCGCCTGCCCCTTTTCTTGAGTTTTTCGTCTATACTCCACTTGGCCCAACTCCCGAGTCTCGATGCCTCACCAGTAGGCGACATTCAGGGGTACACCCTATAGCAGGCGATCGGCACTAGTTGTACCCAGTGACCCGTTCGAGATTGATCAATCTAGAGGGACAGCGTGGCTTTTCTCGATGCTTGATCCTACTTTCTATTATTAATGAGTTGGTGCTGCTCTGCAAGTCAAAGAACGGATTTTCTATGCAGGGGGCAGGTAGTGTCTGACCATTTTGGCAGCTGGTGCCCAACGTTGGCCCATGGGTCAACCACGTAGCCCAACCGCGCAGTCGTTGCGGCTCTCTCGGAACGAGGTTTCGATACACCTACAGGATACAATAGACAAGTTTCAGAAACTTGGTCGCTGTAAGTTTTGCCTTCTACGCACAATGACGACGTGTTTGTCTTTTACGGATCACACTGTTTTACAAGGTCAGGGATGAACAGCCACATTTCCAGCTGTGGCGGGCCGTATGAGCCACATACCCGTGCCACCCACCACTTTCCACCTCGCTGGGGGTCATCACATAGTCGTCAACCACGCGTTCACAAGAACTTCGAGGATTGTTCGTCCCTTCCCAAAAGGTCGGTCGGCTTCTCGTGAGATACCCCAACGCGTTTCACCCAATCTACCCCCCTTCAAATTTGACGGGGTCAAAATAGACGCGTCGCAACATCTCCCGACGGCCCAGCGACAGAGCCCAGACCTTCCGGCGCACTCAAGCGAGTAGCCGCCGGCAGGGAGAGCCTTGTGGTCACAACGCAGAAGTTTGTCAGTTCGCTGGAGGCCATTCAGGTGGCAGATCCGACAGTGTCACCCATTGTCACCTGCATTGCGCATGGCATATGCATGCAACGCTATCTATCTGAGTCTTGTGGTTCGTCCCGCCTTCTACGGTCCCTCTACCGTACCACGCGTGAATGGCTAAAAGGGGCACCAGGGCGGGATGGATGGGGGCTATGTCGACGACTGCCAGCGAATCACCACCAATGTGCGAATCAGGGATGCGGAGGCCCTAATAGGCAAGGCATACCCGCTGTGAAGCCGACCGGCGCAGAACGGCTCGGCGGGCTAAAGCACTGCCAACGCCCAGATGGCTCTAGCTTTGTCAGATGGCTCTAGCTTTGTCTTTCTATTATTCAGAGCGCGAACCTAACGGGCCCGACCAATCGTGATATGTAGGGCTGGCTGACTGGCTGACTGGCTGCTTCGCCATCTTCTTTATGCCTTCTTCGTCTCTTTTGATTAATATTCCCTAATTGACAACAGGTCCATTTGCTTCCATTTGACAGATCACGAACAGAAGTCGGCATCTCACAGATCTACATGTGAGGAGTGTTCCGGGAACTCGGTATCGCATCGACCTGTCATCTCGCCCTCCAGCTCTGGTGGACCAGTTCGCATCTCCCTGTATGCAGGGCCCAGTCGATCCCAAGCCGCAGCATGGGATTTTTCAGGAGAAAGAAGACACAAACTCCATCACAATGCCCGCCGGCCAAAGCTGATCAGGTGCAATGTCAACCTCCGGCACAATCTCCTCCCCGTCGTGATGGAAGCCCTTTTCATCCTCCAGCTCCGGCTGCTCCGTTTCAACCGGCCGGCTACCTGTCGCCGCCACCGGGCTGGAATCATGCCCCGCCGCCTGGACCTCCCCCATCAAACAGCCAGTATCACCACGACCAGAGACAGTATTCTCCCATCATCGTGAACCAACATTATTATCTGAGCTCTCCGCCCTCTCATCAAGCTCATAACAATCCTTACCCTAGCAGCAATGGAACATGTGCGCTCAGCAAGCTCAAACTAGGCTCAGCGGCCGACTTGGCGCACCTATCCGGGACCGTCAATCAATTACTGGACGATGGCCTGCCGAGATGGCACTCATACGGGACACAGTTGTTGAACCAGGGCGCGGCCATGTATGACCAGATGTTCAGCAGATTTGACGACATCATGACTTCAATCGACAGAGATCGGTTTATTGGAAACGAGAATGACCTGTTCATGTACCAAAAGATAGAGCCGATACCTTCACCACCCGCCGAATCGACGAAACAGTTGACTCTTCCCAAAGGCCATGCGAAGAAGAGTAAGAAGGAAACTCCAAAGGGACATACCACCGCGGTGGCATCGTCTCTCATATCAGGCGGTTACTTCGCAAAGGTGGAACTGTACGCGAACTCCAGACTGCCTCTGAATCTGCCCCCGCTTCGACTGTAGGTGATCTGTTGTGGCATTGAACGTACTCCGAAAAAGTGTTAACAGAAGCTAGGTATATGCCGACTTATCCTCTGCTCTGTCTAGCTGCGCAATATGCAGAAAGGGTATACGATAACCCGACAGGAGCAGAACGGAATGCGCATGTGGAGGCAGACTGGAGGACGGGAACGAAAGCCATGTGCATCAAGTCAGTTCCCATGGACCACATGAACACGATTGTCTTCGCAATACGTGGAACAGCAACGTTCATGGACTGGGCCGTCAACTTGAATACAGCACCAGCAGCACCCACTGGGTTTCTGGTGGGCACTTCCTCATCTCAAGATCACTGATCTCATCTGACTAACTCGCATCAGGATGACCCCAGCAACTTCTGCCACTCAGGTTTCCTGTCGGCAGCTAGGAAGATGGTCGGCCCCGTAGCAGCGCGGTTGCGGCAACTTCTGATGGAGAACCCACGAAGATGTGCATACTCGCTTCTCATCACAGGTCATTCTGCTGGGGGCGCCATCGCATCTCTTCTGTACATGCACATGCTGGCGACGTCGAAGGCCGCCGCGTCAGAGCTCAACATGCTAACAAGCTGCTTCAAGCGAGTACACTGCGTGACATTTGGCACGCCGCCAGTATCGCTTCGCCCGTTACAGACACCCAACAGAAAAGAGCTCAAGAAATCCCTCTTTCTGAGTTTCATCAACGAATGCGACCCGGTTGCGCGAGCCGACAAGGCCTACGTGAAAAGCCTGCTGGAACTCTTAGCTGCCCCGGCTCCGAACCAGGCCAAAGACAAGGAACCGGCGAAGCTGCTTGCTCCTGCCCCAAAACACAGCAAGACCGGAGACAAGAAGTCGAAGTCCTCGGTGGTGTCAAAGAAATCAAAAATATCAATGAAATCCTCGAAGTCGAAAGAGCCTGATCTCCCGGGGGCGGTCTGGCGGGTTCCGCACAGCACGCTAAGCAACGCGGGACGCATCGTGGTCTTGAGGTCGGGAAACCCGCATGCGAAGGTCAAGCGCGCAAAGACAGTTGAGGAACGCCTTAATGAGGGCGTAGTCGCGCAGGTCGCTACTGACGAGCAGCTCAGGGGTCTCATCTGGGGCGATCCCGTCTGTCATGTTATGAAGTTGTATGCTGGCCGCGTCGAGGTGCTGGCTGTTGGGGCGGTCACTGCCAAGGACCATTGGTATGCACATGGCTCTGTGGGATGATTATGTATGATGTTCAAGTTTGGGATTGTATATGGTATGTATACGGGATCATTATGGCGTTGGTTGATACCAAAAACTGTGGAACTATCGGTTGTACGCTGCTCAGGGGAGGGAAGGAATTTAGAATGAAACAATAATAACATAACCTTCAAATACGGCCACGCGGACTCCGATGCTTGCTACCTATCACCATCAGGCCCGTCCCTCTCATGCCTGTCCTGCACTCGAACCCTGCACGCTATAACGACAAGCCTAACTAAACACACGAGGCACAAACGGATCTACAGATACCATCTGTAGCTCGGATTCGAGGGTCCGTCTGCCAGCAGTCCAGTCGGGATATCGCTCGCTTTCACCGTCCTGCCCTGCTTCCTATCTCTCCGCTTGTTGTCGAAAACCATCCACGTCCCGAGCGCAAGCGTGAGCACACACCCGCAGGCGCCGAAAGCAGCAGTCGTGATCAGAGCCGGGAAGTACTTGGGAGCATCCTTGTCCTGGAAAATATTCGATCTGAACATGTTGTATAAGCAAGATTTGACGAACCACCAACCACTTCAGGCGAGGGTGTAGGTGCGATCAGTAGTAGACTTACGAGACGATGCCCATCAGATTGGCGACCGGGACGGCGATGCTCGTCAGCAGCACCCGCTTGTTCTCGTTCGCGATATTGTTGTTGTACCACACATCCAGGATCACACTCGGCGCCGAGGTGCCCCAAGTCATCATAAAAGTTGCAAAGTAAGCCACTTGAAGCTGGTTATCGACGCTGACGCAAGCGTAGACGATGAAACCCGTCAGCGTAAACGCAAATCCCAGCGCGATGAATGGGAAGCGGATCTTCGTCAAGTCGGACGAGAACGCCAGAAGTAGCAACATGACAGCACCGGTGATGTTGGGCGCGACGGTATACAAGTTCGTCTTCACAGTGTTGTAGCCCAGGCGTTTGATGATGACGGGCAAGTACAGGTTGACCGACTGCAGCGGTACGCCCAGACAAACCTCGATGGCCAGGATGGCCCAGCTGCTCGGATGCCGCAGGATGCCAACGGCCTCGCGCAGCACGAAGGGCTGGTCCACAATGCTCGAAGAGTCGACCTGCAGCCGGTGGTGCGCGAGGCGGCGCTCCTCATCGCTCAGGAACCAGGCCGTCGCGCCGCTGGCGGGAAGGAAGAACCACGCAAACACGGCCATGATCAGCGTTCCGGCGCCCTCGACCACGAACAGGTACTTCCAGGGCGCCAGGGCGCCGCCGCGGATCTGGAAGGTGCCGAAGGCCAGCAGGCCCGAGAAGGCGTTCGCGATATTCGATGCGGCGTAGAACAGCGCAAGGCGGCGCGCCAGCTCGCCCCGCCGGTAGAAGGTCGTCTGATAGTAGATGACGAGCGGGAAGAAGGCGCTCTCGGCCATGCCGAGGAACCAGCGCACGGCGAAAAGCCCGCCGAAGCCCGTCGCGGCCGCCGTCAGCAGCGTCATCGACCCGTACGTCGCCATCATCAGCGGCAGTATGCGCGCCGGGCCGAACCGCTTGCCGGCGACGCCCAGGAAGGGCGCGCACAGCACGTAGGGGATGAAGAATACCGAGAGCAGGATGTTGTACTGGTCGCCTTTTAGTTTGAGCGTGTCCTCGAGCCCGGCCGTCTTGGCGTTGCCCAGGTTGCCCTTGTCGAGCCCGTTGAAGAGGTACATGAGGGCGAGTGTTGGGAGGATTCGCAGGTCGAACTTCCAGAGGAGCGCGCGCTCGGCGGCCGGGTCGACGTCATGGACGAAGGTGTGGCCCGTGACGGTGGAGGTCGAGGTGCCTAGGCCATGGTCGACTGCTGTTGTGTCTGTGACGCCGGCTTTCTTCTCGGCGCACTCGAGATCGTTGAGCGATGCTGGGGTCGCCATCTTAATGTCCGTGACCTCCTATTGCTTCTTTTTGATTGTGGCCTCTTGGCTGTGGCCTCTTGATGAAGATGACACGTCAAGACAGGAAAGGCAAGGAGAGTGAGACTCGGCGAAAGGTTGCATGGGCTTTATCAGAGGCCAAGACCACTTTGAGAGAGGAGAGAGCTCGGGTGAGCTTATCTCTGTCGTCGCCAGCTTGGCGCCATTGCAAGATGGTTCGAATCCCTACTCTATTATATGGAGATGATGATTGTCTGCCATTCTGCACTATCCCCATCTCTATCAAGCAAAGTGCCGGAGTGCGGAGGCGTACCACAGTCCGGAGTAGCCAAGGTGACCAAGTGAAGTCCCGACATAGCTGGCTGGCTGCGTGAGACTTCGAAGGCCTAGTACTTATTGCGGCAGAAATGTGACCCGTAAGCAGTGTAACCCAGTTGATGGTCCTAAGATAACGGCACTCGTGGACGACATCCGAAGCTGGTCGGTCGTCGTAGCCGATGATAAGTGACAGTGATAAGAGAGATCGCCAAGTCACCGCCCACGCCGGTGGCCGAACTAGTTGCGGGGGGAACGCGACTCGATGAGGTCTGGTGGTGGTGGAGCTGACGTACGATTCCGGTTCATAGCCTGCCTGCTTTTTTAAGCAGCAAAACCAGCTAATCGACATCTCTGAGCCAGTGGTCGTTGGTCTTAAGACAGAAAAAAGGCTATGTTCTGTTTCACTATTCACCTACACAGGTTCGACGTATGAATAGCGCAATTCAGGTCGTTCAGCTCACAGATTACCAGCCCTGAAGTTTGAAGGTTGCATTATCCGCCATGAGCGACAACCCCGGCCTGCGCCAACGCGCCCCTGCAGGCAGCTCACGTGCCTCCGGAAGCAAAGACGATAAGGACAAGGACGCCGAGCTGCAGAATTTCAAGCCCGGCCGGAACCCCTTCGTCACATCCTTTTTCCTGTTCATCTTCGTGGGCGTCACTTGGGCGCTTGCCAATTATTACGGGAGGGATCCGGTGGTAGATCCGCTGGATTATGCTCTGAGGACCGAAAACGTCCTCAAGTCAACGCCGCTGATTGACGGGCATAATGACCTCCCGTACTTGCTCCGGCTGGAGCTGCGGAACAAGATCTACAACAAAGAGAAGTTCACCTTTCGCGAGCGTAAGACGAAGCACTCCGTTCACCCAGCGATAATACGATGCTGACGATAGTATAGACATGGCAAGCCACACGGACCTGGTCCGCATGAAGCAAGGCCGAGTAGGAGGCCAGTTCTGGTCCGTCTTCGTCGAGTGCCCCGACATCGAGGACCTAGACGACCCGACGCACATCGTGCGCGACACGCTGGAGCAGATCGACGCCACCAAGCGCTTCATCGAGGACGTCGACGAGCTGCACTTCTGCGACACGTCGACGTGCGCGCACTCGGCCTTTACGCGGGGCAAGATCCCGTCCATGCTCGGCGCCGAGGGCATGCACCAGGCCGGCTCGTCCATCGCCGTCCTGCGGCAACTGCACGAATTGGGAGTGCGATACGTGACTATCACGCACAACTGCGACAACCCGTTCGCCACTGCTGCGTCGACCGTCACGGCGACGGGTAAGGACGGCGGACTGACGCCGTTCGGCGCTGCTGCCATACGAGAAATGAACAGGCTCGGCATGATGGTGGATCTCTCGCACACCTCCCACGACGCGATGCGACAGATCTTGGACCTCACCAAGTCGCCCGTCATGTTCAGTCACAGCGCATGCTACGGGCTAGCCCAGAACTACCGCAACGCGCCAGACGACGTCATCGCGCGCCTGAAGGACAACGGCGGCGTGCTGATGGTCATGTTTGTCAAGCGCTTCCTGAATGCCGAGGATCCGGAGGCGGCAGACCTCGAGACTGTCATCGACCACATCATGCACGTCGTCGAGCTCGCGGGCTGGGACCACGTCGGTATCGGTGGGGATTTCGACGGCACCGTTACCCTGGCTAGGGGTATCGAGTCTGTGGCTGACTACCCGAAGCTTGTGGAGGCTGTCATGAAGAGGGGCGCGACGGATGAGCAGGTGCGGAAGTTGGTGGGGGATAATATACTCAGGTGAGGCAGCACCCCTTTTTGCTACCGATTTTATAACCTACCTACTTTATGAGGTGGAAACTGAGAATGAGACTGACCTGACGCTGTTTAAAGGGTCTGGCGCGAGAATGAGCGCGTTGCGGCCACGCTGGCTGATCAGCTGCCCGTGGAGGATGTCTGGGAGGACAGGACGTGGACGAGGTGGAATAACCCGTTGCCGGTCATGATCCCGGGCAATCCTGACCGGGTCCGCGGGGCTGACTATGAGTAAGAAGCCGCTATAGAGCGCCTGCTCATCGAGAGACGGGTCACTCGCGGAGTAGAATGCCCTTGAGCCGTGGTAGCAACGCATGGCTGTGTGCCATGTATTCCGTCTGCGGCCGGAGAGGGTGTTATGCAAAGGCTGGAGTCAAGCCGTTGCTTCACAAGCACAGAGAACAGGTCCCGAGTCTCAAGGTATGGAGATACAGGGACAGTGAGTGTGTACGCTGAACCAGCGGCGGAAGTTAAGGTCTATCATGCGCTAATGAAACATAATCGTGTGGTCGTCAACACCGGAAAACAGCCGACAATTCCCTTGGTCATTCATTACATCTCCACATATCCCATGTGCCCGTGACATGTTGCTTCCAATGTGCACCGACTCATCATGCATGGTTGCATTTATAGGACGCTTCCAAGGGCAACACATGGAAGGCCAACATTGATGAGGCCAGACTGTGGATGGCTGTCAGTATCGATCATCGAGCAAACAATAAATCCCTGTCGTGGGGACAGGAAAGAGTAAGTAGACTTACCTGCTGGGTGCCCGAGTCCTGGCAGCAGGCCACATTCTGCGAGCACTGGCTATTGAGGAGGTCGCCGACAAGCGCGACGTCGATATTGGAGCAGCCCGAGAAGAGCCCGAGCTCGCCGCCCTGGAGGGCGCCCTGCAGGAGGCCCGACAGGAGGCCCTGGGCGGTGGCGGTCGAGGCGCCCGACTCGTCGACGCTGTTGCAGCAGCTTAGGGAGAGGTCCTTTCCGCAGGTGTTGCTGGCCCGGCCGACGGTGCAGTCGCTGGGTACACGGCTCGTGGGCTCCGTGGGGGCGGCGATGGCGCTGGTGGCGAAGGTGAGGGCGGCGATGATGGAGATCTGCATCGTGATGGCTTTTTCGGGTGAGGGGTTTGGTTGGGTGGGAAGGTGAGGCTTTGTAGTGACGATTGATGCTGACCTCGTGAGAATCGTAAGAGGGAGAGGGTGTTCCGGATGTTGGTGCTCTTGTGAAGCTGGATGCCGGGTGGTGATGGAAGTTCTCGACCGGCTTATATATCTGAGAGGGACGCCATCTGCCGGTCTTTCTTCTGAAGGCGTTTCGAAGTCATCGTCACCACTTGGTGCCTCGTCGCTCCCCGTTGGTCTGCCCAGGTGGTGTTGCAATGTCTCCGCTGGTCGATCGATCATCGAGTGCCGCCACCTTGGGTTCGCCTTGTCTCAACCAGCAACCGCCGATCCGTGCCGGACGACTGCAAGACCTGAACAGCAAGGCTTTCCTGTCTGGCTTTCCCACCTCGTCGTCATCGAGCTTGCATGGAAACCCATCCCGGGCGTCATCTCGGGCGCGTGCCAGGACAGATAGTGCTCAGTTGGTGGCGAATCAATCGAGATTGACTCACTTCAGCTGAATCAGGGTCGCATTCCAAGCTGGTCAAGCAGCTTTTCGGGTTCGTAGGTTCCGGTTGTTGTTTCTTCTTTTTCCCCCCAGAAACCGTTGGACATGCTTCCTGCCTTTGGGATGGGGAGATCGAGTCAATATTCCAGATCGGTTCGATGTCCCAGATCACCTACACAGCTTCACGTGCCAAGGGAAGGACTTGGAGATCTGGAAAGAGGTGACAACTGGTCAGTACCACATGTGTCGGTGTCAAATTCCACTGCCAAGCCTAAGTATGCTCTTTTCATTGAATAATGATCACTACCTCCACAAGGAAAAAATAATATTTTGCTTTCCGGTGTCTGCTCTAGGCAGGGCAGGTCTGAGCTACATTGCCTGGTCTTGGCTTGGAGCTCCTCTCGAGGCGGTGGTAACAATTACTGAGACTCGCTCAGTTTGGGCGCACTTGCGTTGCAGTATGTACTCAAGATAAACGCCAGAAATGGGTTGAGTATTCTCTCGATTGTCGTTCGAAATCTGAAAGATACCATCGACGTCGCCCAACACATCAACGACATATGGGAGAGGTGGTTGAGAATACTGTTACACCGCTGCATCTCTCACTCCCAGATCTGGCGACGTGTGAAACCCTTGTCGGGCCGGGCAGGCATCATTGTGTGTGACCCTAACCAGGACTTTCAATTCTCCGCGTTCTTCTTCAGCAGTGCTCCCGTCTTCGATCACCCGTGGGGCCGGTGTTTGACTAGGTACCTGGCTGTGGCCACACAGCTGGTGCCTCTTTACCAACCACCCCCAAAGTGAAGACGGCATCTAGCATCGTGTCTGTGTTAGATGACACCCCGCACCGGTGCGGTGCTGGCAACCGCCCGCCATAGGCGCTTTACGGCCCAATATGAAAAGACTAGGCAAACGGCATATGCACCTGCGAGGGCTTCATGTCGTGTACATGCAAGAACCCAGTGGTGGTAGTTTTGATGAAGTGCCCCTGCAAGACCCATCATTTCCGTTGTGGATGAGTCTCCCTCCTCTTGACACTGTCAAGTTTAAACGACATACCCTGACAGCTCAGGGCGGTCTTGGTCGTCACGATCTCCTCGACTGGCGGCGGCAGGGGCCATCTTGATAAGGAGACGCAAATTGACAGGACGGAAGCCGTACGTGGCCAGCCTTGGATAAGCCGCTGCACAACGTGGACAGTTTGATATGTCGCATGTGTTGCTTACTAACGTAGGAGAGCCGTGACAATGCCGTGTTTGTGCACCACCCACGTTCTTCCGGAGAGACATGTGGACACAACACATGTGCAGAGTTTTATGCTTGTACGGCCCATGCACAAGCTGTTCCAATTCTGGTAATACCATGTCTTTGCCCCTTTTCGCAGAGAGTATGAACCTGCATCGTGACCATAGTAGGTGCATTTACGAGAGACACTTTGGGCTGGTGAATACGAACGATGCAGTCTACGGTCAATCGCAAGGCTGGACACTGCGCATCATCGTCCTCCCCAAGTTCGTTTCCTCATGCGTCTGTAGAGACATGCATGCCTGGTTGCGTTTGCGGTGAGTTCATCGATGATGGTCTTCGTGAACCGCTGGTTGTGACTGGCTGCCTGTGAGGCGATTGCAGAGCAGCGGCTGAATGCAGTCCTCGTTTGCAAGCTCTGGAGAGTGGTGTCGGTTCATTACCTACAGTGTCGGGCCATGACTCAATCTTGACAGGCATGCAAGATCACTGCAATTCGAGATAGCCGGCAGCGATCGGTCGAATGCATGGTCTCTTACACGTCACCTTCCTAGTTCCCTTCAGGTACCGACTATCTCTCGATCTGGCTCCGCGGTCTTCTTCGTAACCCCCAGCTCGTACTATGTCGTACGACCTCGGCAAGCTGCATGCTCATCAGCTGCAAGGTACGGCCAAGTACACCCACAGATATCTATCCAGAACCGCCTGAAGAACTACATCTTTGGTCCTACTCGGTCGATGTAGATAGAAAAAGGGTTAGAATAAACTTTAGGTACGTGCTACTCTTACACAGCTTTCGGAATCGTGGCTGGCCTGTATGTCGTTGCTCCTTGTGACTGAGCCTCTAAACAGCCCGATCTGACTGGAGCTCGGCAATGCAACGGATCGGTGCATCCTGCTTCGCTCCGAGTCTTGTACACACATGTCAATCGCGGCGTACAGATGCTTCACTCGGTCTGAACGACAGAAATTCTCTTTCTGGCCATGATGCCGTTTGCTGTCTGAGTCGGACTCTGCGAAGGAGCAAGTCGATCAAACGGGTCATCCAATCAGTACGGTATGATTCGTTGGCTACTATGTACACCCACAGTATCAACGGGATACCAAGGCACTAGTCAGCCCATATCTGAGTTGTCATCGCCATCAGCCGGGTCGCTACGCGAAAATTGGACCCTCCGCTGACCTGTGACGGGTGCATGCCGAATTCCAACGTGGGAAATTGCTGAACCGGCGAAAGTCGGGCCTCTACAAACGTGCGTGTGAGACAGAAGACGAGCTGAAGGCAGCTGAGGAGGTTTAGACGATAATGATCCTTGTTTACGACCCTCTGTCTTGGAACAGCAAAGCTGGCGAAGTTGTGCTCGTCGAACATCGCGTGACTGTGGCTTGTTGAACCGAGAGAGCATCGCACGATACTTTACTCAACATGAATCGGTGAAAACTTCAGACATGAGATGGGTTCAAGCAGGTTCCGTCGGAGGATTGCATGAGCTCATTACTGCCCGAGGTATACGAAGTAGTGTCCGGGTCTCCGGAGCAGTTGGAACCCGGCGTTTCCACGCTGCCATCAATGCTGTGTCCCGTTGCAAACAGAATGACAGGGAACCAAGTTTGAGTCTTCGGGGGGTCTTGAGTGTGATTTTATAAAGGGATGAGAACTCGAACCAAATTGCATTCAGACTCCATCAAGGTCAACATTCGCAAACTTGAGGCACACACATTCGTTTTGCTCCCACTCCAACGCCTCGAGACCCGTTGCAATGCACATCACGACCCCTTTGGCCCTCATGGGCTTGAGGTAGGCGTTGATCTCTCAGCCGTTTCATATATCTTGATTGCTGACAATCTACACAGCTCTGCTTTAGTCCAGGCTCGACCTCAGCCGCTTCTGGCCAGCACTGTGACGACTACAGTCACAGTATGCGGCAGTGACTGCGCAGTCACGACTGTCACTGTGTCGGCTGGGTGTTCCCAGACTTCCACTCTCCCCTTCTCATCGGGCACGACCCTGGGAACTTCGTCCACTGCCCCCGTCGGATCGTCGTCCATTAGTTCCTACCCAGCCTTGACTTCCACGATCACCCTGCCCGACTCATCCGTTACCGTCATCACTCTCACTTCCAGCTCTGTCGTCACTGTCAGCATTTCACCCTCTTCGTCCGTTCCCGGTACATCTGCTTCCGGATCAGGGTACTCAACAAGCTCAGTGCTAGCCATTACAAACTCCGGCACCGCGTCAAGTTCCTCTGGCATTTTCCCCAACTCCACTATCGCAACTTACCCAACCTCATCTGGATTGCTGCCCACAACTATCACAGCCAGCTCTGGTTCTTCCGCGGCCCCCACGTACCCCAGCAACAGTTCGGCCATCGGCGCTTCCAGTACTGGGCCTGTAACATCGGGCAGCAGTTCCCAAGAGAGTTCGAGCACCACGTGGTAAGTGCGTTCAGGGGCTATCCGTCCTTCTGCATATGAAAAACCAACATCATGAGCATCCATGCTAATCACCTAAACAGTGAGTCTTCCGAGACCGACACTCCAACATCGTCAGTCGGTGGCAGTTCAGCCAGCAACCCCTCGTGGAGCAACACTTTCGGTTTAACCTCGAGCACCGGACCGGTCACCGGATCGTCGTCAGCTTCAGGCCCGGCTACCACTCAGCCATACCCGACAAGTCCATTCTCCAACATCTCGGTATCTCTGGGTTCGACGCTCACGGTCACGCTCAGCCAGACCTCGTCTGCGGTGATTGGCACATCATCTGATTCTCCAGTCACAGCGTCGTCCAGTGAATCAGGGTACCCGTCGTCCTACAGCGGCAGCACCTTCACGTCGACTGTGACGATCCCGACAGCGACATACGGAACCACTACTCAGTTTCTCACCTCGACCGCTACGATCTCTGTGACCTCCAGTCAGACTGGAACTTCTTCATCTGGTGTTTTAACCAACACTTCCAGCACTGGGCCGTATAGTTCAAACACTCAGAGTTCCGTCACGAGCGTGGTTTACAGTACCGCAACTTCCTCCTATGGCTCCAGCTCAGTCCTCACGAGTGCTTCGGCATCGCCGGTGTCCACGAGCACGTTGTCATTCTCCGTCGGTCCCAACTATACAAGTAGCTACACGTCGAGCCTGATCAGCTTCACTTCAACGGTGACCCTGAGCGAGTCATCTTCTCTGCCCGCCATCAGTTCTGGAGGCTACTCGACCTCGATTCCTCCTCTTACTTCCACATTGACACTGACCTCAACATATGGCACCTCGTCAAACTCCCCGGCAACTGGATCTTCGATTGCCAGTGGATCTACCAGCGGCTCTGGTACCGCGTCGACATACGCATCTACTTCACCGTACGGTTCCTCATCTTCTGCGTCAGTGTCTTCCGGTTCAGGCTTGTCATCATCTTCGGCTGCTCCAGTCACCGGGTCTTCTTCGTCAAGCGGATCGGCCAGTACCAGCACTTTGACCTTGACCTACCCGACATCATCAAGTGTGACTGCTTCCACTGGCCCCTACTCGACCTCATCTGGTAGCGCATCCTCCGGCCAGCAGTCGGGTACCACTCCTTCAAGCAGCAGCGCAGTCCAACCCATCACCTCCAGCACTCCATCGGCCACCTCGTCCAGCCCGGCCGTCACAACCACCTGCCTCAGCCAGCCCATGTATGGCGGGGCATACACATACACATGCATCACCATCCCCGTGTCCTCTTCCATAATCCACAGCACCGGCAGCACCGACGCAGTTACGGCCTCCGCCTCATCGAGCCAGAGCACCGCCACGCAGTCCTCCGAGTCGTCGTCGATCGGATACTCATCAAGCGGCTACCCCACAAGCTCGCACATCCCAAGCACGTTGACCGCGACCGCTTCCCTCTCCTCGAGCTCGGTCCACTCCACCGCCAGCAATGATGCCGTTACCAATCCAGTCCCCAGCAGTACCGCGACCAGCTCCGTTCCCGCATCTACCACTTGCGTGTCCGGCGGCTACGGCGGCGCCGTGATCTGCGCCCCCATCGAGACCAGCACCCTTCCCACTGGCGCATCCTCCACCGATGCCGTGACTGGATCCGCCAGCTCGTCTACGCCTACCACTTTGGTCACGTACTCAGCCACCTCAACTGCACCCGGCTACCCCACTGAGTCGGTGCCCGCCGAACATGGCGGCGGGTGGTACGGCGCCCAAGAGCACCACAATGAGAACGGTGCCAGCGGCTGGAACTGGGGTAAGGGCGGCAAAGGCCATGGCAAGCCCGGAGGCTGGCGCTCGGTCTGAGTCTAATGTAATCTCTCCTTTCCCACTTGTTTCCACAGTAACGCACAGCATAGCATCATGGCACAGCACAGCGCTACACGGCACAGCACACTCCTTCTCTCCTTTCCCAGCGGCGCATGAGTAATACATGGGATATCGTACAAAAAAATTCACTTCGGGTCACTCATTCAGATGTTCACTTCTTCTTACACACTTCACCTCGGCTTGGATTTCTAAGGTTTTGGTGGGTTTTTTTGGGAGAACCTTTGGTTGGTGGTGATTGATTCTGAGAAAGGAAATGTGACTTGTCAGATCCTGTCGGTTGTCCGAGTTCGGTCTCGATACCTCGATGGGGAGAATTGATGACAGTTACTCTGAATATCGTCTTATTGTGTTGGTGATTAGGTCGCAGCCTCTTGTGTGATGAGACATGGTGGCTGGTGGCTCTCCCCGAATTGCGACATAAGATTCTCGAACGAAACGTGGATCCATCGACTAGACCGTCTTTCGAGCTCCCGTGTGAACAGCAGCTGGATTGAATCACGTAGGCCAAGATCCTTATTGCAGCGTCTAGATCTTCCACGTCTCATCTGTCTCGCGTCGGACGGCTCAGCCCATCCGATGATTAGCAGTGGACACAGGGTATTCGTACGACGTATACCTACGACCGTCTCTGTGATCCATGGTGCCGATTCGTATCGTATTTTGGCCCTGGAAGAGAGCAAGGTCGCTGGCAAATAACCTTTTCGGAAATTGATGTTGTGTAGTACCAGTATTTCAATGTATCACTGGGAAGGGTGCCATGCGGTGATAGTGAGATGGCTAGTCTCAGTGTGTCAGACGTATGTGCTACAGTGAAAATGGCAATGTCAGTCGCTCGTCTCGACTTGCCGGAGCCAGATTCAACAGAGTTCACCTGACAGATCCGTAGACTAACTAGCTCCAGGTTGAAGAGGCGTGCAAGTGCAATTGTCAGTATTGTCGATAGGAGCTGAGATGTGCCGTGTGCGTATGAAATGCTTTCGCTGCATCATCTCCCATGAAGGTCGATACTTGCTTGCTCTTATAACTGCTAGCCTTGCAGTTCACCCGCTCCGTTGTCCTTTCACGGATCTCCGGTCGACGAGGGGAACATTTTAGCGATTGAATTCTGTTCTCCGTGGCCCGACCCTTGGGAACAGGATGTTAAGCCAGCCAGAGGGGTAACGGCAACTCTTGAGTACCTCCAAGCTGCTTCCAGTGATGGCTACATGAAGTCGGACAACCATGCATCGCGACAAGCAGAGAACAGGAATGGATGGCATCTGCTGCCAGCTGTGTGGTCACCACGGTCGGGGTCTGATGTGACTGGCTGGTGAGCTGCGTAGTATCCACCCTTGCACCTGCCCTGCCGCCTGCTGAGTGCCACACCGCCGACACTGGATTTGCCCTCGGGGCTAAATAAGGGAAGGCTGATGATAGTAAGTTGTGGCTGTGTTGGAGGATTCCTCAATATTGAAACTTTGCACCAACATGTCCGCTCCTATTGTCCTACTGCTGCAGGCAGTTAACCGCATCTCCGCGCCATGCCAACCACTGCAGTCCAGTCTTTCCATCACTCATCACATGCTTCAAGCGCAAACAAGGCAGATGCAATGGCACATATTTACTGCAACTAATGCGAACACCTGGGCCACATCACAAGAGCCAACTGCCAACTGCCGACTGCCAACTGCAAGTGTACGGCTGTTTATTGCACAGCGTTGTACCCGTTATAGCATGAAGACAAGGACCTTCTGCCATTGGCCGGGCGGGAGCAGGGTAGAGGCATGGGGTCGTGGAGGAGGATCTTGGGACGGGCTCCTACTGGCTAGGCGGGTTGGATGGCGTAGAACAGCCCCCACAACGCCCCATGGCCCAGCCCCTGTAAATGCTTATCCCCTGGCATGTCCTGGTCTGGATCGGGTCAATCCACTCATGGATGCCCTCTTTTGCTTTCGTCGATGCGATGCTTGATGATGATAGCCCCCATCCACAGCCCAGGCTGCCAGACAGCCAGACTGCGGAGAGGCGAGCTGTCGAGAACCATCCGCTGCATCAAAAGGGAACACAGGTGCATGAAGCAAAGGATGCTGGATGATGGATGATGGGATGAGACGGCCACAGACAGGTAGCCGACATGCCTTCTTTTATTTCCTAGACTGCTTTACCAGGACTTCAGGTTCAGGCAGGTCAAGCACGACACGGGATACCGCAACAATCAAACAAGCACCGCTCGTAGACCGGAATCTTCGTCATCGCCTCACGCGCCCACACTCACACTCGCACTCACATTCCGTGACCTCTCAGGCGACCCGTTCTCTTCTTTCCCCCATCCTTCCGGTCCACACTCTCCCCGGACGTCTACCTATTCACTATTACTTCGTAGCATCACCGCTATACTCCTCCACACCCACCCAGTTCCCTCTTCCGTGTATCATCAACCCGTGAAAAAGACTCTGTACCAAGAGCTTCGCTTCCACCGGCCCTTCAATCGCACTGTTGACCCTCCGCAGTTGAAAGGACCATCGTCTACGAATAGCTCCTTCGCAGATGCGCCTACCCCGTCGCGACAAAGGATCGCCATAGACAAGTACAGGGACCCTACTCCTTGGCCGCTCACGTCACAACCTCCCTCCAATCGCCGGAATCGCATACACGAGCCCGCGCAAGAACCCACAACCACCACACCCAATTGGTTCACCCGCTCATTTGGATTGCCGGCGACCACGTTGAAAGCCGTTGTTGAAATTGTCGTCGTCACTCACCTTCCTTGTCGACTGTTTGATTCCAAAGCTACCTAGTTCATCACGATAGACTCACCTCTTCGCCGCCGTTCCGTTTGCGCCGGCATCAAGTTTGCACAGCGTCAAGCAGATATGGAACGTTGAAACCACCGTTCCCGTTGCGGCCGAGTCTTGCAACACAAGCACCTGTCACATTTTCACTTAAAATTAGAAGTACCTGGAAAGTTGAGGGTGAAGAGCTCTAGAGATAGGTAGAGCCAGAAAAAGAGGGGAGGGGAAGCCATGGACCCGAACAATTTCCATGCGACGGTGCTCCAGCGCGCCGAGGACGACGACGACGATTACGACCACGGCCACACTTATGGGCACCGGAATAGATACGGGCAGAATCGCAGTCATCGGCAGAATCGAGATGACAGTATCGGCCTGTCACAACCGCACTCCCAGTCGGTGTTGTCGATGCCGGGTGCAGCAGCACCAACAAAAACAACATCTCCACCTTGGGAGAGGGAGATGGGGAGTGGGAGGAGGATGACGGATGGTGGTGGTGCGCTGGGACCACGTCCACATCCACGTTCCTCTGCCTCATCCGCAGCCGTGAACCACCAGAACCACCACGATTACGATTACCATAATGATAACAACCTTAACAACCCCAGCGCCCACCACTCGCAGCTGGAGATTCAGTACTATGCTGATGCCACCACGATTGCAAACGCCAACGCCTCGGCCAATGCCAATGCCGCCGCAGCACAGCAGCACCCAACAACGCACACTGGCTCTGGCACTGACACTAACAAGCACGGGAATGCCAGTGCTGGTGGTAGTTTGACATCTCCGACCGTCACGGGCAACACGGCCACGACGCAATTAATGGGTTTTCGTCAGCCCACATCCTCGACCTTGACCTCTAACACCGCGTCCGCCGCCGCCGACCACGCCGCCACCCCATCTCCCTCGTCCTTCCACTCTGCACTCGCATCGCCCCAAACCCAAAACTCCATTTCCGTGTCTTCCATCACGACGCCTGCATCGGCATCGGCACCGCGACCGCCGCCCGCGACCGCCCTCAGCCACCCCTTCAACCACGCGTCGTCGCATCACCATCGTCACCACCAGCCATTGTCATCATCATCGTCGTCGACAATACTGTCCGGGTCCACGTCTGCCCTGCCTCCGCTGGCACCTCCGGCTGGAGCCCTCAGCTCAATCATGGCATCATCATCGGCCATGTCGCCGACAAATGGCAACGGGCCCTCCAGTGCATCACCACTGCAGCCACCCAAGACCTCGGGCCATCTATCGCCGCCCGACTACCATAGACCGCCACCCGAGAAGGTGTCCGGCAGCTTCTACGATCCCCTTACCGACACTACGCGCGAGAGAAGACCATCAGAGAGTGTGTCTAAGCAGGTGAGTTTTTGAAACACTACTTCTCGTCCGAAACCTCCGTCATCACGATGTCCCCCGACCCGCGAGATCCACCCCGAATAGAGCAGAGCAGAGCAGAGCATCACCGTGGTGGGTGCGCCGTCATTGATAGTCATATTGGTCCCATTTTGCAACATCTGTGCTCAGGGCGGCGTGCGTCGGTACAGCTTCACTGGGGAACAACCCGTGGCTCTGCATGCAGGCTCACGTCGTTGTTTGGAAATACATAAGAGCACATTTTCTATCTTACCTTTGTGATTGGGTTTGCTTGCTTGCTTATTAGTGGTAGGCAGAGGCAGATCAATAGGTAGACCACCACCAGCCTCAACTCGGGACTCGTCGCGGGGGCATCAGAGCCAACCGTCACTTCTTTCATTGTCACTGTCCATTCCCTTTCGACTTTCCCACTACCCAGCCACGTTCCACCTCACAAATCCACCATTTCGCAGACGGGCCTGGAGCCGGAACCCAGGACCAGGACCATCCATATCCGTACTGACCTGACTGAATGAACTTACCTTAACGAACTGATCTAACCACCTGCCTCCACCAGTCGCGATCTGATACCTACGATTATCCTCACCCCAAAAGCGAGCAGTCCATACAGTATCACAACGGCTACGGCTCCCCGTCGCCAGTGAACTCCAAGTTCCCGGCGCGAAGCCCACTTTCGCATTCGCACCCCAAAAACGGCACCGACCTTGCCAGCCCTGCGACTGCGAACAAAGCGCTGCATCTGGGCTCTCCTCCCTCGCGTCACCGCACCGCGTCAGACGGTGCCAAATCGGCGAACCACCACACGCCGACATATGCATCTGCGCTGCCGTCCATCCTGAATCCCGAACCTGCTGCTTCGTCTACCAAGGCAGCTCCCATAGCTGTGAGTCCATTTGAGATACTATTTTCCGCCTACTTCTCCTTTCCATGCCGAAGGGGTCCGAGCTTTCTCTTCCATTGTAACCATCTGCTAACACCGGTGTTTTTCCCCCTAGACACCCAGCCGTGCGGCCGAGCTTATGTCTTTCTCCAACATTCTTTCCAGCGCTGAGCCGCTCCCGAAGCCCAAAACCGCCATAATGGCCGAGGAGAAGAAGAAACCCGCTCGCAAGAGTAAGGGGCGCGAATCACATCTCAGGGTGGCCGAAGGCAGTTCCAAGAAAGAGTCACGGCGGTCCTCTTCCAACCACGCGAAAGATACCCCCGCGAGAGCGCCCAAGAGACAGGCCAACGGCCATCCCAAGCCGAAGACGCTATCAGCTGATAAGGAGAAGAAGATACAGAACGTGCTAGAGACACTCGACGGCGGTATGGACGATGTCGACCTGTCCGAACTCGAGGCCGAGGAGGAGTTCTTCACCGGTCGCTCCAAGAAGCGCAAGATAAATCTGGAGCAAGCGGAATATGCAGATCATCTGATCCGCCGAGGCGACCTATCCAACTTCACGTCTAAGCGACTAATCAGTCACGCCAGCATCGGCAAGCGACGATTCGATGATCTGCACTACGAGGAAGCGCTGCAGGAAGTTCGCGATCGTGAAGTGTTCGCCGAGAAGGAACGCAAGAAAGACATGCAACGTAAGCGTCGCCGGGAGAAGTCCATGCAGATCACTATCGAGCAGAAGGAGGCCGCTCTAGCCAAAGCACTTGCCGCCGAAGACGAGGCCGAACGAGCGAAGCATCTGCGTGAAGCCGAACGTGCGAACAAGAAGGCACAACAGACGAAACTCATCTTGCAGAACGGTGTCAAGGGGCCGGCGCGTAATCTGGGACCGTTCGAACTCAACCTGGAGGGCGGCACTATGTCGACCTTCCCAGCCAACGATGTCGAGGCAGGCGGCAAGACGACCAAGAGCAAGGGCCGCACCGGTACACGGCCTAAAAAATCCAAGGAGCAGAAACAGGCCGAGAAGGATGCTGCCGTCGCAGCCCAAGCGGCTTTGGATGCTGGCGAGGAGCTGCCCGCCAAGGAAGAGACCAAGATTCGCATCAAGTTGAACAAGGGCAAAGACAGGGAGACCAAAGATAAGGACAGGGAACCCAAGGACGGCGCAAAGGAGCCCAAGGAGAGGGAGATACCTGTCGAGGAGCCTCCTGTCAATCCTTTGGAGACAAAGTTCCAATCCAAAGGATACAATCAGATCTATGATCAGATCTGGCGAGACCTGGCCCGCAAAGATGCACCAAAGACGTTCAAGATGGCGGTCGACTCGTACGCCACGAAGGCTTCCAACCTGAAGAAGACTGCTATCCTTGCCTCCAAAGAAGCCAAGCGTTGGCAGGCTCGTACCAATAAGGGTACGAAAGATCTGCAGGCTCGAGCCAAGCGCTGTATGCGTGACATGATGAGCTTCTGGAAGCGTAATGAGCGAGAGGAGCGTGATCTCCGCAAGGCTGCGGAGCGACAAGAGCTTGAGAACACCCGCAAGGAGGAAGCCGGTCGTGAAGCTGCGCGCCAGAAGAGGAAGCTCAACTTCTTGATCTCCCAGACCGAACTGTACTCCCACTTCATCGGCAAGAAGATCAAGACCGATGAGGTCGAGCGCAGTACCGACAATCCGGAAATTGCGCCAGATGCCAACGCAGCATCATCGCACAAGGTTGATGTCTCGGAGCCGTCCGGTCCTGTCGGTGCCAAGGTCACAGATTTCAACTCTTTGGATTTCGATGCCGAAGACGAGGAGACGCTGAAGGCTGCAGCCGCGGCGAATGCTCAGAATGCCATCGCCGAAGCTCAGGCCCGGGCACGTGCCTTCAACAAGACTGACGATGATATGGACGAGGATGGTGAGATGAACTTCCAGAACCCTACGGGCCTGGGCGACGTAACGGTCGAGCAACCCAAGATGCTGAACTGTCAGCTCAAGGAGTACCAAATCAAGGGTCTCAACTGGCTTGCAAACTTGTACGAGCAAGGTATCAACGGCATCCTGGCCGACGAGATGGGTCTTGGCAAGACGGTGCAATCCATCTCTGTCATGGCCTACCTTGCCGAAGTACACGACATCTGGGGTCCGTACATGGTCGTAGCACCAGCTTCGACACTGCACAACTGGCAGCAGGAGCTCCAGAAGTTCGTTCCCGAATTCAAGGTCCTCCCGTACTGGGGGACGGCGGCCGACCGAAAGGTGCTACGCAAATTCTGGGATCGCAAGCACGCCACGTACCGCAAGGATGCTCCTTTCCACGTGCTGGTCACATCGTATCAGCTCGTCGTATCCGATGTTGCCTACTTTCAGAAGATGCGCTGGCAGTACATGATCCTGGATGAAGCACAAGCTATCAAGAGCTCTCAGAGTTCGCGTTGGAAGTGTCTGCTCGGCTTCCACTGCCGAAACCGGCTCCTCCTAACGGGAACACCCATCCAGAACAACATGCAGGAACTATGGGCCCTTCTGCATTTCATCATGCCCTCGCTGTTCGATTCCCACGATGAGTTCAGCGAATGGTTTTCCAAGGACATCGAGTCGCACGCGCAAAGCAATACATCGCTCAACGAGGACCAGCTTAGGCGGCTGCATATGATCCTCAAGCCGTTCATGTTACGTCGTGTGAAGAAGCATGTCCAGAAGGAGCTTGGTGACAAGATTGAGCTCGACGTCTTCTGTGATCTCACGTATCGCCAACGGGCGTACTACAGAAACCTGAGGAACCAGATCAGCATTATGGATCTGATCGAGAAAGCGACTCTTGGTGACGATCAAGATTCGGGTACGCTCATGAACCTTGTCATGCAGTTCAGAAAAGTGTGTAATCACCCCGATCTCTTCGAACGCAGAGACACAAGGAGCCCGTTCTTCTCCGGCTATTTTGCTGAGACCGCATCGTTCGTCCGCGAGGGCAACAACGTTTCTGTTGGTTACTCAACTCGAAGTCTCATCGACTATGAGCTGCCACGCCTCGTCTGGAACGACGGTGGGCGACTCCACAAGCCTGGGAAAGACAGCGAACAGGCCGGTTTCAGAAACAAGTACATGAACCAGCTCATGAACATCTGGACCCCAGAGAATGTTCGCGAAAGCATGTCTGGAAAGGATGCGTTTTCATTTTTGCGCTTTGCGGATGTCAACCCGGAGGATGTCTACAAGGCTAGTCATCAGGATATCTTCACTCGGGCCGCTGATCTCGTGAAGAAGGACAACCGCCTCGGCCACCTCAAGGTTGTCTATGATGAACCCGGCGAGGAGAATTTCACTCCCTCTCACGCATTGTTCCAGATCACGGCCCGTGCGGATCGCAAGCCGCTTGCAGACGTCGCAGGTGACGGTATCCTTCGAAATATGATGAACATCTCACGCTCGCAATGGCAGGCTTCTGGGCTGAGTAGACTGGAACAAGCTGCGCTACCAGGTGCAACAGCTCCTCCCATCGAACTCTCGTGTGAAGGTACGCGAGGCCCGATTGTCGAGCGCGAAGACACGCTCTTCAACGGGCGTATCCGAAAGAACCTCCATGGGCCCAATGCGATCGAAGAGAAAGCCTTGGTGGAGCAGAAGATTCCCTTCGAGCTGTACCCTCGACCTGCGATGCTCCCTCAACCTGACAACGAAAAGCGAAGGTTCACAAACATCACTGTCCCGAGTATGCGTCGTTTCGTTACGGACAGTGGCAAATTGGCCAAGCTTGACCAACTATTGACCAAATTGAAGGAGGAGGGCCATCGTGTGCTTCTTTACTTCCAGATGACGAGAATGATCGACCTCATGGAAGAATACCTTACGTACCGCAACTACAAGTATTGCCGACTCGATGGGTCCACTAAGCTTGAGGATCGCCGAGACACCGTCGCCGACTTCCAAACGCGTCCGGAGATCTTTGTCTTCCTGCTCTCCACTCGAGCTGGTGGTCTTGGCATCAACTTGACTTCTGCCGACACCGTCATCTTCTACGACAGTGACTGGAATCCCACCATTGACTCGCAAGCAATGGATCGCGCTCATCGTCTTGGACAGACCAAACAAGTTACTGTTTACCGTCTCATTACTCGCGGCACTATTGAGGAGCGTATTCGAAAGCGAGCATTGCAGAAGGAGGAGGTGCAACGTGTCGTCATCTCGGGTGGTGCATCCAAAGGCGTGGACTTCAGCGGACGCCGCCCCCCCGAAAATCGCAATCGCGATATCGCCATGTGGCTTGCCGACGATGAAGAAGCTGAGCTTATCGAACAGCGCGAGAAAGAGCTCGCTGACAGCGGCGAACTTGACAAGGCTGCCAAGAAGAAAGCCACTGGCAAGCGGAAGCGGGAAGCCGTCAGTTTAGATGAGATGTACCACGAGGGTAAGCCACATTCAAATCCAGGTTGGTCATGCGATACCTGTGCTAATAGAAGCTCCAGGTGAGGGTAATTTCGATGACGGCACTAAGCACTCCGGCACCGCTACACCAGATGTACCCGTCGAGGCAGACACGAAATCCGCCAAGAAACGGAAGGGCACGAGCAAGAAAGCCAAGACGGCGAAGCAACGGCTCGCCATGGCCGATGGGATGGTCGACGGCTAAAGCAGCTGTGATGATTTCGTCATATACGAACAGAAGGACAACGGCGTTCTCCAGATATAGCCATGATGATATGTATAAAAGGAGGAACAAAAGGCGTTGCATTGGTGTTCGACTGATATTGGCGGAGGGAGTTATGAGTACAGAAGAGCAGCTGGCAATTCACATACGCCGATTCGCCGGTCTTTCGGAACTTTCGCGAGCAGTCCTGCGTCTGCCGCATGGACGGCGTTCAGTACTCGTCGGATTATCGGACGCAGCTATCTTAGATGGCGCAGTCTTACACGAGAGTAAGCGAGGATCAGATGTGTGCTGCTGTAGGATTAGGACTAGGATTGCTTGATAGAGGCGAAATCTGACCGGCATTGTAAGGCAGTATCAATCACTGCCCGCATAGGTGTTCCTGAGGCCTCAGCTCGGGTCTGACCATGATCAATTTGCTTAATTCCCACCTTCTAATATGTTTTATCGTTGTGCCAAAAGGGAGGGGGTGTTCGGTCTTGTCCTACGGTGTAGTCACCCCATGGGTACGTTCAAGCTGGGGTTCAAGATTACTAGGTACTGACTGGTCCGTAGTGGCCATGGACCTTTCTAGGGAGGGCTGGCCTGCGGCCCTGGCTGGACGAGTAATCTACTCGCCAGCAGAGGAGGACGAATTGCCTTCCCCATGACTGGCGATGCTTATGCAGTGAACGCGCATTTATCTGCGTTCTCTTCTTCTTGTTCACGGTATACACTCTGTAGCTCATCACCCCAGAGATAGAGACAGGTTTCTACCCCAAAACGATGCGTGCCCCTGACGTAGCAAATAGAAGGAAGGAAGGGAGGAAGGCAAGATGCATGGTAAATATAGATAGATAAGGATTATGGATGCATGACTGACCGGACTTCCGTACCTGCAGCCCCGTGCCAACCGAACTGATCATTAGTGTCGGGTGGTCACCCCAATTTTGCTGTGAGTGATCGAGTTTCTGCGTACACGGGTGGTAGGCTCCCGAAATGGATACTTTGTTCTTATAGCCTGGCGCGGGTGTTGACGATAGCAGGGACGCCAGCAGGGACGGCAGCCGTGTACGCCTCGTTTCACGACAGGTGGGAAAGATTGATTAGTCCCAGCGTCACTCATAAGGAGTTACTCAGTCACTCAGTTGACCAGCTGATTCGTATCTTAAAACAGTGACATTTCATACTAAATAAAAGTCTATCTCAGTTGTGCGCCCACCGGTCATACCCGAACCGAGTAGCACATTCAGCTCAGCTTGCGATCACGAATGGATTCGCAGAAGCCCATGCTTCTCGCTAGCCGAGGATCGAGATCCTAGGCTCCGGCTCTATATTGGGCTGCCCAGCCTACGACCCCTGAGTCGCCGCCTTGATGCATGCTTTTTGTCTTCCCCTGATCTTGGTACGTGTCCCGGAACCTCGTTGGTCGCCTATGGCACTGTCACTGTCCAAAGGCGTCACGCCTACTGTGTAAGGCCTGGTCTCCATTCTTACCCCTCACCAATGTTGAAGCACTTTTACACTGCACCAGCAGCCAACATCTTCTTTCGCAGGTAGTCCTTGTAGTCTCCTATCGAACCACTCCATGGCTTAATAGATCGGTTCTCACACACCAAGATCTGCTTCGCAATCTTGTCCAGCAGTCTATTGGGGTAGTCAGTATCATCTCAGTGTCCTAGAAACTACACGTGTGGGTACGACTAACCTGAAGTCGTGGGAGACGACGATGACACCACCAGTGTAGTGATCGATGGCATCGGCCAAGGCGTCAATGGTCGTAATGTCAAGACCGTTGGTAGGCTCGTCGAGCAGAAGCATATTGGGCGAGTCGAGGGCCAACAGTGCGAAGACAATACGACTCTTTTGGCCCTCAGATAGGGTACCCATCAGGGCAGTCTGCGAGCTGCCAGAAACTCCGTATCGGCCAAGTGCCTGTCTCCAGTACTGGTAATCCTGCGACTTCTCCCTATACTTGTCGCGGACAAAGTCCAGAGCACTCTTGGTCAGGTCGAGTTGTTCGGCGCTGTGCTGCGAGTACATGCCGAGCTTGAGATGGGTGTGGCGACGGACAGAGCCCGAAGTAGGTGAGAGCTTGCCTGTCATGAGGCGCAGAAGAGTACTCTTGCCAACACCGTTGGGGCCGACCAGGGCTGTTCGAGAGTCCATGTCGAAACCGAGATCCATGTTGCGGTACAGGTCGTCCTTGGTCTCTCCAGAGTATGAGAACGTGACGTCGTCGAAGGACAGGACAGGCGGAGGCAGCTTGTCAGCATCGGTGAATCTGAACGTGAAGGCTTTCTCATCCTTGACTTCCTCGATTAAGCCATCGGCAACCATCTTGTCGAGAATCTTCTGTCGGGACTTGGCCTGGCGCACCAAGTTGGCGTAGGTACCCGCACTGGCAATGAACTCCTTGATGTGCTTGATCTCGTCCTGTTGCTTCTTGTAGGCGGTCATCTGGTTGATCTCCTGCTCCTTGCGGGTCTTGTTGTAGGAGTCAAAGTTACCACCGTAGTAAATGAGCTGCTGCTTGCGCATATCGACCATGTTGGTGCAGACACCGTTCAAGAAATCTTGCGAATGAGAGACGAGCACCAGAGTCCGCTCCCATTTCTTCATGTATTCTTCCAACCACACACAAGCTTCGAGATCCAAATGGGCAGTAGGGTCGTCCAAGAGCAGCAAGGTGGGTTTGACGAACAGGGCCTTCGCAAGAGCGACACGCATACGCCAACCTCCGGACATGTCCTTGGTCTTTTTCTGGATGGTCGTCTTGTTGAAGCCAAGACCAGTCAGGATCAGCGATGCGCGCGTGGAAAAGGTCGAGGGGTCCATCTTGTCCATGTGCTGTTCTCAAGTTAGCAAGATTAGGTGTGGCTTGACGTAAGAGGGCAGGCATACCTCGTAGATGTCCATCAGGATAGGGTCATCGGGACCCTGTTCCTCGAGGATGGTCTCGGCCAATTTGTCGAGGCGTTCCATCTCCTTGTTGGCTTCGTTGACGACCCAATCGAGAGCACCATAGTCAGACGGCTCGGCGCCTTCGTTCAATAGGTAGATGTCGACATGCTCGGGGATGGGGTATTCTCGCTCCGCAATAGCCTTCAGCAGTGTACTCTTTCCGCAACCGTTCTCGCCCAACAATCCGTAGCGACGACCGAAAGTTAGCTCAAGGTCGGTCTCGTTTAGGAGTACTCGGCCGTGGAATGTTAAGGTGGTGCTGGTGATCTTGACGTCTCTGCTGCTGGGAATGGATGCGAGGACACCGGTTGTGATTCGGTCGGAAAGACCGTGCTTGTCCTTTTGGTCGGCCAGCTTCTTGGCCTTGTCCATGTCACCAGTTGCGGGCACATCGTTGGGATCGGGGGGGGTCTCGTCGCCGGCAGATGAGTTAGCCTTGGATGCGGCCTTGGAGCCGGCCTTGGATCGCGAAACGAGAGTCTTCTTCTCGCCACCGGCCTCGGCCTTCTTGGCGAGTCTCTTTTCCTTGGAGGAGGAAACCATGTTGGCGACGGTTGTTGGCGACGGCAGTAGTTGACGGAGGCAATAGAGGTGAGATGGCGCGTGGGAAAGAGAGGTGGTCGAGTATCAAGTCGAAGCGCAAGTCGAAGCGTGACTTTTTACCCCGCCTCAAAGTTGCTTTCTTTGATTCAGCCACAAGCAAATGTGACTAGATTGTGCCACTGAAGAAAACAACGAATCAGTGGTAGTACGCAGACGTGAAAGTGGCGTCCTTATCAGAAAATACAGAGTTTTCCTGACTTGAGGATGAGGGTGATGACAGCCTGGCGAAAGAGCACAAGAGCTGAAGAGGTGGTGGTTGCAGGATGAAGAGGAAGGCGGAAGGCGGAAGGCGGGGTGTCTGGCGTGTCGTTACGTCGCTGTTGGAATGTAATTTTTGGGCTGCAATCGGCAGTGTGGGCTGTGGCTGTGGCGGCGACACCTTGTTTCATGGTGGGGGGCTGGCGGGGTGGGACTGAGCTAACCGGAGTACCTAGTGGGACTGTCAAATTTTCGCTTTTTTTCACTTTGATGACTCGACCTCAGCCACACGATAACCGATAAGCGCCACAGCTGCCTGTTGACGTCAGAGGCGTCCCTTTCTCCCTTTCTCCCTACAATTGAAGTGGACGTACCTTACCGTGCAGGATTTTCTTCATCGAGGTCCTGCATGACGCTGCCCTACGCTTTATATATATTCCACTTTGGCCTTCATCGGAGAAAGCAGACCAAGGTTTCGCTGGAGCCATATTGGCGTCGAGGTTGAGGGAGAAGACGAACAGATTTCAGCCCTGAGCCGCCAAAGCACGTGCGTGAACGTTATGTTAATTTGCTCGAGGTTACGGCAGAGCCTGAATTGATTCCACATCATCGGTATCATCTCAATCTGCTGGGTAGAGAACACGAAGTCTTCACGGTTCCGAATTTGGAGGTAGACTCATCATGTTCATATGCTTCACTCTCCATGCAGTATTTCCCTATTGTGGGTTGCGCGTGGTCAGGACAGCGCTAGTAAAGGAAGATGAAAAGAAAAGAGAAGAAAATCCTCCGGTCAAGTGCAAAGAAGTTGGTGACTAGACAAATGAGATGTAAGGTACCCTTGAAGAAGAAAGTTCGAACACTCTGCAAGTGGGACAGGAATAGGGGCTAATGTAATAGGGGCAGTCTTGATGAACGCCAACATCGCTTTTTAGGAGAATTGCTGCCGACTGACTTAACGCAGGGCTCTTGCCCTGGCGCGGTCCGTCTGCCTTCTTCCCGGTTCCCCTCGGGCCGCACAATCTCTGCTTCTTTCCTCTCGGAACCGGCTGAGTGATGCCTCGGCATCTTCAAATTTCGATGCGAATACATTCGGTTGGTCTCAGACCAAGGAGTGTCCAAGTAGAGATTACAATGTGAGGTAATATTCTCCAAGGCTGAACCAGGTGAAGGGGCAAAAGAGAGTGTGTGTATTGTTGTTGGCGACAGCCATCATAAGATAAAGAGAGTTACATGAAGTGAGCAGACATTTTCCATAATGCTCCCCAGTCACAGCAAGCGATACGGCAGAGATCTAATCCCGAACTACATGCTAACATCTACCTCTAGACATCCAAAACTAGCAATTGGCTTCATCGTCCTAATTCGCAGCAGCTTGCCCAGCCATGGACTCTGTCGGGTCAACGATGGCCACTGCTTGTATGTGGAGAAATCCTATTCTTCCCCCGCCGCTTGCTTTCGTAAGTGAGCCCGGGTGATTCGCTGCATTTAAACTTCAGCGTAAGGAGACATCGTAACATGTGGCTGTACTTACCATCATTTCCGACGGTGGCCATTGGGTGGTTGATGCTTATCAACTCGACATCCAACTCGCGCGCAACTCTTAGAGCGCGGCAGACGTCTTTGCTGTAGACTGCCGAGGTCATTCCATATTTCGAGCTGTTGACCAACTCTATAGCTTCGTCGTCTGTATTGACCACATATACTTGGAGTGTGGGCCCGAACCCCTCTTCATCGTATATCTCCATCTCGGGTGTAACACCAGTGATGACAACCGGCTGCAACGTATCAGGCGCAAGAAGTTTGACCTCGCCACAAAGAACCCTGGCACCTTTAGCGACTGCTTCTTGGAGCAATCCAAGTGTCCTGGCGGGACCGGCTGGGGTGACGGCGCTCGCCGGTGGAAAGCTCTCGGCCGCCTTCTTGAGCAGCGGCATGAACTGGTCGTACACCTTGGCGTCCACAATGACACGATCGGTGGAGAAGCAAATCTGTACGTGGTGGATGAAGCCACAACGAACGGCAGCATTCGCTGCAAGCTCCAGGTCCGCATCGTCAAGGACCAAGGCCGCTCCCTTTCCGCCGAGCTCCATCAGGACGGGCTTCAGGTACTTCCCAGCTAGAGCCCCTATGCGGGCTCCTACGTTGGCAGACCCGATGAACTCTGTCTTTCGAATATGGGGATGCGCTATCAGTGTCTCGGTGGCAACTGCAGCATCCTCGCGTTGACTCTGGATCACATTGAGTACTCCAGCGGGGAGACCAGCCTCATTGAAGAGCCTGGCAATCGAATGATGTGTATGCGGGAACATCTCGGAAGCCTTTAGTACCACGGTACAGCCAGCCCCTATGGCAGCCACGATTTCCTTGACACATAGAACGACAGTTCCGTTCCATCTACACTCGCAAGCACTTAGTCAGCGATGTCATGACAGGCTCACATGTTGTGTGGGTTGATACTGACGGCACGATGTCCAGGACGGGGCCCAAGGGACGTTTGAAGGTCAAAGCGGTCTGGCCAGGGACGGAAAGAGAGGGAGTCTCCTTCGCCAACGCAGCAGTAAGTCTCGCATTCGTTTCCTCGATGAAACCGATTGCACCTGCCACACCGCCCGCCGCAAACGCATCAGAGCAGTTGATCTCTTAGGCTTGAATCTTTGCTAGTCTGCTTGTATGCTCGAGCATCAAGGCAGCAAATTTCCCGAGAATAGTGCGGCGAGTCTGGACTGAGGATTTCGACCAAGGTTTGAATGCCCGCATGGAGGACTCCACGGCGGCAATGCAGTCCTCCTTACTTGCACTGACGTAACGAACATAGTCAGCCTTTGTCTTGCAAGAGTAATTGGTCACCACCGTCGAGTTCGATGGGCGAAGATCCTGTTGATCTATCACCAGTGGAATACTTTCGAGGTCAGTCATTGTGGTTGACGTTTGGGATTCTTGTTGGTTAACGAGTAAGGTCTGGGTTGCGTAAAATGCGATGTGAGGTGTGTGTCCGACTCCAGACTCTCGACTGCTTCGGCCTGCGATAAGCCTCCTTCATATAGCAGGACGACGGGTTCCTCGGCTCATCCCTTGCTTGAGCTTGGATTCGATTCCTAACGGCTGGTGCTTTCGCTTTCGCTTCTGGCTCATCTGCTGGCCCGGACTTATCACGAGTTCATTCTGCAATCCCCATTCCGATTTTGACTTTACCAAACGACAATACACCAATAAAAGTATGTAACACTCCAGGGATCGTAGTATCTTTCTGACCAAAGGAGAGCTTGATTAGAAATTGAAGGACCCTCGGGACTACCTATATGCCGGCGATTTTTCCTACCCCTGGTTAACCAGAACCAGGATTTGATGTAAGGGAGCTATCAATGTGCTTGAACCAACGAGCCTTGGCAGGCCAACGACGAGCATGCAGAAGGTTTGTTGGTCGTATCAGGCATGTCGCTGCCGGTTGCAGATCTCCAAGCTTCCTCTCCAAACTTCGACGCCAGGTCTTCCAAGCATTCCTCGCACTGCTTTCTCTAGTTGCGTGGCAGCTATCCAACTTGAACGAGCTTGTCCAAGTCTACGCCATAAACTCGAATTTGACCAGCGCATTCCCCCATCGCCCCTAAGACGCAGACTTGCAGGGAGTAATCATGTCCGTTATCCTCGCCGCTCTCACTGTTGCACCAGCAGCATGGTTTCTGTACTCGAGGCTCAAGGCTTTAATTTCATCGCCGAGACTAAACCTGCCGTATGTGAAATTCGAAGGGGATAACTCGCGTTCCAGATATCGGACTCAGAGCGCGACCATCTTGGCCAAGGGATACGCACAGGTGAGTTTCTCCTGAATTACGCCTCCAAGTGGTATTTGACGGGCAGTACATCACTAAAGGCTTGCCATTCTGCATGCGCAACTCAAACGATGTAACACTCCACCAGTCATACTTCAAGTCAGATACCTTGACGAAGTAAATGGGTGCCCGAAGACCGACTCAGTTTCTGGCGTCATATAGACAAGGCAAGTAAATTGTTCCTGTACATATCGTCAATCTGCGGTATGACTATCCTGCTCACTGCTCTTGTGTTACCAGCAATCCATCCTGACCCAGATCGGCGGGCCTGGAATAACTGATGAAGTCAACATGGCAGCGAGGCAGGGTCTTAATCGAGCACTCGGTGAGCTCGATTAGATTTCTTGCAGAGCTTCCAACACTGATCCTTAGGTCTCCATAGCCTCCTTGATCGAGCCTTGGCACAAGGTCTGCCTTGCGGCGTACGCAAAGGAGATGCCCGGGTACTACTGCTTCCCGTAGTCTTACTTGGCTTTCCATATCTGACTCCCAATTGTTTAGACTGGACATCGCTGCAGCCGTATCCGCTAATCGTCAAGACCTTTGCCAGCATGTCTGCCTGCGCCATCATTGGGCCTGAACTTGGAGGGCTCGAGTCGGAGTGGCAGATGCTCTCGATGCGCTACGTCGAGGCCGCGCTCAGCGCTCCCAGCAAGGTGGAAGCGAAATATCCTGCTTGGTTGTACTGGCTTTCGCGATACACCAACGACGGGGTGAAGGCCATGTGGAAATACCAGGCTCGCGCTGCAGAACTCCTCGCTCCTGTCTTGGGAGCTCGCGTCGCCGCCACTCAAGAGCTCCAAGCTGGGCCGCGCAAGAGAGGTGGCAAAGGGCCGCGGAAGTTTGAGGATGGAGTGCAGTGGCTCTACGGCGCGCATACAGCGAGAGGCAACCAACTGACGGCAGAACAGCTACCCCGAGATCTGTTCGTCATCATGACCGCCTCTATTCACAGCACGTCGGGCGCTGGGCTGGCAATCTTGATCGACATGCCTGAGCACCCTCGAGCGCTATCTGAGATTAGAGATGAAATCGCGCGCGTTAAAGCCGCCAACCCGACGTGGACTCGCCAGGCATTGGGTGAACTGCAAATCCTGGACAGCTTCATGCGAGAAGGCGCGCGCTTTCATGCTTTGACTCAATGTATGTGCCACGAGAACAATGAGGACTGTTTCTTGCCCTATCTCCCTGTTGTGAATTGTCTTTCACAGTATAGGTTGTCCTATACATAGTGGGCTTCGTTCGATTCTTTTGGGACTACATGATCATTCGCTGTGTTTGGCTGGTCGTTACCTCTTGGTTTCACTGACCCGAAGCGACAGATACCGCGGTCCAGAGAATACCGACATCGGACTTCACCTTCAAGGACGGCTTGACGATTCCCGCTGGCACGACATTGGCCTTCCCCAGCTTCCGTATGTACATTCAAGTGTCTTGTTTCCCCCTGTCCTGGTAAATTCCTCGCCATGAATCTAGTCTTCCGGCCAGTAGTTACTGACCAGGCCTGTCCTAAAGACCACAATTTCGATCCGGCCGTGCACCCCCAACCCGAATCGTTTGATACTATGCGACATCTGCGGAAGCGGCAGGAACGAACGAACACACACAGGTATCACTTCGCGTCGGTGTCAGATGACATGATGAACTGGGTTGCAGGACGGCACGCCTGCCCGGGGCGTTTCTTCGCCCAAGAGACGCTGAAGCTCATGTTTATCCATCTCCTGACACATTACGAGTTCAAGCATGCAGAAGACACTAAAGAGAGTCCCCGATACCTTTCCAACAATCTGTTCGTTATCGCGAACCCGGCGCTGCCTGTTCTTTTCAGGGAAAAAGAGGTGGTTTCGAAGTAATCATTGATGGTACACAGGATTCTGGGCACCGGACCTAGCATGCGAATAGAGTGGTCTCGCAGAGCAGACTTGTGTGGTAGGGGGAATTACTGCTTAGCTTGCTATTAGATTGAACTAGATCGCGACAGACCAGAAGGCAACAAGCGTAAAGCCATTGCATAGTGGCATTCAGGGGTTACGCTAATTTAGCACATGAACGACTGAGTTGAATAACCGGACTTATGTCTTCCATTCTTCGGCAACACATCGTTGGTCCCAGTACAAAAATATTTCGGTTTCAGCAACTCGGATCACTCCAATCCCTGACACCAACTACATGTAGAGAGTCAATACCATACCGGACAGTTGTTCTATAGTCGTATCACACCTTGAAAAAGAGAACTACCATAATCCGTAGCGCTGGCTTCGGAAAACAAAGACTCTAAGTGTTGAAGCCTATTCGCTCTCTAATGCAGACTTATCTCTTCTATCTGTCCGTTTGTATGCATTACCGTAGCAGATACGGCATGAATGCCGTGTTGGTGAACCACTCCAGCACTCGAGTAACGCTCGAATATGCATCTACGACCCCGGACCGTCTATTTTTTCCACCGGGTCTCGATCCTTTAGCTGCTGCGCTTGGCCAGCCGCCTCAGCTGCGAAGCGGCATTTCCTCCGTATCCGTTCACCATACCGGTAGAAGATAAATGGGAACGGGACGCAGGCTAGAGCCAAGAAGCCCGGAACACAACTTGCCCAATGGATACCGAGACGACGGTACATGATCTAAGCGCACACACGCCGATGGCGGCTGTGTTAGCAGTTGTCTTGGCAGGGCAGGACTCGACATGAGATGAAGTGCGTGGGATGCGTAGTCGGCTTACCGCGGTGAAAAGAGGGAACGCTGCGCCAAAGACGGACCGGAGCATGCCGTTCGCTGCGAGCACGCTAGCCGCATAGATGGTGTATGCATCGACCAGGTAGTTCTGGATGGAGATGTATACGAGAACGAAGCCGAAGCCGAAGGGTGCTTGGGCGGCGATGGACACGAGCCAGTGGATAGAGGGGCTGTCGGTCCAGGCGAACCAGAAAAGCCCGATTGGGATGGCCACACAGCCGACTAGGGACATGGGAAGTCGGATTTCCGGGTCGAAAGACTTCTCGTGGTGGGCCTTGTTGGAATAGATAGTTACGCAGATGGCGGTGAGGATTCCAATGCCAATTCCGGTAGCGAGACCGAGAAATGCGAGACCTCCGATTCCTTGGCCCAAGCCGCGGTACTCTTGGTAGACTATGGGGAAGGCAGCGAAGAACAGATATAGCTAATCTGTTTGTCAGTGGGATTAATATAAAGGGGTTCATAAACAGTGACCTACGGTGCCGTACAGAATGGCCATGTAAACGGTCAACACCAGGACTATGGGCTCATAGCAAAGTAGAACCCAAGGGCGGACCACAGCAGTCTTCATCGTTGCCAGCAACGACTTTCCCTTGTGGTCCATCTTGAGCTTCGAGACATACACGCGGCCAGTAGCTTGCGAGAGCTTCTCCGCACGCCGCTTAAGCAGTACGGGGGCAAACGTCTCGGGCATGACCACAGCCATCGAGAGGCAGCATACGGTTCCCAGGATCGCACTGGAATGCTGGTAAGCACAGAGTATCTTCGTGACCATGACGAAAAGGGGGAAAGGGGAGGGGCGCTGCCTTACAGGAAGCCCTGTATCCATCTCCATCCCGCTGCCTGTCCTAGGAATCCACCAACCACCGGGCCAAGGGCGGGCCCGAACAGAGGAGCCGATGAAAAGAAGATCATGGCCAGGTCTCGCTCTTCATCGGGCCAGATGTCTGCGAGAATCCCTCCTGCAATGGCTAGTGGTGAGGAGCCGAATGCGCCTGCCAGAAACCGCATAATCACAAGACCTTCGATTGTAAGAGTCAAGGCGCACCCCACCAGTGAACAGCACGAAAGCGGAGTACTGAGTCGTATCAGCAGACCACACACACTGGTCATCGGGGGGGAAGGTAACGGACAGTGCATAGGAAAACGGATTTCCTGCCATACACCTCGCTCAAAGGACCCCAAATAACCGGACCGACTGCAAACCTGGAGGGATTGGGGCATCAGCAGACAGTAACGTTACGGAGTATGCAGCTTGAGTCGGACGATAGGGCCGGAGGGGTATCGATACTTACCCCAGGATGAAGGCGGACAGTCCCAGCTCGAATACCTCGTCGCTGATAGCGAATGTCTCCATGACCTGAGCGGGAGAAGCCGTGTAAGCACTTGTGGCGAGGGCGACGGCAAAGTTGGCCATGGACACCAGGCCTGTCCAGATCCACCGCATAGTCGGGCTGAATTGCATGGGGTCTTTCGGGTCACTGAGCGTCCATCCAATGGCGAATGGATCTTCGGCGGTCCCTGAACCAGGGTATGAATAGTTGATGATATGGTCGTCCAGCCAGCCGCGGTCGAACAGGAGGGCATGGTAGGCCAGGCGGCGGCGCGGCGGCAAGCGGGATTCGTCGGTCGTCTCCATTGGTGCTCGCCGGCAAGAAGAAGTCGAAGAGGAGTTGAGGGGACGCGGGGTCGAGCCTGAACAGGTAATGTAGTCAGGCAGTCCGAGACCTCAGACACCTGGATGCTACGCTGGCAGTAGCACCACTGGCAGCGGCATGCATTGATGAAGAGAACCAGAGTCGAAGATATGGAGGCGTGAGGGAGAGTTGACAGTCAGACCGACATCGTATGTCGGGCAGGAGTCATCTATTGGTGAGAAGCATTCCGTAAGGTATACAGGCGCCAATAAGTGAATTACATCGGGCAAACGTCATCAGGCACGGGCGTGCAGTCAGCCTTGTAGGTACTTGACGTGTCCGTGTCTCGGGTATTTTCCAGGGGTATTTCATTTGGTCGGACCAGTTGCTCCGGACAACCAGCCACCAGCCGTATATCGACATGTATCTCACCTGCAGTTTGCTTGAACTGATTGCAGTTGCAGCCGCGCACTATTCCATCATGGTTATTCCCGAGGCACAGGGGGTTCCTGCTAATCAGCACTGCATTGAGTCGGGGATGTTGATGTTCATGTACCCCCCTGCCCGTATGCAATGTAACCCCCAGAATCCATCCCCCCTTTCACCTCTTCCCCGGTGCCGCTTGGAACCCCTGTCCCGGAGACCCCTTCATCAGCCTTATTGTGTAGCCAAGCATGGGTCAATCAGCCCAGTCAAGGTAATCGAGATGGACACTCTAATCCGACGTCTGAACAACCTCGGATGTACCTATACCTTGAGGGGCCGCCCAACGAGCACGTTGAAGAATCCTGCGGAAACCATTCCATATCCGGCTCGTATCACTGCATGAAGGACAGGGGCTTCTCAACGAGTCATATTATACCCTGCGTCTCGGGGCCTACTCCGCGAAGAATGCATATGAGTCTGGTATGGCTGCGTCAGCTGTATGCGAGAGGTTGTGATATTCTATCACAGCTTCGTAACTCTGGCTCTTCCTGAGGTCATTTTGCTGCCATGTCCTGCGTCTGTGGCAATCCGCCGATAAGGTAGCGCCAGCATAGAATGCAGACTTCAGAGTACCATCTGATCCCTCCTCGTCCTGACACCTGCACACCCAACTCTCCCACTTGCACTGAAACACTCAAGCTGTCGACTCCTTCCGTCTACGAAAATGACTGCTGCGCAAATCCGCTCCCTGCCCATCCAAGAGCTCTACTCCCGATGGGGCACCGGCTACGACCAGGGCCGCGTCAACAACATGCAAGGCCTTGATGACACCGAGCTGGAGACCCTGCTTCCCAAGTTCGTCTCCATGCTTGCGCAAAGCCACGACTCGTCCGCCGCCCCCCTCAGAGTCATCGACTTTGGCTGTGGCACGGGACGCAACACGCTCAAGCTGATAGCGATGATCCCCGGCGCCGAGATCATCGGCCTCGACGCCACCCCGGCCTTGTTGGAAGTCGCAGAGCGTCGATGCAAGGAGGCCTCCGCTACGCTGCCAGATAATCTGCGACCAAAGGGTCTCTCCTTCCACGTGTACAACCCCTTGGAAGACAAGACGGGTGGGAAACCACCTGTTGAAGGCCAGGCGCAAGGACTCATCAGCACCTTGGTCATCGAGCATCTGCCTCTTGCAGACTTCTTCAAAATGTGCAGCCAGATCGTCGCGCCGGGAAGGGTATGTCCTTGCGACCAACACTCACGAAGATCTCGCTCGGATTGCCCGCGGAAATATCGTGGATCCGGAGACAGGGGCTCAGCTCTGAAGTGAGAGCTATCTTCACTCTCACGAGGCGGTCAAGGCCGAGGGGGCCAAGTGGGGGTTTGACTTGGTGGAGGTTCAGGACGGCATTCCCAAGGACCCCAATATGGTAGGGGCCATGCGTGGACATTGGGATGGCGTAAAGTGCTGCGTGGGCTTTGTTTTGCGTAGACACGAGTAGCGTACATGTTGATAATCGACAATTTTGGCGAATACGCAATCTTCTTTTCTGTTTTAGTCAAGTCCAATGGAAATATCGTGTGTGTCAGCTGACTGACTAGAGTTTGTACCTGTCTAACAGACGCTGCAACTCTCTCAAGCAGGAATTCCAAATCACCACACTCAAAGTCTACAACCTATGCGATGGCAGTCAGGTCTCTTCCAGCACCCTCCCATAGAAACGGATGGGATAGCTAAGATGGGCCGTGTTGAACGCGGAGACGGTGTTCTGACATATTCAAGTTTACGTTGCGTATAGAAAAGCGGGGGAAATAATTGCAGATCATTGTCTGCGCAAGGGCTACTCGGGAATAAGGTACAGACAACTAGGTATTCCTTCATAATGACGGTATTTTTCAGCAGTCGTCTACCTTGATCACAAACTGCTTCAAGTACAGGTAATGAGGCAGGTTCTCCGCAACAGGCTTCCGGATCAGCGTCGCCCCCTGCTCCCCAAACTCCTGAACCCACGAATCGTAGTCCTCCTCCTCGGATCGACGGGGCTGCATTCTCTATCAGTATCCATGCCCAGATCAACGGCATCAAGAAGGATTGGAGAAAGACTTACCTTGCTCTTTCGAGCTCTGAGCCCCCGACTCTCGATACCATCCGACCCCCCGAACCGGCACACCCCCCCAACCGGCACAGCCAAACCCCACAACCACCACCAAAAGTCCCCTTACTCACTTACACGGATTACAGCCCCTTTTGAGGGTAACTAGACGTTCTTTAGATGGTTAGATAGCCCTTTTCTTGGGGTTTAGCGGAATATAGATTATTTAATTGCTAGGCCATCAGCATCGGCATTTAGCAGCCTCCGTGCCCCGCCCTTAAATGCCTCCGCCCACGTATACAGAGCATGATGTGGTGGATGCCTACCTAGACGTCACAAATAATGGCATGTCTGTGAGAAAATCCAGCCAAAAATACGGCGTCCCGGCCAGCACGCTGTCAGCACGCATAAGGGGGAGAGGGACTAAAACGGAGGCTCACACCACCGAGCAGAGAATTTCTCCTGAGCAAGAAAGCAAGGTAGCAGCCTGGATATTGCGCCAGGAGACTTTGGGGCTTGCCCCCTCTCACTCAGCCGTCAGGGGAATTATGATAGAACTCCTAAAAAGAAAGGGGGATTTCGCACTGCTTGGGAACCACTATATGGACAGCTTTAAACGACGCAACCCTATCATTCAGACTAAAATTGGTAAGCGAATGGAATCCGCTCAGTTTAAGGGGTTTACCCCTAAGTCTGTGAACTGGTTCTTCAATATCTTGGAGGACTACGGCTGGATAAAGCCAGAAAATACATACAATGTCGATAAGGGCGGCATCATGTCGGGTTTTGGTAACTCTTTTGAGCCCCCTATCTTTATAGTTAATTAATTATCCTTATAGGCAGTGATTCCCTAATTCTGGGAAGTTCTGAGACGAGGAAATCTTTCCTAAAGAGCCCTCAGGGCCGCTCGTGGACATCTTTTATTGAGACCATTTCAGCTACCGATAGAGTGCTCAAACCAGGCCTGATTTTCAAGGGAAAAGATCTCCAAGCGCAGTGGTTCCTCGAGGAATTCCAGAAGATAGCCGACTGGTATTATATAACGTCGGAAAATGGCTGGACCAGTAACGATATCGCCTGCCAGTGGCTTGAGCACGTTTTTATACCATAAGTGGATGAAACTCGTGGCCAGGAGCAGTGGGAACCAGTCCTTTTGATCCTAGATGACCATGGTAGCCATACCTCCGTACGTACACTAATTTTTTCTATTTTATTCACTGGTTGTTTGATTTATGCCGATTTGAATAACAACTGACTATAGAAAAGGATGAATTTATGATGCGGTGTTATTTTGTCAACATCTTGCTGTGCTTTTTCCCAGCACACACTAGTCACAGAATGCAACCACTGGATAACGGCCCCTATAACTCCCTCAAGTCTTACTACCAGAGATTCCTCACCCAGTTAAATTCTCTGACTGATTCCTCCCCTGTTGATAAGATCAACTTTATCCGCTATTATAGCAAGGCAAGGAACATAGCATTTACGTCAAAAAACATCCGCTCGGGCTTCTGAGTAACGGGGTGCTATCCAATTAGCCACAAAAAGTGTCTAGACCATCCAGAAATATAAAAAGACAAGCGGAAGACCCCCGAGCCGGAAGAACAGGAGGACTCGGAGCCGGAGGACCAACAGACCCCTACCACGAGCCGGCAAATCCAGGATTTCGGAAAGAACCGTTCCCCAGCCACTCGGCTGAAGTTCCGGAAGATCTCTCATGCCTTTGAGAACCAGGAGACGTAACTGGCCATAAAAGACCAAAAGATCAGGGCCCTGGAGGCTGAACTGGAACGGCTACGGCCCAATAAAAATTTTTTTTTTTCCAAATCCTAATAAAAAGTTCATAATAATGATAGGAATACTAGCCCAGGGTGGTGATCCGTTAGTTCCGGTTGCTGTAGAGTCTTCTTCTTCTTCTTTAGAGTCGGAGATTATTGAAGACGAGGGTGAGGAGGACGAGGAGGTTGCGGACGCTGAAGAGGCTGTAGAAGCCCCTGCTACAGAAGCCCAGATGACTAGATCCGGGCGGTCAATCCGGGCGCCGGCTAGATACGTCGATTGAGCAGCCAAAACACCGCAGAACGATAATTTTGCTGATTTTTTTGACCTTATACAGCCTCAAATGCGTGTAAGTGAGTAGGGGGGTCTTTTGGTGGTGGTGGCGGAGTTTGGCTGTGCCGGTAGTGGGGGTATGCCGGTTCGGGGGGTCGGATGGTAGCGTCCAGGTGAAACCCAGTCCAGCTGGCGAAGACCTGGGCCGCATGATCATCGTCCTCCCTGCTATCCCACTGCAGCATGCCCCGCTGGTAGTCCAGCCCGATGTATCTGCAGTAGGCCTGGACGACCTGTTCGGGCTGCTGCAGTAGATCCCCGGCGTCGATGAGACAGGGCTGTACCCCCCTGCTCCCCCTGCTGCTGCTGCTGCTCGCCGTTGGGCATCTGCGAAGCGATGACGCCCTGGCGCACCAGATAGTCGAACATGCGGCGGAGCTTATAGTACCCCGCCTCGGAGGCGAGGAAGAACCGCTACCCCGTCTGCTCGCGCCTGGCCGCCGTCGACGTCAGCCGGTACAGGCTTGGGATGCTCTGCTGCGGGTGCCGGATCAGAAAGGTCCACTGGAAGCGTTGCAATATGTTATATTTATACCTAGCATATATTACTACCGGTAACGACGTACGGTTAAAGTTAGGTAAGAATTAAGGTCGGGTTATAAATAAGGTTATAATTGTCACGGCCCAGAGCACCGCTCATGGTTGGTGCCATGGGCTGGGTCTGTGGGTCCTGGGATGTGATCCTGGAGGAAGATGGAGACGATGAAGCGTTTGAGGGAGATTTGCTGTGGGTCAAAGCGGCCCTTGATCGCGTGTTTGGCTTGCTCTGGCCCCCTCGTGCCTTGGTTCTCTGTTTCTTTGGTTCTTTCTTTGGGGGAAGGTTATTGGTATTGGGGGATGTTTGGATAGGTTGGGCTGGTCTTCCAGTCCCTTCAGAACTATCCTGATGTTCTGGAATGATAATGGTACTTATCGTCACAGTGTGTTGGACAGAATCAGTAGTAATGGTAGGTGGGATAATAAAAGGATAATAAAGTCTTGGGATAGGTGGGTGTTCGGAGACACTGCACCTGTCACTGCTAGAGGCAAAACTCCTTACAGTGGTGATCTAAAGACAAGGCTTATAATCTGGTATAGAGGAGTCTTGATATTATGTCACAGCGAGCGTACTAAGGAGCTGGGACATGGCCGGCAGCAAGCAGCTATTACTCTATTGACGAGAATATCCAGACTAGAGAGGAAAGGAAGAGAGAGAGAGAGATAGGTATAGTGGGAGGTTACCCTTTTAAGGGGATCCTCTGGTCAGATCCTTCCCCTATTGGGAGGTATCCGCTTGTCATGTGGGAAGGTCTGTGCAGGCCGCCACAATAATTAAGGTTATAATTAAAGTTAAGGTTATTTAAGAATATGTCTTATATACGTTATAGTAATAATATGCTAAGCATAACGTAGGTCACAAGCGAGCGGCAATTACAAGCGAGCGGCAACTTTTCACCAGCCACCCAACCTTTCAATCAAGGCTCCTAATTGATCAACCAACAATAATGGCATTGCGTTATAGCGAATCAGACTTACAGCTTGCTGTCCAAGCTAAGCGACGCGACCCTCATATTACCATTGGCAAGCTTTCTAAGACTTTCCATGTCCCATACAATACCTTGAAGGCTAGAATCGCCGGCCGACCATCACGACGCGATAGCATGCCTAATTCTTTGAAACTTACGGTTTCTGAAGAGAATGCCATTTGTTCCTTCATAATCGACCTGGATGCGCGAGCATTTCCGCCCCAGTACACTTATGTTGAAGATATGGCAAATCAATTGTTGGCGGCGCGCGGGGCTGGACGCGTTGGAAAGAACTGGACAGCAAACTTCATCAAACGTACACCAGGCCTCCGGACGCGTTTTCATCGGAGGATGGACTACGAGAGGGTCTTGAACGAAGATCCGGACGCGTATCGCGCGTGGTTTCGCCAAGTTGCGGCGGCAATCGCAAAACATGGTATCCAAGACGCGGATATTTACAACTTTGACGAGACTGGGTTTATGATGGGCATTATTGGGTCCGGCATGGTCATTACAAGCGCTGAAAGACGTGGTAGGCCTAGACAAGCCCAGCAAGGCAACAGGGAATGGTCTACAGCAATTTCTGCTGTCAATGCTGATGGTTGGGTGGTCCCGCCGTTCATCATTCTACAGGGCAAAACCCACCTCGCGTCATGGTATCGCGACACAACATTACCACGCGATTGGAAGGTAGCCGTGTCCGATAATGGGTGGACTACGAACGAGATTGGGTTGGAATGGATTCGGCATTTCGACAAGTATACCAGACCGCGTATGACTGCCGGTAAACGCCTCCTCATCCTAGATGGTCACGAAAGCCACCATTCCCAGATCTTTGAGAGATATTGCCAGAACAACAGCATTATTACCCTTTGTATGCCTGCCCACTCGTCACACAGGCTCCAGCCTTTAGATGTCAGTTGTTTTAGCCCGCTCAAACGAGCGTACGGTCGCATGATTGAGGATCTCATGTGGCGTCATATAACCCATATTTCGAAAGAGGACTTCCTTGCAGCGTTTTGTGAAGCACACAACGCTGCTATGACGCCAGGGAACATTCGAGCAGGTTTCAGTGCCACTGGGCTTGTTCCTTTTGACCCAGAAAGTGTCATTTCGAAACTGGATGCTGTCGCTGTCGTACGAACACCGTCGCCAGACCCCAATCTGCCACCCACTACTTGGACTTCGAAGACGCCTACCACCATCAACGAAGCGGTCAACCAATCGGTTCATATCCGAAATCGAGTCAGAAACCACTAGGGAAGCTCACCTACATCAATAATTGATGCGTTGAGCTCGTTTTCAAAGGCTACATACGGTCTTATGCATAAGGTCGCTTTGGTTGATTCCCGGGTCCGCGAGCTAGAGGAGGCCAATCACCTACTAAGTAAACGCCGGAGGACAAAAAACAAACGTCTAGTGAAAGGAGGAGTACTTTCCATTAAAGATGCAGTAGGTCTCCAGGCTGTAAAGGATGGTAGTGAGCTGGCAAGACAGGAAATGGGTGAAGGTAGTCGTCATCCGAGGAGGGCGGCAGCGCGTGAGCGACGTTGTGGCGTTTGCGGCAACACTGGCCATAATGCGCGAACTTGTACAATAGAGATAGAAACGTCTGAAGAAGAAGAATCCGATTGATTAGATTGAATTAAATGCGTTGTGGTCGAGTTATTTGACATGTTGGTTAGAAGATTGGTGAAAAGTTGCCGTTCGCTTGTAATTGCCGCTCGCTTGTGACCTACGTTATGCTGAAAATATCTAATACCTCACTAATAATTAAAATTATAAGCTCTCTATCTTAGCCACCGCGGAACTAAATCTTACTACCACCGAAGTGTAACTTCGTTTATCTTCGCACCACTTATAGCACGCCCACCTCGAAAGCGCAGAATCACCATCTCGACATTTTCTACCGTGCAGTAGACAACTTCATATAATAATTAGTTCTCCTTAAAAAGAAGTGACTTACTAGTAATTAGGCTATTGATTTAGAGGACGATTCTGAAGACTCGCAGGTGGCCTTCACCACTGCCGCCTTAGCAGTCGACCGGAAATGAAAACCGGACATGCGCCGATTGGCTCGTTGCGGAATCATTGGGGCCCGCTCCACGTGCAACTTCACGCGGCGCTCTGATCATCAGCTAAGAGAGCCACCCACTGTGAAGCTGGTGACGACTGGGGGTTTGAAATCGAACTATGGCGATAGTTCAATGAGGATGCCCAGGTTGAATCAGAACCAAGCTGTAACACCGGCAATACTATAAAGAAACTGGCTAACATAGAGGGAATGAGTTCACCGAATCATGGCAATTGGACCATCGTGATAGCAGTCAGCAAAGTGAATCTTCAGAAAAAAGGAACTCGATGCAATGAATATGGTATCTAACACAAGCAACACATAATCCTCAAAGGGGACAGGCAGCCATCAAGGCCATCCCATCGCATCCCATGCACTGTCTAATGCCATCATGACTCGTCTCAAGTCAGCCTCGCCGTCTAGGTACCCACAGACCAAATCCCAGGAGATGAACCTCCAGCGCCGATGAATGCGATATCACCCATGCATATCTATAGAAAGCGGTAAAGCGAAACACTCCCTGCGACAATGTTTGACTTCGACAATAGACCCCACTACGCGAACCTGACTTCGTTGAACATCCCGGCTCTGACCTGGATCAGGCTGACCAGTTCCAGGAGAAACGACTGATATATGATGACATTAGTGATGATGTGCGAGACCGAAGCCGTCTTCTCATCTGGCGGGGTTTCCGTCTCGGATTCAACCTCTGATTGAGCCTCGGCTTCGCTTTCATCCACGTCAAGCTGGTCCTCGAGGGGATCATGGTTGTCTTCGCCTTCCCGGCTCGGATTTCTCTCAATATCGCCATTACTATTGACCTTCTTGTTGAAGTTCAGTGGAATAGGCTCCACCTTCTGTCCAGGTAGGCCAACTTTTCTGGCCAGGATCCCCTGATCGACTGCGGCAAAGGCAGCAGCTTGACTTGCAACCGGGCTGTCTCGCTCATCAGAGCCAAAACCGTCATGCTTGGTACTAGGCGAAAACGAGCGAGACGGACCAGTTTTGCGAGGCGTATCATAGTTGAGAGGAAACTCTTTGGGCGGGACAGGGACTGGTTTGGAGGTGGGTGTAGACCCGGCACCTGAGCTGCGGTTCGTGTCTCTCCGTCCGCGAGGACTGCGTGATCGAGTGGGAGTGCCCAGTTCGGACAATATCCTCTGAGCGAAACTCTCAAGCCCACTAGGCCTTGCCGGAGACGCTGACCGTGGATCTGTCGCGCTTGGCTGGTCTGGTCCAGGGGTCCTTGTGTTGGAGCCGGAGCGAACATTGGGTTGATTCATAACGATCGCGTCAGCGGTTTGGAACGCCTCACGACGCTGTTGCAAAAGATCTTCGAATCTCGGGATCGTGTCTCGGAAAGATGCAACTTGGTCAGCGAGTGACTCTAAAACGGCGAGGATGCGGGGCAAGGTGGAGGGCTGCCACTGCGGCCGTCGCCGACACCTGCTCACAGCCTGTAATTTCTCGATCTCACTGAAAGAGGGCGAGCTGGGATCCAACAGCGGTGGTTCAGTCTCATTGGTTTCCTCGTCGAAGACATATTTCCTTGGATGACGCAGAAGCCAACCCTCTAATGATATATATCCGCAGATAGCCAGGTCCATGATTGTCTCGGTGACGGACAGGTTTGTCTCCACGGGATTCATAAAGAATTGCTGAACAATGTCGAGAATATTGTGCAGAAGAGGATCATCGGGACGCAGGGTATGCGGTGGAACGTCTCGAGGTGCGCCAGGCAGGCTATCCGGTATGGCAGGAAGTTTGTGGTTATTGGTCGATACTTTCGGTGCCACCAGCTTGAGTGAGCAAGGGTGACCTTCCACCCGAGTCATTGTGTCTTTCAATATACTGTCGTAGACTTCGTCGAAATTGTCCCGTCCGCCAACTGATCCAGCTAATGTCACAAGAAAATCGACTTCTTGCTGATGAGCTCCCACAGTCCGATGCGCCGTATTGCCAATAACACCTTCGGTATGAAGAAGGGTGACGATCGCGTATCGGTGATGCCGCTTAAGGATCGCCGCTACGAGTTGCAGCGTCACACATACTGTCTGTTCGTTTTGGCTTTTAAGACACGACTGGATTAAATCGACCAGGTTGAACAGTAAGGGCGAATAACCGGATTCGACTTTAGTTGCCATCATACTTGCGAGGTCCACAGACTTGCGCTTTCGAGCAGCGCTTATAGCAGGCTCTACATACGGTCGAACTGAAGATTCCGAACCCGGAAGCGCGAGCAAGTAGTGCAGAATCAGATTGATCATGTCGGGATGGTCCAGTGACTCTAAAATGCGTCTGAGGTAGGTCAGAACTGCCACCGACGAGCCACCATCCACATCAGAGGACTCTAGAAGCGACGGGTATCTGCCAAGTTCAGTCAGTCTACATCCCCACGATGGCACTCCACGAAACCTACAATAATTGCTGGAGAAAAATGACCTGGAAGTGTTCCAGAAGGGTGGACTTGACTTCTACAGATCGACAATGGTTCAGAACATCCTGCCAGAACAGGAGATGTGAGAGAAACGTGTCCAAGTGTAGTTGAAAGTCTGGACTGCATGAACTGATGATCTCGAATGTTGAGGCCGGATGCTGGTAGTCGGAAAAGGCGAGAACAGGTGGTAAGTCTTGTGGTGGATGATCAATGACCAGCTTCCGGCTAAGCTGACTGTACAATGCGCCCAGGCCTGTGGCCATCAAAGTAGACAGATCGCTTTCGACAATCCATTGCTCAAGGGCGACTGAGTTCGAGGCCGCTTCAATGATGTATAGGAGCCCCGTCCGGGCAAAGTCTCCAACTTTGCCCTCATGGTGGATATAGTCCATCAAGAGGTAAAACAGTGGGAAGTCATGCTTCTGTGTTCTCCCGGCAAACTTGTCTTTCCGATCTTTGAGTTTCTCATTCTGTGCTGCCGCGTCGGATTGGGACTTGAACCAAGCAGGGAGGATCTCGGGCTCGAGCCTGATCTTGGTGGTGATGTTGAAAGCCAATTCAACAACCCTGACTTCAGTATCGGAGCCCAGCCGTATACTATTGGCACCGGTAATGCGAACAAGGAGGTTGGTCAAGCTGGCGGAAAAGGCATCGTTCTCGACGAAGGCTTCCTCCTCGCTCTCGATCAACGTGGCGAAGAATAGCACGGCCTCCCGGATGATCCACTCATTGTATGAAGTCGTGGCTATCTTGGCGATCGGGGTGTATATCTGTTTCGTGGCGCAAAAGGAAATGCACGGATGCGGCAGCGGCCGACGGGATTCGTTGGCGAGGATATTGGTCAGCTCCTGGAGGCGGATCTCGAGGTTCTCGGCAGCATCGACATCGCGAGCGAGGTTGGAACAGTTGCGCCATATTTGCTAGGGCTACGAGTCAGCGGTCTGTGTGGTGACACGGGCGACCGACGAACGTACCAGCAGCTGGCTGTACTCCTTCTCGAAGCGCTGGCGTCGCCTGACGGGATCCCGCGCGGCATCCTTGGTGGAGTTGCCCGACAACGGGGTGTTTGCTACGAGGCGCAACCACTGCAGCACCAGTCAGCATGTCGGACAACGGGAGGGTAACCAGCTGGTGGAGGTGACCGACAAAGTCCATTTCGTCTCCGGCGGCATCGCTCGCGATGGTTGTTGGAGAGCGCTAGCTGGCACTGGCATCAAGTCAAGCCTGGACTGGCAACTGGGTCAGCAGTCAGTCAGTCGCATTGATCAAGATTGGAATCGTGTCTGAGATGTTTCCACCGGGCGATTAGCAGTCTAGGGGTGACCCCTGTAATGCAATGCACTCAATACTCAATGCATGAACAGGTGTGGCTTAGAAGAGCGGGTGGGTGGCTTGTGGCTGAAGCTGTCAGAACTGTGGCTTACGCATGAGCCCACATGCAAGCGAAAGGGCTGACGGCGGATTGTGGCTCCTCAACCCATTTTCCAGCCACAATGACGGATGGGTCACGGACCAGGGTACAAGGTACCTTGGAGCCCAACTAGTACCCGTTTGTACCAGATTCGTACCCAACTGGGATGATAGCTACTTCTGGGATGGGGACACCACCCATCCCTTCTTTCAATCAAGCAACTTCCAGAATACAGACCAATAGCCACCATTCGTGACCCTGGTCCTTATTCTGGATACCGCTACCACAAGGCACAGGATCGTCTCATCGCGTAACTCATCGCTACATAAGGTATTCATTCCCGTCATTCATATTTCTATCTCTCATGTCTACTGTTGCAGGCTTTCTCCGCCACGCGGGGTGTGACATATTCTATGCCATACCACTGCCGTGGTGAGCGTGGGTTGTCTATCTGCGGACTACCTAGACAAGCACTGACTGCTCCGGCAGGTCTCCCGTTCCTCTAAACGACTCATTCATTCGAGGATGAGGTAGGAATCCAGTCCGTTTCAAAGAGCTGATATTCTGTCGTATGGCCTTCGCCACAAGCATTTTGCTAGCAGCAGTTGTATCACTCTTCCATCCGCACGTGAACGCGCCCTGTTCCTGGTCGAGGAAGAAATACAACGGCCACAGCGGATGGCCTTTGCCCTGCTGCTGGACGAAATGTCGGAGACAGGGCCACCACTGCGCCGAGTGAAGAGGTCGAAGGATGCATCGGAGTTCCTGACTTAGCAACTCCCACAGGCCTGCGAGATATATGCCGTCCATGATTGTTGTTGTCACTTCGGCTGGATCGTCAATGATATGCGCGTTTGCTGGAGAGATGATGCCGCCGCTGCTCAAGACTGTTTGCGCGACCTGTTCCACATCGCAAACAAATATCCACTCATTCTGCCGACTGCGACACATGATGCCGGCCTCTACGGCACCGGCCACGACCCTCCATATATAGTCGCGGGTGTTCGTAACGCCCTTGGTCGGCGACCCGATGATATAGCCGGGCCGAACAACGCGAAGTCGATGACCGCCAACACTCGCAAACTCGTTAGCAAGGCTGGAGACAACGAGTTCCGAGACAAGTTTGCTCTGAGAGTAGCCTGTCGAGTTGGCCGCTTGCCTGATCCGGACGCATTCCGACGATTCCTCTGCTGGACTCAAACGCTGCCCGCCGGAGACATAGACGATATTGATTGGACATGGGCAATCGCAAACAGCCCGTAGGATCTCTGTGGTCGAGGAGACGTTGACGGGCTTCAGTTTCTCGTAGCACAGGTTGTATCGGACCAAAGCGCCGTTGTGGATGATGGTGGTGATCCTTCCGCTAGTCAGGTTCTCCCAGTGCTTCTGGTCCAGGCCAAGTTGCGGTTGAGCCAAGTCCCCCGTCCAAACGACCACTCTTTCGTCCCATGCACTGTCCCACCGGTGCCCAGTGGCGAGGAGAGCCTGTCGCAGACGTCGAAACCCGTCTTGTTCGCTGCTGGCTTGGACAAGGACGTAGAGGTAGCGCAACGTAGGCTGTAAGAGCAGCTGACGAAACATTTCGATGCCAAGATAGCCGGTCGCTCCAGTTAGAAGGGCATTCTTGACGAAATCAGGAGACCCCTGGATGCCACCGATGACCGAGCTAGACTCCCGACGCAGCCGCTGAAGTAGTCGCTCGGTAGTTTCCCTCACCTCTTTCTCGAGGTCAACTGCCAGCACTAGGTCGTCCAAAGCTGCCGCCTGAACAGTCTTGGCCAGGGATCGAACGCTGACTCCGTCTTTGCTCAGATGCTCGATGCTCACTTTCGCACCATGTTCAGACTTCAACCAGGTCAACAGCGTCATGGCCTGGATGGAATCTATCCCGAGTCTGTCGAGTGGGACATCACGATTCCGGATCATGTCCAGAGTGAGGAGATCAGCTAAGAAACTACTGATAGCGGCTGCAAGTGTCTCGTCTGGGACAAGAGGAGATACATCAGGCGCAGCGAGCGAAGAACATCTGATTGCACCTGGAAGTGAACATAGCAGCTCGTGGATCTTCTTGCGGTCGCTTTTCCCCGAGCCCGTTTGTGGGATTCGCTCAATGACCAGCAACAGCGAAGGCACCATGTAGCTGGGGAGTTTCGAGCCCAGTGTCAAGTCGATTTGTGGAGACTCCAGCAGACGAAATGGACCGAATGCTTGACTTTTCAAAGTATTGCCATTTGCAGCGGCGCTCCCAGGCTGCAGTACGCCCGCGAGCCGCTCCGCCAGCGGTCCCGAGCGGGGATACGCAGCAACTGCTCGTGTTATCGTCGATGGAAAGGAAGTGGTCAGATGGTATTCAATCTCCATCAGCTCGACGCGCTGGCCGTGGACCTTCACCTGTTGATCTGACCGCCCAACAAAAACGAGCAAGCCGTCCGGATCCAGGTATGCCATGTCCGCCGTTCTGTAGAACCTGCGCGGTCCCTCATAACCTGGATAGGTAAAGGAACCATCCGTACTCCATCGCAGGTCCTCCACGAAAGCGGCTTGCGTACGGACGGGATCCTTGAAATAGCACCGTGATAGAGTCGGCCCTTCAACCACGACCTCACCGGTCTCGCCAACGGAGGCCAGCCTGTGCGGATTTTGCGGATTGACAATCCAGCAGCGCGCTCCGTCCATGGCGCGACCAATTGTTGCTGCGGGCTTCGTGTGTCTGTCCTGAAACTCATATGCGGTGCAATTGCCGCTCTCAACTGGGCCGTAGCAGTTGATCAGGCGGACATGACCGAACCATCTTTCCAGATGCTCCTCTTGCACGGCCTCTCCAGCCAGGACCAGAGTCTTCAACGTGGGCACTTGGTGCGGGTAGAGGAGGTTGGCGACCGTTGCTGTGAGATCAGCCCAGTTCACCCGCGTCTGGTTGATGAAGCCGGCGAGATTGGCGCGGCGGTCGTCCTCACTGGGGATGCAGAGACAGCCGCCCCGTATGAGAGTGGTGTAGATGTCCATGGTCGAGACGTCAAAGGTATAGGCTGCGAACTGGAGCACGCGACAGCTCGAATCCACGTGGAGGCTTTTGGCGTGGCTCTGGAACAGCGTGCATATCGCTCCGTGTGGTTGTACCACTGCTTTCGGCCTTCCTGTCGAGCCCGAGGTGAATAATATGAAGGCTGCATTGTCCGGTGTCACGCTCGACATCGGCGCAGTAGGTGAATGCGGCTCTGCTGGCGGAAACATGTCTTCTAGCTGAACCTTTGACGTTGGCACGCAAACAGCCGCATCTACAAGACCGTTGAAGCGGTTGACCCACTGCGCCGAAGTCAGGACTACCGAAACCTCCGCAATATCAACGATAGTCTTCAGCCTGTCCGTCGGATGTGCCCCATCCAACGTAACGAACGCACTCCCGGTCTTGAGAACGGCGAGCTCGGCGACAACAGCTGCGAATGACTTGTCGAAACAGATGCCAATGGCCGTCTCTGGTCCCGTCCGCTGGGGATACTCCCGTTGAAGGTATGCCGTCCCACGAACAGATCGCCTCGGCATCTGGCGTAGCGCGGGCTCGAGACGCGATCATCTCGTGGACACAGGAGTCGACTGCGGGTGGATAATTGCGGTTCAAGCTCCGCAGCTGCTGTCGGTCTCTCTCGCTCAGCAGATCCATCTCATTCACGGACGTAGATGGCCGAGCCGTCAAGGAAGTGATCTCGATGAGCGCTTTGTTTAGGGTCGCTGCCACGTTCTGCGCAACTGGTGTCTCGATCCCAGCGCCATATATCAAGCTAAGCTTCGGCAGCCCACAATGGAAGTCTGCGTCGACCACGAAGGCAAGCTGACTCGGCAAGCGAAACTTGGCTTGTTAGCTCATCCGCTTGAAGAAAGGGGGAGGAGGAAGTGAGAGCTTTCTTCGCTTAGTGGACACTTACCTGATTGGACGTGTCGGCTGCTGGTGTGCCCCTGTGGTCGTGTCTTTCTTCATCCGCACCATGGTAGCAGACACCCGTATTGACGGCAACAGAAGTAGCTCCCCTCGAAATCCCTTCGGACGAGCAACGATAGCATCCTTGATGTTCTCCATGTAGCCCAGGAAAGGACTTGACTCCTCCATCAGACAAGTGAAGTACGACGAGGACTCGGTTGCAGCGATAGAGTCCAAAACTGCAAACGTGACACTGTCACTGCCAACATATCGACGAAGCACCAGTGCCCAGGCTGCATGGATGACTTGCTCCACAGTGACCCGGTGGGCCTGGCTGAAGGGGAGGAGAGCATCGTTGGGGGGCAGCTTGAGAATAATGCTCCCGCTGCCGCTGCCACTGCCGACCTCTTCCGAGTCAGCGGCAGTGGGCTGGCTTCGAATGGGAAAAAGGCAGGTAGGCATCGTGCTTTACCTGACTATTGCTTGGGTTTAAATAGGTATGTTGATTAGGTCTGTGCCGCAAAGACGTAACTCTAGGAGATGATGCCATATAGAATCGGTATTTATGTAGAGACAGGAAGGTGTGATATTTACAGCGAACAATACAACCCCTAGAGTGTTGGCAACCTCCTGCGCTCAACTGTCCCCCGGGACTTGGTGGCGGCACTCTGTATAGGGGGTTTCGATGGCGCGGAAGTCTCGATAGAGTCCGTGGGCCGAACTTTCATGTTGATCTCGCAGGCTCGATGCTGCTTGAGGAATGCTGCATTAGTCGCTAGGACTCAAGATCTAGGATTCCGCATCTAGACCGTCGTTCAATAACTATGATGGCATCATGAAGCCATATTATCCTTGTTCGGGGATGCCACGCAGATATGTGAAGCCATTCCCATCGACGCTGTCGATGAAAGGAGCAGTCAGCCGGCGCACGGCCACGTCAGCTACAGATAACACAAGCAACTATTTGCGAGCGAGCCAATGGGTTGCTATGTACCTGTACCTCGCCGTCGCCTTCCTGCCGAAAGAGGCTTGTCGAGACACCACAAGGCCAAGATGAAGTTGGAGCCTGCATACTGATATGGTGCGGTGAGATGAGCATGAAGTCGAGCATGAAGCGGACAAGGGGATAATTCGTATTCGCTTACGGATCACCGGTTCCATCCCGATGAAAGATGACGATTCAGAGGTTTGCTTACGCGCAAAGTCATTATGATAGAATCTTGGGGCTATAACATCTCACCCCCCCCTGCGGACCACCCCCCCACGGACCACTCCACACCACACCACTCTCATTCAGATGAAGCCATCTACAACCATCACAGTTGCTAAATACACTAAGGTCGTGGTGTTCTAACCATAATACAGCTCCCAAAATCCGATTCCGACCCTAAATCTTCACCAGGGACCTCTTGTGGGACCTCTTCGCCTGCAGCGGAGTCCCTATAGACCCTCCTGTTCCTCAGCTCCATTTTGGCCTCCCTTATGTTAGCCATTGTGACGAATCGTTCCCCTGGTGTTGGTTTGACTACTTTTCGAGTGGTATTAGCCTTTTTAGCCACTTGAGCCTCAAGCAGCTCATATTTGGCCCGTAGATTTGTAATGGTAACAGCCTGAACATCCATGGCCTTGCCAGCCTTCTGCACCAACAAGCGCTCAGAGGGCCCCCCAAAGAAAGGGTCCTTTCTTTCGAGCTTTCGAGCACTCTCCCGCAAAGCCCGGCTTCCAGAGGGTGTTGTGACAATGGTTTTAGCTACCATCTCGAGAAAATCTGGTGTTGTGGCTCGCTCAGAAGCCTTAGGGTCCCTCTGGCGTGCCCTGGCCACCCCCTTGTCCTCTAGAATCACATATTTCGATTTCAACGCCTCCGCTCTGTTGCGAGGAACAATCCCAGTCTTTTTCCAGGCAATTCTGATATTGAAGAGCGTCATTATGTCCTTCCGGGCCTGCTCGTAGCACTCCAAAACCTCTTCCTTAGATGGCCTGAGTCCCAGACGGCCGCTGGGCGTCTCCTGGAGTAAGGTCTTCAACCTCTTCTTCACCAAATTAAAGACTCCCACATCTAACACCTGGACTACATGGGAGCAGTGAGGTTCATAAAAGATCAACCATACTTTGTTTCTCAAGCAGGTGGCTAGGAACTCGTCATTCGTGTGGGAGTCGTGGCCATCACACACCAAAACCACCCATGTGTTGCCGTGGACCTCCCGAATGTGAGGAATAAAGATACGTTGAAACCATTCTAACGCAATGGGATTCGAGGTCCATCCATTGAGCGACGTAATAAACCTCCAGTCAGTGAATTTGTCCTCATTTTGGTTGCTAAATTACTGGACTTGTACATTAACCCCCTTAAGAATCACCAGCGGCGGCAAGGTCTCACCAGATCCGCTCACACACTCTAGGGCAGTTATCCATTCATCCTTTTGGACCCCTTTCTTCATAGCCACGTTGCCGGAGGCCTTGGAGACCACCCAATGGGAGTCCCCAACCCCCTGGGCGATTCCCATTTCGTCGACATTGTACCAGCGTGCTGGCATGAGGTTAACCACGTCAGGGGCGTCACACCGATCAAAAAAAATGTTGATATTTGCCGCTATAGCACCATTTATTCGGTTATAGTCGATAATACGAGACTTCATTATCTTGACTTCCGGGTTTCGAGACAGGAACTTGGATGCCCAATTTTTCCCTAATTCTTGAGCATCCCCGGTGGCATAGAGCATCCGCTGGGCCATGAGACGGAACTTAGAGACCGCCGGAGAATACCCTAGCCGTGCTTGCCCCAGGGCCCAGCTTGCCAGCTTATGTTCGAGATACGGTGAGAGAGCCTGTTGGAGAGCGCTGGTCTCATTCCGCGTTGGGGTGCCAGAGATTTGTTGGTTGACGTACGAGCGACTGATTTGCCATTCGAGGGCTGACGAGCGGACTGGAGCTCCGCGTTGGATGGCCAAAATGGCGGCTTCAGCTTTTATTTGACGGTCGTAAAATGACATCATGAGATTCAGCAGTGGATAAGGATTCAAATAGTGTGCTTTATGGAAAAAAAGATGCAAAAGTGATGGTGTAGATGGTGGATCACCATAATCCTGGTGGTTGGTGAATTACGCGTTTGTGGGTCAGAACGCGCTGGTCCGCGGGGGGGTGGTCCGCAGGGGGGTGGGAGATGTTATTGGCTTCAGTGGCTATCAATTGCCAGTAAAATATCTTAGTAAGTCCTTCTCATACTCCCTCGCCACATTATCGTCATGTTCCAATAAGTCTAATGTTGTCCACTACTGATAGGGCATGAAGTTCGGGTGATATAAGGGAACGAGGCTCACTGAAGCTCATCTCGTCATTACAGGAATCTGACGCAGAGTATTCCCAAGCTTGAACTTGTGAGTTCGTTTTTTCCCCAGGTTGGCTGCATGGCTACTTCCATTCGACCACACACCGTTTGTGGAAGACAGTGTGACAAGCTGTCTAACCTATAAGGCTAAAGGGTTCTATAGGGTTTATGTTCTGAGGTAAGTCAACACAAAGGACGATAAAGGCTTCTATCAACTAGAAGACACTCAGATGCAGGGGCTTGGTCTGATCCAGGGGATCACTGTATAGTCGAGTCGTCAAGAGATTTCTTTCACTTTAAGGTTGACTAAGATATTTAGATTGATCACTGAGATAGAGACTGTCTATCTGTCTAGTTAGGAAATGTCTATCCTTATATATCCAATCTCTCCCTCACTGATGAGGTGTGTTCACTGTTGCTCGCGTGATCAGAAGTGAGCAACCTTCTCTTACTCACCATTGCTCGCGTGAGCAGACGTGAGCAACTCTAGTCACGTGATCCTGACTTCCTGGATCATGTGCCTGGATGCCCTGCGCTGTTCTGTATTGTGTCCCTGTTCTAATTGGGTTCCCTCATAGGTCATCCTTTTCCCTTCAGGCCTGCCAACGGGCCCGTGGTATTGTTGGTTCGTAACAGTCAGTTACTCTAGTTTGCCAGAAGACACCCTTCACTATTGCCTCTGACCGAAATCGTTTATATAGCACGATCATAACTCACTTTTCACCATCCTAGTATAATGGCCAACAACGCTCTTGTAGAGTACTACGAGGCGGATGCCCATCGTTTCCCGCCCGTATCAACGAAAATTATTCATCCTCTCTATGCAACAAGCAAATCAGGACTACGCGAAGTTCTCTGCGAATACCATGCAAATGAGGAACAATCAATATGGACTTTCGGAGGCCAGCTTCATGGCATTGTTCTTGGTGGCTTCGAAGGGCAGGGGTGTGTGGCAGATGGGCAAATCACCATCACAAGACTAGGCAGCGGAACTTTTATATCGCCTTATAATAATTATATTATTAAAAGAAAATCGCACTAACATAATATTTTGCTATTAAGTATATATAATCATTTAAAGTTAAATGTGATTTTTTCGAAACGGTAATGTTTTAGTTAAATTTAATATTAATATTCGAACCTACTTTATATTAATTAATCTACGAAAATGTTAATACCTGGAAACAAGACCTTTTATTGATATACTTAACTTAACTTGGCGACGACGAGGTCGTGGATAGTGTTAACTTAACTTAACGGAGGGGTCCCATTAATGTAGATTGAGTTGGTCGGGACCTTGAGTACTACAGCAAGCCAAATGAGTTCATGGCCAACCTTTATACCCCTGGTGTTGGTATTAATCCCCACCACGATGGCAATACGACTGTTTACATATTCTCAGAAAGCCTCGTCGTTGACGGGGAATTTTCCTTCTTCCATTCAAGGGCATCGTACTTTGACAAAACCCGGCGTGGTTTTTCATCTGAGGACAATGAGCACCGCCCGGGACCTGGCTGCGAAAAAAATATGATGCCTGGTTGCCCCAGAGTCCGAACGGGGACCAGACAAGGTTGATGCAAAGCAGAGGCGGAACCGTCTGCGAGACGCAAACTGACGCAAAAAAGAGGATATTGGCTACCAAGACTTCAGGATTGAAGTTTCCCTCTATACTGAAGATATCATTGACGCACGGCGTAATCCTGCTTATGCCAGGAGGGATTTTCCAATAATATTTTGAACATTCAGCAACAAGTGATGGAAAGTTGGGCTCAAGAATTGTACTGACGGATAGGCGGGTGAAAAAAGCAGATGAGATGGCTGCGTAGAGAATTCGTGCAGGAAAATCCAAGATCTTGTATGAAAATACAAGTAATAATTATTTATAAAAAGGGCACTGACCCGCGACTGAGGTCCAAGACATCTCTTTCCAAGCCGGTCGGGAGACAGGTCCCTTCACCAGTGTGCAAAAGTTCAACGACCGGGTGCAATGATGTGTTCTTTAGATGCCCTGGTAACTGTCACAGTTCCACTGCTGGTGACTCGAAATGAGTTTTGTTGTTGTATGTGAAGAAGAAAAGGAACTATACAACTTGTTTGTTTGTTTTGTATTTAACGTGGGGGATTGCTCCTCAGTAGTGCAAACCACGCCTCCCAGAGCCTCTGCATCGCAGGGTTGTGGAAGTATCAAGATAATAAGTACAGTCAGTCCCGCTCACGAGTGTTGGATTCTGGGCTATGTTAGCCCATCCATAGTCATCCTTCAGGATCACCATCCCCATTTGTGACTCTGTCACATACGTGGCCAATATAAGGCCACGTATTCTTTCCTTTAGTATCTTGGATATATATAGGGCCACTCTGGCCGCTCTAGAGTAGCTGGAATTCCTCTCCTTAATAGAACACTTTGAAATCTCACAACGAGCCCATCCCCGTTGTTGCGGCGGTATGACCTTGGGTCATCCATCTGGTCCTTCAAGAAAAGCTATCTATCGGGGGCAGATTGATGAAAAGAATTTGCTCTTCTCCACGAATTTTGCCCATTCTGTGCTCCTCTCCCCTAAGTATTGTAAACAAGCTGCCCTAGACGAGTACCTGGGCAGCAGCCGATTTTTCCCAAGCCTCTTACAAAAGAAAATGTGTTGTGGTGTTTTCTTTTCACCACAGCTGCAGTGATCATTCGTCTGTATGCCTAAAGCGTTCGTGGTATCTGGCAAAGTCGCCATGTCTAGATCTGGCCGCTAGAAGTCTGTGTAAAGTACTCCTCTTAAAAGATATAAGGTCTCTTTTAGTTACTGTATGTGAGTATACTTCTTGATACCTAGGTTCTGATTAGTCTTTCTACCATTGATTGAACTCTTTCTTGCCCTTTTTTTTGAGATCTCTCTTGACCCACGAGATTATGGAAAGGTTTGTTATGTCTGTTTCTAGCATGGCACCCTCTTTTGTTAGTGTGTCAGCAGCTTTGTTGCCATTAATATCTCTGCGTCCAGGAATCCACTTGACGGTCACTCCAGGAGTATATGCCGTGGCAAGTTCTTGGAATCATAGAAAAATGTTCTGTGATGTCTCAGGTGGAGTCCCATTAAGCCTATCTAACACTGCTGTGCTGTCCAGGCAGACATATAGCTGTTTTCTGTGTCCAATTGCCCTGGCTGCTGCAAGCCCTCGGAAAGCTCCATGGACTTCAGTATCTATTACTTCTGTTTAGAGAAGTCTGCCCTTTCCCTAATATACTTCTTATATAGTATTGTTTTTCTTGATAGTGTAGTTCTATCCAGTGCGTGTTGTGCCTTTGTCGTCTAATTGTGATCCATCTGAGTAGATGACAAGGTCAGTGTTCATATTTCTCTCTTATAACCATTCCTTAAAGAGCTCTGTCTTTTTGTCTTTATCCTTTTGGATTAGGGGCTTTTTTTATAATGGCTTGGTGAGTATTGGTCTCTGGAAGTCAGGGACTAGCTGGAAGTTCCTTTGTAGCCCTGTTGATTCCTTGCGAGCTTGTATTTGGAGCCTGCCAACAAGAGGGTGTCTTTGGTCTAAACGTCTGAGTCATAGGCCGTGACACCGTCTTATTGCCTCTGTAAGAACTCCTGTTGGAGGAATCTGTGATTCAAAGTATAGGATATGTCCAGGATGTGTTTTCTAGACCGGCAGGATAGCCCTGATCGCTATTCGTAATACAGCATCTATCGTTCTAAGAAGCCCCTTAATGTGACATGCTGATGTCTCACCTGAGCTCCTGATTTTTTTGATTCTTGGGTACCAGGCCTCTAAGCCATGTGTAAGAATAGGAATAACATAAACTTTCACAGCCCTCCTGGTTGACTTTACTAGGAGTCCTTTGACTGTGTTGCATAGTCCTCGAAAGTGATTTGCTACCTTACTAGCTTTCTTGGCCCAGTAAGAAACATGATCTTTGAAGTTTAGTTTTTTATTCAGAAGGTCACCTAACCATCGCATGGAGTCCTTGGCTGTTTTGTTCATTGTCCCGTGGCGGACTGGAGGGTTATTTGAGTTCTTTTTCCTTAAGAAGTGTATGATCTCAGTTTTGTCGGGGTCAAATTCAATAGTATTATTATATCCCTATTGGTTGAGCAAATAAAGATTTTGAGAAGCCTCTGTAGCTATTTCCTTTAGGTTCTTTCTAATACAGAGAGTTACTAGGTCGTCTGTATATACAAAGTGTCTTCTTTTTATGCCAAGTCGGGCACATATTGGCTCGGTATATAGCATATAAAGAATAGGAGAGGCTGGTGAGCCTTGTGGTAGCCCGCAAGTGAGAGCTTTTATATCAGTCATAATACCTTCAAACCGAACCCTTGTGGACCGCTCGGACATGAATAACTGGATTTATCTTATAAGAAAGCCTGGCCAGCCCTGTTCTCTCATGCGAACCACCAGCCGTCCCATTAGGGCAGCGTCAAAGGCCCCTTTCACATCTGACATGACTACCGTTGCAACGAGGCCTTGGTCGAGGGCCTGCTCAATATCGTGTATGAGTGCAGCTACCAGGTCGGTGGCAGAGCGCTTTGGTAGAGCTCCAAAATATTGTGGAGCTAGAATTCCAAGTTTAATAACAAACCAGGTAAATCTTTTTGTAATGAGTCGTTCTAGGCCTTTGCCAAGACATAACAATAGCGATATTGGTCTGTAGGCCCTGGGATTGGAATAGTCTTTCTTGCCTGGTTTTGGGATCATCACCACCTCAGCCACTTTGAATAGTTTCGGGTGATGTCCAATCTGTAGACAGGTCTGGAAAAGGGCTCTGATATGTTCCCTAATGACTGGCCAGCAAGCTTTCAGAATCTGTACTGTGAGGGTGTCTATTCCCGGGGAGTTGCTCTTGGTCCCTATAGTGCACCCTTCAGCCTCTTCCAGTCCGACGTGGTATTCAAGGGGGATGTGTGGCTTGGGTTGTATGATCTTAGCGGACCAGGGGTCGATGATATTGTTGTCTGAGGTACTTCGTTCAAGCGTGGCTGAACATAGTGTATTTGCCTTGCTCTCTTATGACTCGAATATTTGGTCTCTTATGATGATTGGGGAGGAACGCAATCCTGCTGATAGCTTGTGCCAAGAGACAATTCTGTATAGGTCCTTTAGCTCAGTTGCTGAATTGATTAGAGTCTGCCAGTATTCTCTCCTAGCTTTCCGAACCATGCGGCGAAATTCTTGTCTGGCTGAATTCGCCCTTCTTGGCTTGTAGTCTGTTTGGAAAGGGCCCTGTATGTCTGAACAGCTGCTTTGCAGTCATCATTTCACCAAGCAGTGGGCCTATATTGTCGGGGCTTTTTGCCCACTGTCCTGATACAGCCGTGGATCATGTTGATCAAGCTCTGTGTAAAGGCATCCACCTGGCCAGGGGATACACCCAGCCAGGGGAGCTCATAAATCCTGATTTGGACATTATCTGTCAGCTCTTATAGTTTATCGTCCGGTACTATCCAATGATTGGCCTTGGGGATTCGGGCCAGATCTCGGTGAATTGGGACAACTATTCGTAATGTCTTATGATCTGAGGTGCACTGAAGTGCATCATTGACTGAGGCTTCAGCCATGGGCACATCTAAGAACACCAGATCTAGTACATTTCTGTCATCATGTGTCGGGACATCTGGTTCAGAAATCAGATCTAGTCGGTGGTCTGCCATAGTCTGTGCAAGTATAGCACCACCATGATATCCTGGATTGCTTGAGTCTCAGGATGTATTGCCAGTATTGGAATCTCCGGCTATGACGCAGTCAAAGGGTGGGGTCCATACTTCCAGAATATTATTTACTTCCTGTGGGTTATCGCATGGTCATAGACGCTGGCAAATATAATGCCTTGTACCTTGACCTAAGTGATGTTTTATGTAGAGTAAGGCCGAAATTGATCCGCTTAAAGATATTTTCTCACATAGATGAGAGATCTGGGCCGTGTACTTTCGCTGTCCCAGGAATCCACTGGGGAGTATATATCGTAATTAGGCTGTGTCTTTACTCTCATTCTTCTGCCTGGTGGTATGCCAACCCAGGGCTCTTGCATCAGAATGATGTCTGCTTGTTCTCCTTTGTAGTCAGCCAGGTTGATGGCTAACTCTGTAAGGCCTGCACTCTTTTGTCCTCTTGTTATATTCATAGAATGCATGACTAGATGCCTGTGTCGATATGTTTTGTTTGATGTATCTAGCATTGACTGACGACAATGGTGTCGACATCTCTGGGATGAGCTGTATTTGTTGTATCGATTTGCATTGTGGTGTCTTTGTTATTATTGCTAGGCGTTGACCCAGCTTGGTTTCTGCCTGCTTCATTAAAGGCTCTGGATCTGGCACTTTCTCCGGCCAGCCTTATTTCCTGGATTTGCTCCAATGTGTGCTTATAGATGATACCTTTCACAACCTTGGGGCGTGCAGGGCATTTGTCGAAGTCAGCAGCATGAGACCCCTTGTAATTGACGCATTTTGGGATTGGTTTTTTGTAATCCCCCTGGTGTACTGTGCTGGCGCAACGTGCACATACTTGCTTTTTATATCAGTAGTTCCTACCATGGTATCTGAAGCAGCTCGCACACTGGTGAACCTTGGGGGAGTATTGAATGTGCCTCGAGGTCATTGAGTGAACAAAAAGTATGAATGGTTTCTTTGTTGTATGGGGCAAAGAGATCACCCATGTAGTCTCCAGATCAGAATCAACTGTGTTCCTTGAGAGTATGCACCTTAAAGGTCTATCACCTGTTTGGGCTTTAATTTCATCAGCAACAGCAATGTCGGTAATGTCGATTGTCAACCCTTCCGCACTGATGACCTTTCTTGGGCATCCATCGACCTTGTAGTGATGCCAGACCGTGGGGCAGATGCTAGAGGATGCTGTTGTCTGACAGTCTCTACCATCCCACTAGGGACGGCGAATCGTCCAACTTATACGACGAGAGTACGCACGGCAACATCATGTAACCGTTCAAATGACTCTGCTGTGCCCCATGGCTGCCAACGGGCTCCGGAATCCGCACGTATACGTGAAAGAGAATTTGAGTGGAGGGTTGGAGCAAGAGCCCGTGGCTAGGCGCCAACATGCACCACCTTGAAGATCCATCGCGATCTGATCTACAGCTGGCATGCTACCATGGGGCTCAATTTGACCTCAGCGAATGGAAAGGCTTGAAACCTAGTCCAAGAGGTTCCGAGTCCGAACCAACATGCTTGGCCGCTGAAGTAGGGCTGCGGCGCAGTTGTCCGCATCAAGGGCAGTGAATGCCAACACGCCGGATTCGGAGAACTTTCTTATCAGCTGCGCGGCAAGATTGACTGTTGGCTTATTCTGACCTTTACGAAGGCTTGATGCGTCTAAAAAGTTTCAAATCCGAACCAACATGCTGACGTTGAAGTTGGCCTGCGGCGCGGTTGCCCGCCTCAGGAGCAGTGAATGTCAACTTGGAGTTCCCAAAGGAATTTCTGGTCAGGCTGCACCGCCAACGGTAGGGTACAACGAATCCACTGACCTGATAGTCCTAAAAGGAGTGGGCTGGAGGCTCTGATACCCTCGCCCTGGCGGAGGTTTGGATTGACTTCGGGAGCCATCGTCATACCATGTACGTAGCTAGCATACCTAGGTACGTAGAAAGATGTGCGCGCGTTGGACCGCTTATCACGTCCCATCGCCCCTGAGCTCTTGGAGCTGGAATGCTGACACGCCGCATCCAGCAAATGTTCAACACTGCAACCAACCAACCACCCAAGGTTAACTGTTGGCTTCATGTCATACTCTCGAAGGCTTGTCGGTCCGATCTCAGAGCGCTTGCCGAGAACGTAGCATGCGAAGTGCAGTCTTGAACAGATTCGCTGGCCTCAAAATCACCCATAGTGGCGGCTCCAGGTTCCAACCTGTAGGTTTGGTTCAACACCGCTCATAAGCTGACTGCCCAACTTGTCGAGCGCTTATGAGTCGTGCTGGGAGGGCGATCTGGTGGTATGCACCGTTTGGCAGGGGACGACCTCATGCGAACAACTTTGGTCATACGTTGTATCCTCAGGAGCCGTACTTCACAACCTCTGTCGGCCCGAGAAGGATAAGGCTGAAGAGAATGCCTGAGTTGTCTTCCCACTTTCTCACCCCTGAATTGTGTGCCTGCTCGAGGCAGGTCGACCTGGTCCCTTTTGCCGGCTAGAATCAGGTTGAGCAGGATAACCCTGCCGTCGAAGAAGTTGGCGACGTAGACGGTGACGTTGGCCTCGTGCGTATACTAAGACCCCTGCAGCCTTGGCAACCAACTTAACGATGAGGCTATCGCGGGTTGATATTGACGTGGATCAGTTGATATATGGTGGATTACCGCCCCGGTGTTAGTGGTACTATGGTGGTGTGGTGGCAGCGCTACCAGGTGGCTAGTGGTAGCATGTAGCTGGCAAGCGGAACCACCCTAAACAAAAAAGAGATTTCTTGATAAAAACTCCACTTTAATCGTGAAAATAAAATGAGAAATATGATAAATCCGTTATTTCTTTCTAGTTAGTTTAATATTAAGGTTGATTACTATTTATTCATATTATACTAGTAAATATTATAATGTATAAAAATTAAAATTATAGGTTTATTTTATATGGTTTTTAAAAACAAAACATCTTTTATCGAGATATCAAAACCATTATAATTACATAAAAATCCTATATGTCCGAAATTTCAAAACTATATATAAAGAATTTTTTTCGAATTTGATATAGTTTTTAAAAAGTAAAATTAACTTTATTTAATTCTAATTTAAGCCCACTTTATATCAACGTATATTTATCAACCAACTTAACGGAAACCCCTTATTGATCAACGTATATCAACTCAACGGGTACTAGCTCGTTGACAGTGTCAACTCAACTCAACGGGACCCCTGTATTGACGTGGATTGAGTTGTTCGGGGCCTTGAGCAAGATCAACCCGACATAAACCCATCCTACATCGCCGTAGCAGCCGGACCCGCAAGACTGCTCACAGCGGCCGGCGTGCCCAGCAGTGTGCCATTCTTCCAGCAGCTGAACGAGACAACCTTAGACATCAACCCCGAAGCCGTGAGATCCCACCCGGCCGGGTTCTCTTTGCTGGGCATGACGTAACCCGTGCAGTCGGGCGAGTCGTGGCAGATGTTTTGCTGGGCTTCGGTACAGGACATGCTAGTAGGAAAGAAGAGAGTCAGTAACCACAGTTCTTGGCTTTTGTGCATAGAGAGGAAAGGATAAATAGGGGCGTAGGAGTTGGCCAGGCAGACGGCATTGTCGTCGAGCGGCGTCAGCGTCTTCACGCTTCCGATCCAGGCGCTGGGGAGGTCGTAGCACGTCTTGGGGATGTAGGTCGTCGGTAGACAGGTGCCGCTTCCGTGGTCCCCGAGACAGACGTTGGCCTGGTAGACGTGTGTCAGCAACTAAGTTGCACCCTGTGACTTGGGACGAGACACTCCGGGCTTACATTGATGTGGCAAGAGGATGTTGGTGCAGCCAGGATAGCACCTGCGAAGCTCACCAACAGCACCAAAGACTTAGTGAAGGACTGCATTTTGCGACAGGGAACCAATTCAGCTCAAGTTGCCGCCTCCTGGTAAACGAATGAATGAAAAGAACGAAAGTTGAGCGAGTTGGATACACAATTCGCAGTATCTCCCGTCTGAACATGAAGGTGCTCCTTATAACGTTACCAAACTGTTGAAACCAAAGGGAATCGGATCCTCCAGACGGGAAATCCCATGTTGGTTGGCCAAGAAGAGGACGTAGATCTCACTAAGCTCCCTATGCAGACTCGAGGCAGGGTTCATTTCCTTCCCTGGGGTTTATCACTCGCGCTAGTATGCTGTTGCCTGTTGGTAGCCTTCCCCGGATGATCGCCCGCCCACGACTGGCCCGCGCCGCATGCGCCCCGAGGATCTGGTACCGAAATGAGGGAATCCCTTTAACCTTTTTGAGGCGCGTACCTTGCAGCATACAGGGCCATGAGATAAGGATAGGCAACCGCCAGGTGCACACCGCGTGCCTGTTCCAGCAACTGGGAGAAACATGTGTTGAGAAGGGAAGGTTGGTTTTCTTACTAGCTAAGCTGTCGTGGCGATGGCCGTTTACATATAAGATTCTGGTACAAGGACCCGCAGGCCGGACAATGGAGCTTTCATGCGACCACACAACCTTTCCTTGTTTTCACATGCTTTCAGCCAATGGAAGAATCACCCGCCATCTCTGGGTGTGTGGCTTATAGTCCTGGAAACTCCTTCGGGTGAACGTGCGTTATCCCCTTACATTGCCTACCCTGCTCGAAGGCTTCCTGGCTTCCGAGAAGCAACAACGGAATACCGGATTGGCTCCGCTTGCCATCCAGACCGGTATGTTCGTTCAGTATAACAGCTCATTTCAGGACTCCCAACAATGCAACAGAAGCAGAAATTGGCCGTCGATGCATGTGCGCCTCTTCAATCACCAGGCACAAAATGAAACATCTGGGCTGGTTGTGTAACTGATCAGACCTCCAGTTTCCTCAACTCACATGTGACCACCAGTAGATCTCATCCGTATTCTCGTAGCTGAGTCATATGACCGACATTCGTGCCTCGCTCCCTTCAGGTTGGTGGTACTGGAGGCTTCTGCCCATAGATAAATGTCCTGCGCACGAATCAGCAACGACCTCTCGCAGACACTCAACCTAAATATCCAGCACGGGAAGGAGGCTGCCAACTCACACAGTCAGATAAGCATGCAGATTCGTATCCCGAAAGTCCCTCTTGACCTCCTCCACAAACTCCAGAACCTCCGCGGGCGCCATGCCCAGCACGCCCAGCACCTTCAGGCTCATGGCCTCGAGCCCCTGGATCATGTCCTCCTGGAAATACGCGGCGACGGTCTTGAAGTAGCGGCCCTTGGCCCAGGGGCTCGTGGGCCAGTAGAAGCGCCTCTCGACGACGCCTTCCAGCCCGGCGTCGTCGAAGTAGCGCCGGTAATGCTGCACGTTGCTCCACGAGCGGCCCAGCCGCGCCACGCCCGCCATCATCAGCTCGTTCCACCGGTACAGCGCCGATTGCCGCGGCGGCTCGCCGATCCAGTTCATCGGGAACAGCGCGTCCTGGAATTCGAGAAAGCCGCCCGGCGCGAGGTGGGCGACCGCCTGTTGCACGACGAAGGCAGGGTCGTTGAAGCAGCTCATGAGCGCGCGGCCGTGGATGAAGTCGAAGGGCGCGCTGAAGGTCCACTCGTCTTCGGCGTCGTCGATCTCGAAGGTGCAGTTCTCGGGTAGGCTACATACATGGTCAGCTTCATGACATAGGGTGCGCGTGGGGTGCGTCCGGGGAGGCCGTGACCCGTCTTGAGTGCGTACTACTGTGGTTGGATGGGACTGAGGTCGGTTCCCCAGACATGGCAGTCGGGGTGTTTTGAAGCTACGGGAACGGGTCAGCCTCGAATTCCTCTGTTCATTCATTCTGTGTGTCGTTGAACCAAATTCTATTGCCCAGATACCGGTGCCTTGAGACCATTAGCTTGGACTCAATGGGCGGGATGATGAGTCGCGCGCGAACCTGTCGCAATGTCCAATACCCGACCCGGATTTTCCGGAAGGGGACACAAGTGATGTTTTCCGTTTGCTGTTATCATGAACACGTGGTGCTGGAGGTCTGTGGTTCCTATTAGCATGCGGGTGAGTCCGCTGCGACGCGCAACCCACCGAGGCGTTCTTGTTCGGCCTGGGGAGCATCAGCCACGACGAAGAGCAGATGGAACTGGTATAAGAGCGCACCACATCATTTGGCAAGAAGTATCCTGTGTTTCGTTAGTGACGGCACGACATCATCGAGTCTGTGATGTGCCTTACTGCCTTGCTTGTATTTGTGATATGTCCGCCCATTCTCCTCGATGTAGTGGTACAATGTCGAGTCCACGGACATGGTTGAAGATCTGATGTGCGATTAACCCAGCGCCCTCTTCACGAAGTAGCCTCGTCGACGGCTGCGAACCTGATACTTCCAGCGACGCTTCCCACGTCCTGGCATTGGTTAGCATTGCCTGTGCTTGATCTACATGGGGTCTTCAAGGTACATCTGTCATGCTGTCGTCGATCGATGGCAGAGACGGCGCGCTGCATCCTCCCCAAGAGAACGACGATACATCTCCTTCCAGCGAAGCCGTACGTGTGAGTGCCGAATACTCCGAGTTGCCCGAGTGCACTTCTTTAGCGGGCAAACCAGCCGCAGCACCTGGGAGTTCCGTGTCGTCCATCACTCGCTCTCCTCGTCTGTGTCGCGCGTAGGTCACGTTGTTGACGAGTTCACTTTCACCGTAGAATGCCGGCGGTATTTTCGGTATGGTGGATCCGCATGAATATGCTCGACGCCGGATTGGAGATGGAGTTATGTGGCTCCTCGAGATCCCGTTCGTCACCTTCCCCGCGGAACAGCTTGGAGGGGGCAAAGGTATAGGTATAGTAAAGTAGGTAGGTAATAATGAGAACCCCTGTCAGCCCGTCAAGCAAGCTGTGCCGCCATTCTTCAATCCAGCTCGCATCGATCCGAAACGCGTGCCATGTCATGATAAGAGACAGGCGAGTCAGGCGACACTTACGGGGCAGATGCGATAATGCAGGTGCAGTATATCCGCTGACCGTCACTGACAGGAAGAGGCTGTGGCTTGTGCATCGGGAGACCCTTCCGAAGACTGCATCACCTCGGTCCTAACACAAAAGTCTGGAGGAGCGTGAGTTCATAGGCTCAATCGAAGTCCACGTGCCCGCGCAAAACGCCCTGGGTTACATTCTCGGCTGAATCCTTCAGAGCGGGAAGGTCTGGAGTTCCTTGCGTCCGACTCTGCCATGTCCGCGATGGTGTCATTGCAGATCGCGACGAGACAGAGCGACAATTTTGGTCCTTGAACAGGTATCAGAGACCTGGTGCCAATACGTCGACGGTAGCAATGGTTGCGGCTCAACCGCTTCGTCGGGCCATGGAAGCGTTGTTTTTTAGAGCACATGTGTCCTACGACTGGAAGGCAAAAAGTCCCGACGCTGTGCGACCCTCCCACATCTGGGCAGCTCGGTAGCTGAATGAGGGAACCGTGAAACCTTACGAATTGCGACTGAGGAGGCAAGGGCTTGTGTCTCGTCGGACATTTCACCGAGCTGCAGGCATGAGCACGTGGACTAAATGCTCAAATCATATAGATGTGCGAAAAAGTAAAGCAATACAGCTTTCGCCGATAGTAGGTATGCTACCCCTAAATATAATAAGCCAGATGCATTTCCCATGCCCGATGCAGCCGTACTCCAATAAACGCCTTGCTGAAAATCCCATAGAATCATTGCGCCCATAATATTGCGATATTATATGATGCCGTGTATAATGGAGTGGTATTCCGAGTATACCACCCGCAGCTCATCTTGACTCGTCCCAGTCTGACCAGCGTTTGACGACTTCGTCAACCATGGTGATGCCCTGTCTACTGGCTTCGACCTCAAACCACTCCCTATGAGCTTTGCCACAGGTGTCACAGTTCCCCTTGTCACTAACACGGAGTCCAGCACCCGCAAGCTCGATATGTATCAAGCGTTCAACCTTGTGGCTATGCGGCATCTTGCGGGGTGTCGAGGGCTGAGTTGTTGAGATATAGGGGTAATAGCGGATCAGCGAGAGGTTGTACCCACATTGTCGCGACCACTCGTTCAGACGCCGTTGGACATTGGACGCCCTGCCAATCTTCAGCAGGACCGTCTTGCTCGAGGAGCCGGCCTTGTTTGTCTGATTTGCAAAGGACTGCAGGACATCACTGGTTCGTCGTTGACGCATATCTGAGCGTGCAGGTGGGGCTAACAAGTTCCTGGCTGCCTCGGCTGGGGGCGCTGCGGATTGCGACTCTGGTGTCAGCCAGAAGATGTAGATGTAGCCCGCTTCGTCTCGATTCGATATTGGCTTCGCAAGTTCTGCAAGTAACTGTGAAGCTGTCTGCGGTGAGGCAGCAGGAGGGATCAAGGAGAGGAATTGAGATGTCTGCGAGACATTGGATTGCACCGACGAGTGCTTCGATGCTGTGAGGCTTGGCCGGGGACCCGCGGAGGATGGCGCAAGATGCTGGCTCGACGGCAGCTTTGCAGTGGCGGCCTTTCCGGGCGCACCCTGTATTGGTCTCGGTTTTGGTCTCGTTGGCCGCTCTTCCTCTACCACGGGCATTGTGAAGCAACAGCAGAAGCTCACAGTCTTGGGCTTTGCCTTTCGCTTGTGCGGCTGTGAGACGTTCGTGTTGCTAGTCTGTACGATCTTCTCATTTTCTGGTTTCGCAGACTTACGCACGGGTTTCCGGCCCTGTCTTTGTGCCTCCACAATACCAAGTCGGTCGATGAGGCTATCGAAGCTCTCACGGGTCTCGAGTATCGGTGTGGTTCTCGTATTTGGCCCCGGGCTAGACCTCGCGGAAGAACTCGCTTGATCTCTGTGTTGCCAACAGTACAAATTCGGGTTACTTGGGTCGTCGGCGCGCAGCCTGTTGACTCGAGTTCGTGGTGGGGTCCGCGGTGGGAGAGGAGAGGCGGCCGGAGACGCTGCAGGAGAAGACCCCGGAGATGCTGCCAGCGGTCGACGGCACGGACGACCGCCTCCAGTAATGCCTCTACATGTCGTAGCGGGGTTTTTGGAGTCCGAGCGACCGATGAGGGACTCGGGGGTGTTCGGAATGAACGGCATTGTATACCAACGAGTGCGTAGTCAAGCGTGAGGTCTTTCTTGTCTGTATTGTCTGTATAGAGGCGGTAAAGAGCGTTGTGTGGGTGGGTATGAAGACCGCGAGAGGGAACCTTCTGCCAGCACCGGCAGGCTTGTAAGTTATATGGCTATTCCCGCATGGCTAGGAAACCCCACGCGACTTGTCCGCGTGAGAAGTAGTGAGTCCATTAAGCCCATCAAGAATGGCACTGACTCTGGGTCACCGCGTCTATGTTCTATTCGAGGGGCTGGGTTTTGACGATTCGGTTGCGTCAACCTTCAAGCGTAGAGAGCTTTGGTTCGTTAGATGGGGGGCGCCTCGGGTGTGGCTGGGGCTCCCTTCGTCGTGGCTGTGCAAGTGGCTTGGTTATATTGAACACCGCCCAGGCCTACATCACCGTCGCGCCTCTTGAATCCTTTGCCGTCTGCCGGATATGACACATGATACAGCTCCGTCACGGTGTGAATATTTTCGTTAGTCTTCAGCTCACCGGAGTCCCTTGGCGTCTTGACCGGCCATCAGTCTCTCCTAATAGGCAATTGAGAGGCTGCAATAGGTGGTATTATGGACAGTCAGCTCCGATGAAGAGCTTATCCTACGGACAAGTCCCCGTAAGTTTGACATGCTGCAGCTCGCTTATATACTCTCTTGTGAGAAGCAAACTTAACAGGCGGTCCTCGTTCCTTCTTGTAGAGTGCGCGCTTCACAATTGGGCCTGACTTCTGTATTCTGGTTGCTCTCAGGATGGGTGTACCGGTGCTAAATGTGATCTGACCTCACGCTGTGCGCCAACTTCCGTCGATGTCTATAACTACTGCATAACCATACGCACTGATTATCATATTCTACCTTCCAAACAAGCTCGCCCAGCATCGGCGCGGCTCAGGAGGACTTCGCGTCACCATTCTCCGGCTTCTTGCTGTCCCTCAGGTCTACCCAGCCCGTCCCGAAAGATGCGAAGAACCTCAATTAGCTGTCCCAACCATACCATAACAAGGAGTATTGAAAGCTTTCACATATGCTTCAAGGACCCCAACCAGTTTTGGACATCCTTGGGGTACCAGAGTGCGTCATGATTAGCGCAGGCACTGGGTACGTCTGTGAGACTGCAGTCATCAACTTGGTCATAGACACAAACCAGCGTTCAACCGACCACATTTTTGTTGAAAGCAAGCGACAGTGGTATGTAGTAGTATAGTAGCATGATGGCGCGCTCTGACGGCTTCTAACTTCACTCCATCCCTTCCTGTATTCCTACTTGTATATTTACACTATTGTGAGATATAGGGGATAGCTCAGCCAATCAACAACGACAGAAGAGAATTTTCTGTTGTGATTTTAGTTGCTCTTATAGTAGAGCATAGACAATCCGGGACTGGCGCCATCTGCTCTCCTAAGTAGTCACGGAACCTCGACTCACCTACCTGCATCTAAACCGAAGTACCGTCACATTTCTTTAATTTACGGTCGTTTTTATTATTCGCCTTTCAACCGCGACACCAGGGTCAGAGTTTTCACCCCTTTACCCTACCTACATTTCCACGATATCGGAGGTGCTAGATACGACGAAGAGGAAGACGACCATGTCGCTGATGCTCGCAAGCCCGACCCTAAGAACCAGATTAGTCCCACCCAGGACATCGACAGCGATTCCGAAGGCGAAGGCGGCGACGGCTCGGCTTCGATCGGCCTAACGTACTACCCTTTGCCACTGGGATTTTTAAGATCGCGATTCTGCGGTGGTTGCGGCTACGACCATTTCATCGAGTCGTGTCGGTGAGAGATGCCTGTCTTTAACAACATCCCTTAATTTAACAACATCCCTACACAGTACCAGGTTCCTGGAGAGGTTTACAACGAGAAGTATAGGTATTTGCCACCTTACTTTTGACTCTGACAGTACATGCTTACCTTCTTTTAGACGTGGAGGCCCATTCGGAAGATTATCCTATGTCCAGCCAGTAACTTATCGGAAGATGCAACGCGTCAAGGATTACGACCATTTCGCCTACATGCGGGATCGATTCGGAATTACCGCTCAGGTAGAGTCTGGCCCCCCTCACCACCCTGCGTCGAGTGGAATACCACGGTCTGAAGGCTGGGATCACCAAATTCCCTCTGAACGCCCGGGTTCCAATGCCTTCCGCCATCCACCGGCTTGACCTGAATGGAGACGGCGAGGTCGTCGATTTGGGCGCATTGGCAAATAGGCTGCGAGGTCCCGCCAAAAGGCACTTAAGTCTGTCATACGTCCGATACCTTTTCTATCGCATCCATCTCACCAGCGGTATCCAAATTGACCCGCGAGGATGAGGAGGTACCTGAACTTGCACTTGACCCGTTACTTGAGGCAGCCATCGAGCTGGCCAAGTTATCCAGGGAGGTCCCGAATGCTGACTATGGCAAATCCAAGGCCTTCAACAGCCCCCAAGCACTCCCCACTATCCTCGCAGTCAAACTCGTCCACGACGTCAACGACCTGTTGGTCCAATCGATCAGCATCAAATTGAAGATTCGCGAACCACCCGCGCGAAGTATGTAGATATTAAACTCCAGATTTGAGCAAGCAAGAGGGTTACCGGTACATGAGACTCTGTGGAAGACCAAGCGTAATTGAACATGTCCTTGATTACGCACCTGAGTTTCGTGATAACAGAGAAATGCTACAATAAACCGATCTGCTTCTAAGATGACCATGTAGCCTCACACAATCGAACGCAACACGCAAATCTGAGCAGGGGCGAGCTGCTCTTACATACCTGATTTTCTCCGGCGTAAGTGCCAGTTAATGTCATGATGTGATGTACAGTTTTGCATATGGGAGTACAGGTTTTGCCATTGCCATCTTCGCTAAAGTTGATGTTGAAGCGGCGAGGCTGGCAAGGGAGGCAGGCCGATGGAAAGTTCCATGCCGTCCGGGATAGATCGGGATGATCCGGGATGGGACGGGACGGGACGGGATTGAGTGTTTCGGCCAAGACCCGACTCGCGGGCGGAATAACCATGCGCATATCCCAAGGTTGAAAATTCTTGTAGGTAGGTATCTCGATCAGACGAGCCGGGACTAGAACGCATAACGCCGCCTACGATGAGATTGATTGATATATCAACCCACCACGGTAACGTTTTGACGGCGGAGATGTTCTTCAGCGTAAGAGGCAGGTCACAGTCAACGGAGTGCAACAGAGGGCTTTCTGGATCAACTCCACGTCTCACCGGTGACCAGGAGTCTCACCGCAAGACGAATTCGAAAAGCTACTAGCGCCATAATATTCATTGCGTGTCGTGTGCGGGCAGTCACTGGAAAATCAATCGTGAATATACCCGACGTCAAAGTGGTCAGCTCTAACAAGCACATCAGGGCCTTAGGCTAGGACCTGTTCTGTATGAGAGCGGGACTCGAGGTGCCATGACGAGCGTTCGAGCACTCTTTGCTGGGTGGCTCGGCTGGCGAACTCTCCGTGTATGGCTAGAACTCTTCTGACACATGAACAGAGAGCGTGAGCGACTAGCATGGTAGAAATGAGTCGTCATGCGTGCGGGATGCAAGCGCGGGTATGGGGTTAGTAAACTGTCTCTATTGGCAATCAGGCCTTGCAGCAGTCCGCTGAGCTAGAGGCGACATCATCGACGGATGCATTTGGTGCTCCCTTACACTCACGTTGTCTTACGGACCATCACATACATGTCGCAGTTGAGATTGTAGTGCAAAGCATCAAGGAATAGCGCTTTTCATTGCCTGATCCAACCAACACAGCCTGAATGACAGGGTTGGATTTCACCGCTACAGAACTCCGAAGACAGCCTTCAGCCTCCTGCCCGGGACAGCCCAGCACAGCCAAATCAGACCAGAAAGGGAGCCTTAGGAAGGCGGAGGACTCATGGGATCTCTGCTACTACCACTACTAACGCTACCACCGCTAAGACTGCAAGATCCATCGCTAACAGCCACGCCATCGCGATACCCGAAGCCAGGAGGAGGAAGTCCTGAGAACCTAGGCACGCCTGGAGTGTAGGTGGCTGCGGGAGTAGACTTGTTCCACTCCTCTTCGGCCTTGCTGCTCTCCGTGAAGTGAGATACATCGCTCAGCATGGACGACGAGCGGTTTCTAGCCTTGGCCGCGGGTCGCGGAGGATGGGACATTCCAGTTGACTGTGGAGCAAAAGCGGACGCGAGACCTGGCGCAGCCCATAGCGAATTGTTGTAGAGACTGTTAGACCAGGCGGCTGTAGCATCATAAGGCGCGGGGTTTGACACACTGGGCTGGGCGTGCGGCCCAGCGCCAGGCGACGTGAATTGACCAGCGGCTTCAGGGAAATCGTAAGCTGTCGCGTAGGCGTAGGCGGCCTGCTGCTGCGTGTGGAAAGAATCCAGCTGCATCTTGAGAGACAAGTTCTCAGAATCCTTAGTGTGAATGGCAGCCTCGATCTCAGTGATCCGAGCAATCAGGTCACGCTCCATTCTGGCCATTTCCTTTTCGTAATTTTCCCGGGCCTGGCGTCGGCGTTCTGCTTCATCGAGTCCACGAGCATTGGCATCAGCTATACGCGCATGCTCACCATCCACCTTGGAGATACGGCTGCTGATCTTGTTCCTCTTGGCTTGAAGGCTCGCCTTCTCTTCTTCCAAGGCCTTGATCCCGCCATCAACTGAAGCCTTGAAGCTCTTGAACGCAGCGACGGCCCCGTCGTACTTGGCCTTCTCGTTGGTCCAGGCTGATTGCTTGCTCTTCCAGGAGGATTTCAAAGACTCGGGAATCTTCTCAAACTCCTTCAGTTCCGCCTCCAGACTTGACGTTGCGTGCTCCGCCTGCTTCTGCTGCGTGGTGTTCTGCTGAATCTTTTGTCGTAGCTTGTCATCACCGGTGCCAGCTGACTGGACTGCTGCAGATAGCTTTTCGTTTTCTTTCTTCATGGCATTTGTCTTGCGGTGAAACTCCTTCCGAAGTGCCTTTTGACGAGACTTCTCTTCGGCCAGCTTGCTTTCTGCTGCAGCAATCGAGGTTTTGAGCGTAGTGAAGGGAGAGTCAGGCCGTAGCGACCGCTGACTATTCGGCTTGGAGCTGCTGGCATCGACATCTGCTGTCTTGGCCTGAGTAGTCCTAACACTCGTCGAGAACAGGATTTCGTGAGTAGCCGTGCAGACGAACTCGCACTCGTAATTTGACATGGGAGTCAGTCCGTATATGTCTCCGCTCCATCGAACTCCCTGCCTACAGTCCTCCTCTGTGTTTTCCACAGGTGTCATTCGAGTGGGCTGCCAGATAGCGTTGTTGACTCTCACGTAAAAAGGCTTTGATAAATCGACCCTCGACCCGTCAGATTGGCTTTCGGGCGCTGGTTGAACGGGAAATTCGCTGGTGTTGAAGCAGACTTCATCACAACCCACGTATGATATCCAAATCTGCCCAGGCTGCGTATTGAACGGTGCGTTTCCGAGGTTGTGGATGTCAGTAGCATTCGAGCCGGCGGATTCCGCTGTTGCATGCGTAAGCTCGTATTCCTTTACCACGACGACTTTGGTGCTTGCCAGAGCTGCCCAAAGCGGTTGGCGATTCCGGACCTGTGCACTATGTTTTCTTTTCTTTTTTGTTGTTAATGCTGTTGACGTTTGAACGGCATCGCTATCAGGCGTAGAGAAGCCACCGTCGTTATCCGCAGCATAGGATTTCCCAGCTTCAGGATCGGCAGCAGTCAGAGCCAGATTGTCCCGTCTTTCCCGTCTCAAATACCAATCGCGTATGTACTTGACCAAACCCTGGGTCAATATATGAATGGCCAGTATGCTCTTGACCCAGCCAAACCATCCCGCTTGGACCTTGTCGTAACCACGGATAGAATCAAGGGCTTCGAGAGGATCGTCAAAATCGGGAACCATGAAACGGCTCGAACCCATCAGATAGCCCACCGGAGAATACTTCATCTTGGTATGGCGCAGAACATGAGAAAGCAGGATCATGCTTAGGCAGATTAGAGTATTTTTCATGGACCCTCCGTCTCTTGAGCTCGAACCGCCTCCTAATCCCAGCGCGATTACCATCTGTGCCAGATCGAGAATGACGTGTTGTATCGGTCCCCAGAGGAAAAGCCAGATGAGGAGTACGATGGCATCGACGCATATAACTGTGGCCAGGGAAGGAGCACCAAGATTCCACTCGAAAACATCGCTCAAGTTCAAGCCGTTGCTAGTCACAAAGGTGAGCAGGGTGAAGAGCACGTAAATGCCGGAGAGAGCCAGAGGCGGGATCTGCATCAAGATGATCAGGATGGCGATGGTGTCTTGCAGGGGACAAGATCGAAGGACGGTGAGGGTGAAATCAAGGATGCCTGTGTCACGATGCACGTTGGAGTTCTTGGTAGCATTGACATCGATGCGACGGTGATTGTCCTCCGGGCTGGTATTCCCAAGGTGAGAGTTGTAGGATTCGGACGAGGAGGACTCCGAGTATGTGCCAAGCGATGCTCTCCTCAGAGAGTCGGTCGTCTTGTGCTCGGCGGGCATTTCGGTGGGAGACTTGCAGTAACCGTTTGTGGTTGGGGGCGGCGTCGAGGGGACAGGCGGGACAGCTGCATCGTCGACGGCGGGCTGCTGCTGCTGCTGCTTGTTTGGGGTGGAGTTGCCGTTGAGCTGGTTCTGACTCTTCTGCTGCTTGGGAATGCGCTTCCCCGGGCCTACCAAGCCATTCTCGTGTCGGGTATCGCGCTGGTTCGAGGCACCGTGCTGTCGCTTTGCCGATGCTGAAGCGCGAGGCATACGCTCGCGTGTTGCTGATCCGACCCAGAAGCGTGTTCCGAGCCAGTCAGCGAGATTACCGACAACGATGACGAGCACGAGAGAGTCTTGTGGTTTTGAGTTTTCAACTCGACCCGGCAGTTGGTTGGTGGCGGCCGAGCATGAACGGGTTCGAAAAGCCTGCAGCCGGAGAGCAGCTCATGGGTTATTCCGGAGCGGTAGAGTTCAGAGGCGTTCAACAGTGTGGGTTTCGCGTTCGCTAACGGGAAATGGTGGTACGGTTCGTCGGGTCGTCGGATCGTTCGCTACATACGACAATGGGCGTGATGCTTAAGCACGTTAGGTATACTTCAAGGTTCGATAGTGCGTAGGTATATAAGGCCCAGTATCGGCATGGAGCCTGGAGGGTTTGCTGGTTTACCAGAGGTGGAATTGGGACTGAGAATCGGAAGACCGAAGGTAGGCAGGACGTAGGTCAAGGTGCGGGCTGATGGTGGTGAAAGAGACAGTCAGCAGCAACAAGAAGTAGAGATGAATGAATGGACGGATGGATGGATTTGGTAGTGGTAGGGGGGGCCAGGAACCAAAGTAGAAACAGTGCAAAATGGATCGACTGGAGCGTGCGTGGTCGCTGGTGGGTGCGGGCTGGAGGATGAACAAGTGAAAAGGCCCCATGAGCACCGGCTCAGCCGTACAGTGCGCCGAGACTGTGCTGGCTGCCTGCCTGCCTGCTTGAGGCCTTCTGCTGCTACCAGGTGACAGGCAGCCCTGGAGGCGAAGTTATTACAGGGGGCTGCCTGCTACCACAGCGCATATGCAGCGCTGTCATCTCAGCACCATTGAACCCAGGACGTTTGAATATTTCACACGTGGACGGCCTGGTCCACCCACATGATCTCTCATCTATCAACTACGAACATAAACCTCTGGGTTTTGACAGCTTTATTGCTCAAGGACAGACTTCCTTTCGGCTAACACCACAACATGAATACTATGTAGGTAAGCATCGAATGCACGTCGGGTTGGCTGTCAGACTGTCAGCATTGCAGGCGCTGAATCCTGGGCTGATCTAATTATACACGCCTCTATTGGCCTCTTTTCGCCTCTGCTGGCCGCAAAGCTGCATGTATCGAATGCCACCAACCCGCCGGCCCAGAAATGGGAGTCGAAGATCTCTTGGGATTCGGGAGTCGGCCATGCTCATCTGCCTTGGCGCGACAACGCACGACAAACAGGCAGTCACTGGCACAGTTACCAAATCCATGCCCATCCCAGCCGAGTGGCCATTGCCTTTCATCTTTCCAGTCTCCTCACTGACCACCGACCACCGACCACCGGACCAGTACATGACAAACTGACGTGCGGCACACAATACACGATGTATGCCACCTCGCCCGCTCGCCTACCGGTGTCAAACTCGAGGCATACATAATCGCTGCGTCACCGCAACATCAGGACCAGACTCCCAGACAGACAGATAGGGTGCCGTGGTAGTAGTGTGTGTTACACGACTGCAAACGCGCGCCATATGCCGCCCAGTCGCATCCAATGAGTGACATCTGACGTTCTCTTCTGCTGGGAGACAGGAGCAATGCGGTTGACTGCCAATAACCCGCTGCTGGGGAAGTGCTGCAGCTCGCCGACTGACTCGGTAGTTGTCGGTAGCCGGACGCCCCCAAGGAGTCAGACTGTCAAGGACCCCAACCAACAGGCCCAGCCGTCACGCAGATTTTTTTTTCTTTTCCTTTTTCATCACGGGGCGAGGCCGCGAGAACGGTCCCTGATGGGTCGTGGCGAGTCCGCCTCTCGTCTTTTCACGACGGCTCCACAATATGGCGATATTCACGTAACAATATCCTCGAGTACCGCCGCTGTCTAGATCTGAAAAGCCCGGCCCGGAGCGGACGGGAACGGTGCACACAAACCACATGGACCGCCAACCGCATGGCCCAGCGCCTTGATGCTGCATGTTCATTGGCAGCGTTCCATCGTCATGCTGAGGCAGCGTGCCTTGCGTGGTAGCATTTCCTCAGCACACTGTGGCCGTCTCGCGCTTCTTGATACCCGTCCCGGGCTTTTGCTTGTAGTAAGTACATTGGCAGCATGCCACCATCAGCATTGCCGTGTACTACCTACCCCTTTCAAACCATCTCATCCGGACGGCGGGCGGGCTCTAAAATGTTGCCTGCAGTAGTGTCGCCGCCTCAGTCCTTATTGTTACTACATTGCCCTTCAGCAAGCGCCCTCCTCATCAACTTGTGATGAGAAAACAACGGGTGCTTCGGTGTGTCTCGACCCCACGGTGGCCACACATGACAAACAGGCAGACAGGACACTACTCAAGAGTCGAAATACACAAAGCATTCGGTGTTCGACGTAGTAGAACTCATGGTGCCATTCTATGCGGAACTTCAACGCGGGGCAGGCAGCCAGGCTGTCAACCCCTCGGTTTCCCCTCGATGGATAAAGATCAGCATTGCGACTCTGCAGGAAGACTGACAACCAATAACCCCATATATGCACATGCAGAATCTCGCAACTGCACACATGCCCGTCAGCGTATCTTCCGTGTGCTCTGCCTCCTGAGTGGCCAAAGGTGTCGATTCCAGGGCGGACCCTACCTTGGTCCATGCCTACACTGTGTGTGGAGCTGGGCGGAGTCAGCAAAAAGTCATGCACCAACTCGGCAGCCAGTGAGTGAGCAGCAAATCTTGATTGCCTTGTCGATCATTGCGGTAACCAGATGCCGGCTTTGACTGACTCAGACTCTGAAGTCTGAGCTTGAGCTGCGCCGGCGATATCGCATTGGCGGCGATGAGATGTCGGTGAGGCTTCTTTCCCCAGACTGGGGCAACCCAATCCCCCGCCGGCTGCCCGCATGGCTTCAGGAAAATTCACATGATAACAGCCCATGGATTCAAAAATTCCCTGTCTCGTACGGATGAATCTCACGGGCATCTGTCTGCCCTGGGCATATCATAAGAGACTGCGTGTGGCTTACCATACTGGTACTCCAGCTCTCGCACAGCAAAGCCGTCGATGACTGACCATATCTGCACCGACGACGGCATCACCAGCGACCCCAAATCGCGGCAGAGGCCGACGAGTGTTTCAAATTTCAAAGCCGAAAAAACAACAGACCAATGCGACGTCACGACAGCACTCCACACCACCCTCGTCGCCCAGGCTAAGCAACAAGAGGTAAGGTCGGTTCGTTTCTGTCGGCATTTGAGCGACTGTGAGAGTCTGACTGGTCAGATTGATGCATCCGATGACACGACAGCCTACAGGAAGGTTCATATCTTCACTCTATTCACGCACCGTACCGTCGACGATACACAGCAGATGCTTGATCTTGAGGGGTCGCAAGCATCTTGTTGCACTGTCTGAAGCGTAGACCAATGCTATTCCCATTCGGAGGATCAATTCACGCGATCAAAGCTGCTACGACGTTGACCACGACAGTCGCCTACCATGTCAAGCTGCTCTCGAGGACCTACTTGACTTTAGGTTTTGGGATAGTATGCTGCATACTACAATTCGCTGGGTGTTGAGACTACGACGCCGCCATCATTCACTCAAGTGAATTGAACATGAGGCTCGCCATGGCGGGGTTTCGAGCCAGAACGTCATGTTGAGCTTGCTTCCTCGCAGCCTGGACCTCCTCGACACACCGCTTCTGTGAAAACGTTGCGCCTCTCATCAACTTCAGCGTAGTATTCGTCGAGAGGGATTTTGCTTCTCTTTGGCGAGTATCATACTCCTAACGATTCTCCTTCGCCAATATTACTACGTGTCGGGGGGACATGCGATTCATTGCAGTAATCACGCAGGAGAGCCAATAACACCTCAAACGCATCCGCCAATCAGCATGCAAGCGCATCACTTTGGGCATTGGAAGCGAGCAGTTGCAGGTCACAACGTGCGGCTAATCATATATGTATCCCACCCTTCCTCGTCACGGATGCCGCTCTTGGCCACTATTTTACTGCGGCATAATCATGCCCTCTTGCGATGTGACACACAAATCAAGCTGTGATCGTTAATCACGTCTTCCACTGCGTGTGGGAAATGGCTGTTTTTAACGATCGCGCCATACCCATACTGATTCCCGCATGCTCGTGGTTGGCATATGCTTGGGTGGAACTCCAGCCGGTGTTGTACGGCCATCCTACTCTGTTGAAATACTCTCCCGACTGACAGAAACTTCTTCTCATGGCCCCCAGGTGCGGGGAAAGGCTACTGCGCGAAGAGCATGCGTTATATCTGCAGCATTCATTATCGACGATGGGAAGAAGCTCGAGACCCCTTCTGGCAGTGATGAGCCTTGCCTCGGTAGGAACTGGGACATTATGTCTTTCACTTGGGTCGGCCAATGGCTATTACACTACAAGTAGGTAACACTTTCGCCCACGTTGCGCTTTGCACGGTATGTATCGTGCTTGATGGGATGTGAAAGGTGCATCGCGTCCTCGCATCCGCGGTGTAAATCACTGGATGTATCCGTTGGGGACTCGTCGAAGACGACATACACGTAGTCCTGCCGAGATGACCGCGTCAGGCGTATACTCCACAAAACGACCTTATCGGGACGAGTTATGCCAGATGGCAGGTACCAGCCTCGTTTTCCCCGTGCCTGATACAGGCATTGCGTGTCTCCTGCTGCGATACCAAGAGGGCCTACCTCGTTTTCTATCAAGGCTGTAACGTATTACAGGATAAAACGACTGGCTACTCATCCATTCACGTTAGCCTGACTCGCCGTGGCCCGTCGTGAAGATATGCGCTGTTAATTCGACGGGCATTTCTACCTCACCTTTGGGCAATTAGTCCTGACGTGTGCTTCTAACTCATCCACGTGTGCTTGTTTGCGAGCTATGCGGCCCAAACGCCTAAGTCTATGACGGGAAACGTGGTAGAAAAGACCGTCTGTGGAAGTATAGCCCACGAGGGAGCGTCAAGCCTGAACTAACACTGAAGCTTAGGTACGGCGACTAGGTCCCGGAAACACGGTTTCATCACCACGCTGGAGGTGGTTGCAAAGTACTGTGCTGGCGCTTATGCTGATGAAGCGGTCACCATGGCAGGGCTGATACCCGGAGAGTTCGTCCGTATAGCGGCAAGCCTACTATCTTGAACATAAGATGAGTGGAGGATTTATTGCTTTCGAACTGCTGAAGTCCAAGGGGACGATAGACTATTGAGGAGGAAACCGGTTGTCGACGATCCTACCATGCATCCATCCAGCAACAGCACCTCTCCCAGTCAACCACTCTTCCGAAACCTTCGAACCTCAAGTCGGACCGGGGTAATTCCTGTCCCTATGTGATGCCAAAGAACACAATATCCTTATCCGGATGCTGCGACACCGTGTGCCCCACGCCCACGGCGCTGTACCCGACCAGTTGCGCCGTTCCAGTCATGCGGTCACTGTAGATGGTCTGCGTGTAGCCGCTCTGCGGCGCGTTGGTCTTGTACGCGTGCTTCGTGCGCTTGAGCACGTCGAATTGTTGCTTGAGCTATTCGGCTGTCTGAGGTGTAGGGGCTTAGCATGGCGTGCCGTGAGGAGACCAGGAGAGACGGGAAAGGGGGAAAAGGGGCGCCCCGGTTTAGGACGGGCAGTACGAGCACGCCAGTTCGCGCCACTGCGTCGTCGTCTTGGTCAGCTGCCGGTTGGCGCACAAGTTGGCCCATCCCGGCAGGTCCTGCGTCGCCGTTGGGCACGCCGCTATAGACGGATGCGGCCTCGAAGAAGTCTGAATAGGCGCCGGCTTGGACGTTGGTCATCCTTTGGGCCATTCGATGGTTAGCTAAGGTAGGTCCGCGTTGAGGATCGGGAAGTGGTCGTCTGCTATGGGGGTGTTATAGGAAAAGGAGAAGGCGGTTGTTTGAGTACGTGCATGGCATAGCACCCGAGCTAGTTCCGACAGCGTAGGTCCGGTTGGCGTCACATCCGTACATGTTCGCAATGGTCTGGCTGTCCCCGCGGTCAGGGCTGTTAGATCATGTCTCTTTCCTCAGTCGTAGACGCGTTTTTAGAACTCTTGAGAGTTCATCTTCAAACTTGACGCAGTAGCCGTATAACCTCAAGCAGAACAAAGAGAATTAAGAGGAAGAGATCACAAGGGTAAAAAGTGTTTAGAGGCGCTTTCATACATATCTATGCCAGCAATTCAGGGGTGCGTTGGTTGGCTCCTGATTCTTCGTACATGCCTTAGTTACTCACCTTCGCTTCTTGCAAAGACTTCTAGCATCTTATACAAGCGAACCTAATATCTCTCATCTTCTTTAAGGGTTGCTTAATGCATAAGGGAGTACTGCCGTTGTGATGGATCAACTATCCATCAGGTGGTTGGTAGGGCAGACACGTTGCCGCCGCACAGATAGCTAGATAATTGTGGGTCGGGATTTGCGATCTATCCCACCACCAGATTGAGCTGGTGCTGCAGATCTTTCTTCTCCTCCTCACCAAAGTATTTTTGTCAACAGAGGTCATTGCTGGGCATCTTCGTCCAAACCTTCTGCTTGCCCCGTGACAGCCGTTCTTAATCAAAGTGTCGCAGCCCCGCTTTAAATCGCTAGCACCTCTTAATTTTTCTAGTTAATCGTTTAATAATATAAGGGGTAAAAATATAGCGTAATTAAATATAATATACTAAAACTGAGCAAATATAAGTCGTAAAAATAAAACAAAATAGAATTTTAAAACATACGTTTAAATTATTTCTTTTATTGTTGGATCCATGTGATTCCACAGTCAAACCATCCACACAGAACCCACATGTATGATTAGATAAGAGATTAGATACCGGATTGTGAGGTCACCTAGCCAGACCTGCAGGTGCAGCTAAACTTCCCAATCCAACCATCAGCAACATCATGACCTTGACCCCATACTCGAGTATTATGACTGATCGTTCAAGCCTGTTCCCACATTTATAAAATATTATAAGAATATAGCTTAATCTTATACTAGTTAATCTTATTTATTTAAAGATTTATTATTGAATCTTATATTTTGAATGTTTATTCAAATTTACATATTCTCGTTGTAATTTAGGGTCTAGTATGAGGTTGAAATGAAAGTAATTAATTATAAAATCGTTTATTAAGTCGAAGGGTAAAATCTAATATTAAATATATATTAAAGTATAAAGATTTACTTATTTATTTATTGATTTATTAATTAATAAAGCTGTTGGAACAGGCTTGAACGATCAATCATAATACTCGAGTATTGGGTCAAGGTCATGATGTTGCTGATGGTTGGATTGGGAGGTCTAGCTGGACTCGCAGGTCTGGCTAGGTGACCTCCCAATCCGGTATCTAATCTCTTATCTAATCATACATGTGGGTTCGGTATGGATGGTTTGAATGTGAAATTGCATGGATCCAACAAAAGCCTTATTTATTACCTTATAAGCTACTATTTTAATACTTTTACCCTTTTCTTTTTTTAATCACTTATTATAATCAAATATAGCTGCTTAATAGCCGTTATTACACTTATATAGCACCTTATATCTTATAATTATATATATATATATATATATATATATACTTTTTTTTCTATTAAGTTAGTTATATTATGGCTTATTTTGTTAAAATGCGATTTTGAAAAGATTTAAGAGTGTATAGCGATTTAGAGCGGGCCCGCTCCACTTGCGACACTTCGATTAAGAATGGCAGTACCTATTGGCCGTTCGTACTGCACTGCGCTGTCTTTGTCTAGGCTCTATAATCTGTCGTATAGTAGTGAACAAGCATATAAGATCAGAAGCGCGAAGCTTGCCGGTCCAACAACAGATACCTTTGAGGCTAAGTCGTACCTATGGCAGGCGTTCCATAGGCGGAAACTGTCATGGTCTGGTATAGGTAGCCCATGTGGTGAGTTCTGGAGCCCGGACATGAGTACATGTACCACCATTGAATGTCAAGCTGCCACGCTTGATATTCGACATCCTTTTGGGAGGAACAGCCGTGGCATGGTGGTTATGGTGAGCGTTCCGTCACAGAAACCTGGAAACCAGTTGGGGACTGGGGTACCAGACTCCTGACCGATGCCACGGAAACAGGCATCAGGCTCACATCCAACGCACCACGCTCATGACTTCCTAGCCGCAGCAACTCAGGCTCCGATTGCCATGATATGAGTGCCTCACCAGCATTTCCCAAGCTCTCAGCACCCTTCCTGCTTGTGGGACAAAGTGATAATCTATAAAGCACACGTCCACATCTGTCCCCCACCAGTGCTGTGAGTTTGACTTCGCATCTTTCATCGACCAGCTTTAGCGACTAGGACGCCGTGTACGCAAGTCGTCGAGATACCAGTACAAGCTGGTCAGCAATATGGCCACCTTCCACCCCTTCAACCGCTTCCCCATCGAGTTGCGCCAAGCCATCTGGGACGTCTATCTCGACTATGAATGCAACAAGGGCCGTCTGGTGCTCCTCCTTGGAGATGCACGACGCGTCAGGCCGACTGAGCACCTCCGATCCCCCCTATTGTCAGTCAACCGCGAGTCTCGCGACTACGCGCTGAAGATGTGGTACACCGTTGCGCTTCCTGGTAGGTATATCCCAAAGTATATCCAGAATCCCATGCCTCTGTTCCGGCTGCCTCGATAGAGTGAGTGGTCACTGACGCACTTTCTCAAGTCTTTCCCACTGTGCCGATCCCCCTAGAGTGGACTGAGATAGTCTCGTCCGAGATCATGTCTGACTTTTGGGCCCTCCATCGCATGGTGAACCCGACCGAAGTGCCAGGCGACGCACAGGGCACCATCCACATCAGCCCGACGCATGATACGTTCTTGCTCGTTGACAGCATCGACTGGGCCATCTTCCAGAAGAAAAAGCTCAAAACCGGCACCATTGGCCAGCTTGTGCCCGAACGCCGAATCACGGGACCCCTGCCGTTGGACGTCTGCGCCAAAATTCTCAAGTCGATGGACGTCTACGAATACTGCATCGACGAGCAGACGGGGAGATACACAGACGAGAATGACGAACGGTTTCCCGAACCGATAAGTTTGCATAAAGAACTCGCCAGCACCTTCACGGGCCTGCAGACTTGCATTCAACTGGCGGCCTAGCCGTTCGAGCAGAGGATGCCGACCTTCTATGAAGATTTCTGCCAACTGAGCATCAAGGACCTGGTGGCCAAATACGAGAAGAACGGGATGATCTATTACAAGAAGAAGTTCATGGAGCTTCAGACGGACGGACAAGCGAAGGACGTGTGGAAGTCTCGTTTCGCGCACTCCTCAGACATGGAATATCGCTAGCGCTTGCATGAATGCTCATGGCTGTATGTACGAGCTTGGTCCTGAGATTCGGTGTGTCACCTAGATAGATACCCAAGGTGATAAGCTTGGGTGAAAAGGGAAGAATCAGCCCGAAAGTTCACAACGTAAACAAATGACGAAGGTCCGGTGCTTACTTAACAGGAAGCCATGAGATAAAGGTGGCTGGGCCGGTGTTAGCGTCATAGGTTCAACCAAGGTTCTGATCCCCGTTGATCTCCCATGCAGGGCAGGTCGGCAGGTCGCGGGTATGCGCATTCGTTATCAACTTATCAAGCAATCTATTAACTCGCCTGCGATGTAACCTCGAGTGAGGAGGCTCGCCCGCGGGAGAAAGAAGATAGAGTCATTGTGTTCGCGGCGTGTCCGGACAGCTCTTCTCTTCTTCAATCGCACTCGCTTTCCGACTGTCGCTACTGCTCTGTCGCTGCGATTGGACGCGATGATGTTGTTCATGGGCCTCAGAGGCGGCGGACGCTGCCTCAACATGGGGTTGCTCTTGTCCCTCCTGATTGCCATTGCCATTCTCTCCGGGCTTGCACAGGCGCATCCCGATGTGAGATTCCCGCCGCGAAACATTGCCAAAAGGGACACGGGCGCATTGCACCCCTTCGCGAAATACAAGAACATAGCACTGGCACCCAATGCGACGACCACAAGCACAGCGCCCACGGCCACGCGCGCACCTTTGGAATGCTTCCAGGTCGCCGAACCGGTGCTGACGCCCGCGGGCATCACGCCCCGCGATACCAGCCGTCCGCCCGCGGCCAATCAGGTCTCGCTTGCCTACGACATCAATGTTGCTGAGGAGGCGTCCTGTACGGTCGTGCTGATGGATCACACTTTCGAAAACAGCTATGGAGCTCCCTTCGTTGGTATGTGTAGGGGACGGCCTCAAACCCGCGCGGAGGACTGACGTATCCAGGCAATTATACACCTCCCGACTGTGACTTCGACACCGTGGTCATCAACTTCACCATGCAGGTGAAAGGCCGTCAGTACGATCGGACGGGAGTCATGTACTTGGGAGACACCGAGGTATGGCGGACATCAACAGCCGAGCCGACATCGTATGGTATCCGCTGGGTGTGGCTCAAGGACATGACGCCGTTCACGGCCCTGTGGAAAGAGCCGCAGACCATTATCTTCGACCTCGAGAATATCGTGAATGATATCTATACTGGTCTTCTCAACGCGACTCTCACAGCGACCTACTTCACGAGTCCTGAGTCGGTAGGCCGAGCCGACCATCCGTCTGCTGATATGATCATACCAATCTCGGAGCGGATGGGGTCTACGGGAGAACCAAGTCAGTTCACCTATCCGGAACAGAACGCTACCAACGCGGTCAGCTTCCCGCGCAATGTCAATCGGGCGGTGTTCTCAGTCGACGTCAAAGGTCAAGGCAACGAGGAGTTCTGGTGGAGCAACGTGCCTGAGAGCGCCATCCACACCTTCGATGCAGTGTACGGCACATACCCAGGATACTCACCCTTCCGCGAGGTCCAGGTGCTGATCGACGGCAACCTTGCTGGTGTATCATGGCCGTTCCCAGTCATATACACCGGCGGCGTAGTCCCGCAACTCAACAGACCCATTGTCGGTATCGACGCCTTCGACCTGCGGGAGCACGAGATCGACGTCTCGCCATGGCTTCCCCTGCTCTGCGACGGAAACGAGCACACCTTCGCCGTCAAGATAGTGGGACTAGACGATGACGGCGTCTCCACCGCCGTCCTGTCCTCAACCACGGAGAGCTCCTGGTACATAACGGGCAAGATCTTCCTCTGGCTCGACGACGCCGACTCCATCACGACCGGCACGCTGGGCGCCCTTTACACCGGCGCCCCCACCATCGCCTTCTCGCAGAGCTTCGGCCAGAACGCGACGGGCGGCAACGAGACGCTCGACTACGACATCGCGGTCTCGCGCTCTTTGTCGTTCAGCTCATACGTCAAGACCCAGAACCAGGAGGGCACGGCCACCTGGTCGCAGTCGCTGTCGTACACCAACGTCGGCGGCGTCTCCGGCTACGGCAACAACAACCTGAACATCTTCAGCATCGCGGGCACGGACACCGCGACCGGCCTTGGGCATTCCTACGCGAGCACCTACGCCTACCCGCTCTCCAGCAACAGCACGGCCACGTACCTGCCCGCGGGCAACCTGACGCTGTGGGCGCAGCTGGACCAGGGGCTGGACCTCGATGTCCGGGGCGACTCCGTCTTCCCCAGCGGTATCGAGGCGTTCGCCGCCGCCGACACCTCGCTAAGGGGCGCAGGCTCGGTGCTGAGCACCTGGCGGAACGGCACGGCGACGTATGAGCGGCCGGCGGACAATAGCTACAGCACGGGCGTCGGGCAGACGCGTCAGATCTTTTCGTTTGCCGCAGCGGCAGCAGCTGCGGGGAATGTTAGCGCGGCGGGTGCGCCGCTGTATTATCGGGATGTGAGCGCTTATAATGATACGGTTACTGATGATCTTGTGGAGGTGTTGGGGGAGCCGGTCTCGGGGTGATGGGGGGTGGTGGTGGTTTGAAAGGTGGGAGAGTGTGGAGGTTGAGTTTATCATCCTTATGCAGTATATAGTAATGAGCAACGACTTATACATCACGCATGCCATACCTACGGAATCATGTCAATCTTGCTCACTCACACGTCTGTCAACCCGGGTTCATCTGTCCGTGTTGCTCCCAAGTCCGTGTGTCGTCGGGATGAGAGCCGGGGCGTCCATGTACTCTGGAGTCTGCGTTATGTTTCTAAACGCTTCTTTCGATACTCAGGTGACATTTGGCACCCGCGGTGAATTGTAGAAGCTGAAACGGCAGACCTGGTCTAATTGTGGTGAAGCCTGCTCCATACCATCTGAACGAAGATCTCCCGGGCCTCGACTCGCGACCTGTTGTAGCACACCTGGTTGATACCCTCCCTGAAAAGGGGTTAAGGCAAGAGCAAACAACAGAGTGGCAACCGTACCATGGCAACCATGGAATATAGAATCAGTAAATCCCACCACCGAGGATCTCAAGGCTCTACACTTCTATATACGTAGCAGTCCCATAAAGCCTTCGTTTGACCGATGCTGCAAGGGCTATGCAGTGAACTCACCTACACCTCCCAAACAATAGCCGCCGCTCGATCTTACACAACCTCCCCATACCACCACCCCCTATCGCTTTCCACCCCCATGATCCTCCACCGCCCCCTCCCTATCCCAAGTCTCCCTCTCCAGACCCTCAACCTCCCTCACAAGCCCCCATATCCGCTCCCTCGCCCAGCGCACCCTCTCCTCCTGCAAGCTACACGTCCGCTGGAACATATCCAGCGCGAACTCCGGGACGGCGGTCTTCCGGCCCTGCCGGTAGTCATAAACCACGACGTCCTCCTCGGTGCGCGCGGCGACCCGCCGGTGGCGGTGCGAGAGGATGACGCAGTCGAGGACGAGGGAGGTGTCCGAGTCCGAGGGAGGAGAGCGCAGCTTGTGGTAGACGGATATGGTGTCGGGGTAGGTCATAGGCTGGCAGTGTGTTAACCCAGGGTCACATAGTTGTCCTTGCAGCCATCATCCAGGAATAGGGGAGGCACCACATACGAATTTGTAGTCGGCCTTGATCGTCTTCATGATCAGACCAGTGCCCGTCGGCTGCATGAGCTCGCTCCACGCTGTGCGATTCACCGCGTCCTGCGCCGCGAAGTGCATTACCCAGTTCACGCGTGACGACTCGGCGTACCGAAGGTAGTGGGCGTTGTTGACGTGGCCCTAGACCTCACCATCCACGTCAGCTCCTGAATCCCCTCGTTGTTTCCGAGCTCGCAAGCTGCTTTGCTTGAGTGTATACACCCCACTCCATTCTCTTCCAAGGCAACACAACCCAACCAAGTCCTCAGCCATCCCGAAAGACACCAAAACAGGAAAAACCTACAAAACTATCCATCTCCCCCCAAACGACCCGCTGCCCCTCGAGCCCGCGCCGCCTTCCCGTGACGAACCCTTCAGCCCCGGCGCTCAGCGCTCGCCACTCCCGCGCCACCACGCCCAGCACGCCCGCCGCGCGCTGTATCTGCGTCGCATCGCAGCCGAAGATGATGCATTTGCCTAGACGCGCCTGGAGGTCGGAGATCCAGCGGCTCGGGGGCGGTGGGGACGGTTCTTTGGGTGAGGACGAGTCGGATTTGTGGGAGGAGGTCGAGGAGAAGCGGCGGGCGTGCGAGGGTATTGAGGGTGTCGTTTTGACGGTTCGTGGAGCTGATGAAAGTCGCGAGCTTGCGACGGAGCTGAGGACGCCGGCGTGACGAGGAGCTGAAAGCGGGTTTATCCGCGGACGGGGAGGCATTGTGAGGACCGACCGGATACCCGTTAGATCGGAAGCAAGATAGAAGCAACGCGAGTGCAGTATCCTCTCTTGAGGTATGGGAAAGAAAGTAAATAGGAGACAGCGTTGGTCGGCGTTAGAGTTGTCGACTGTTGCAGCTTGCAAGCTTAAGCTGAACGGCGGTTTGGTGGGGTAGCTATGGGCGCAATCTGGGGTACTGCCGTTTGCAATCGAAGTGTCAGTGACCCACTTCAAATCGCTACTACCTCCCACCAGAATTTGATTTTCTGCTAGACAGCCAAATTGTTCTTTGTTCACAACGCCGTCGCACACGCCGTCGCCCACGCCGTCGCTAGCCAACTGAAACTATTATTAGTAATATCTTTCAGGATTTTTTTATAACAAATAGCTTTAAGCGCTGTTATTCTTAAGCCTTATACCTTTAACGTTATAAATGTTATTTAAAATCTTTGTTACCCTTTAAATTATATATGAGAGCAATATCCCAGATCCAATGAGTGCGTGATGAACGGTACAGCGTTGTTGTATTCAGGAAAAGGTCTATCTACTCTGTTCTGTGTGCGATCGCTATATATGCGGGCCACGGAGCCTGTGTCACCCGACACGGCAACTGGCAGCCTCATCATGCTTACATACACAGATGGATTCTGCTCACAATATATATTATATTAAAATAATTCTATTTTTATATAAAATAATGGGTAAATTAATAGATTCTTCTTTGTTAATACCATTATATAAGAATATTAATACCTGTTAAGCGTGTTATAGTTAATAATAAGTCAAAAAATGTAAACAAAGAGTTTAAGAAGGTTAAAAAATAGGCATTTAAGCGTTATTTAATAAGAGTATTATATAATATCAAGTAAACGGGTATTAAAAGACTTTTGTAATTATATTTGAAGAGAAATTTTCCTTATAAATTTATAATTAAAACATTGACTTAGATTTATTTTATCTTAACTTTATTTAAACTTATTAAACCTTTACGTCCTATATAATAATGGGGAAGTCGCTGCCTGCTCCGCTGGGTCTAGCGGCACGCCCGATTCGGCATGGCGTCTCATCTGCCCTGTGCGAGCTCGCACACTTGCACAGTCCAGTCCGCCGCATCTCATAACTACGGACGGCGCCCCTGATGTCCCTTTTTAGGTACTCTCTACATTCCTTCCTTCCACTCCCGCCCTCGGTCCTGTGGGTCTTGGTTTCACAGCCGTTCAGTTCCACGCCACCTGCTGTTGCCTAGACGCTTGACTCACAGCTGACTCCGAGAATGACTTTAGCTACTTTGGGAATCTGCGAAGCTGCCCACCTCGACACCCATATAGTGGCTTTCGCCACCTCGGCTGTCGATTATCATCCATCGTTTACTGGAGTTTGAATACCTCTCTGCCCAAGCCGTAGAGCTCGGAATGTCTGGGTAGGGGCCCAAACTCTGCCACATAATTTCATCAGGTACTGGACGCTGTGCATAGTGCTCAGGGGACTACGCCCGGGGGGAGTACACCCATCGCGCATCCTCAATACCTGCGCTAAAACAGGCATTTCTCTCAGTAACTGACTATCTTGGCCAAGGCACAAGAGAATTTTTCTTACAAGCCGGATGGCACCCTTCCACGACGGGCCCCCAAATACGCCTGTGGCTGTCCCAAAGACGACCACTGGCGGCATGCTCAAATCCCCGGCCCCTAGAAAGACATACAGCCCGGCAACTCCGAGCAGGCTCCGCCAGGCGCTGCTTGACGACATCAGCAGCAGCCCGTCACAGGTCTCCGAGGCTGACTTCACCGTTGTTTCCCCTCTGAAAGGAAAATCCCGAAATGTCAATGACAGCAGCACCACTAGAATGAAACGACCTCAATTGAACAAAATCTCTACAGACCAAGCCATTAAATGCGATGCTAGGAATAAAGCCTCCTCCTTAGAGTATCAGGACCAAGTTGCCAAGATACTGAATAAAAACAGGCACCTTTATGAAGTCAGGATAATAATGTTTCAGGAATGTGCTGCAGTAATTGACAAGACACTTGAGAAAGCCGGAACCGAATTATACTCACATACCAAGGAGTTCAGCGCCTTTTTCTCTAATGCCTGAGCGAGTGGCTAGAAACCCGAGATTCAACCATAGGAAAGGCCACTTCCGGGGGGATAGTGATGGGGAAGCCCACCATGACTTTCGCCCAAGCTGTCTCTTTTAACCACCGACAGCAGCCACTGACAGTCAACACCACCATGAAAAAAACACAGCCTGGCGCCCTCACCGCTGCCAACCAACTGAAAAAGAAGCAGGATGATCTCCGGGTCTTTTTCCGCATGGGTAATAGACACTTAGAGCCTTATGGGATAAAGTCTATACTGAACAGAAGACTTAAGCTCCATCCACAGGAGCTTAGAGAAGTGACACGGTGCCCCTCCGGATTTATCTTACACCCAAGGGGCAAACCAGCTCAGGCTAAGCTCCTGGCCTTCCAAAAAGAAATCACCGACATTCTTAAGGCACAAAATATCAAGATCTGCACGGTCTGGCATCACTATAAGGTCGATAGATGCCCAAGAAAGGCCATCAGTGCGGAAGGGTTGATAATCGACATTACTGACATTGCTGTTATTAATGAAGTTAAAGTCCAAACAGGTGACAGACCTTTAAGGTGCATATTTTCAAGGAACATAGTTGATTCTAATCAGGAGACTACATGTGTGATCTCTCTGCCCCGTACAGCAAAGAAACCATTCATACTTTTTGCTCACTCAATGCCCTCGAGGCACATTCAATACTCACGTCAAGATAAGTACGATTCACGTCCTTACCTTACTGCACTATTTTTAAATGACACTAAACAACGAAGGATGTGAGCCACATATACGCAGATTCAAGGTCAGGTGCAACCTTAAGATCACAACGCAGCTCATGTACAAGGCTGAGTCCGGACTCACTGTCTCCGGTAATAACCGCTGGCCAGCCACATCGAACGGCTATAAATTTCATGTGGGGTTAAACTCCGCAAAATCTATAGTAGGACTGCTACAGGTACGACCACGTTCTCCGTACGATTCAAGTATTGACCTCGTCTAGCATGCACTCGTGCAAGACAATCGAAGAAGGGAGACACTCCAGGATCTAGTGCGGCTAGCCTTGATTTCTCTCATACCACCGTATCGTCATCATCACCCCTGACTCTGAACCGAACGCGTTCGCAAACACCTAGGACCATTGAAGAATCTTCCAGATAATACATCTAGTTTATCTTGCAATGGTAAACCCAGCTCTTTCAACAAGAACCCATCAATAGGCATCGAGAGAGACGTCCAAGGCAGGTTCTGCTGTTCGAATTCGGCTTCTTCACGGTTATAGTCGGATACATATACTCCAGGTCTCGCAGGTGCCATGTTCCCACAGCCTCCTTCCGAACACTTCCTTCATTACCGTGCTCGTCCATTTGTTTTCCGACCAGCATCAGCAGCACTTGGGACATTTCAAAGCTCTTTCTATTCCCGCAACCACCCGCAACCACTCACACACATCAACCCCCTCGTCTGTACTATGGCTACCATGGTAGAGGAGAAGGTTCAGCGTGTCGAGGAAGGTCTCGGTTTCACGTTCCCTCTCGACAAGTGTCGATGCATAGAGTCACTGAGCACATCTGGCTTGACCTTCTATCAGGGTCAACGACGTGGCAATGGAGGTAGACATGCCGCGGTGACGTGCTAGTCTGGAGGAACCAAATTCATGCATCCATCATGTATGTTTCTGACTGCCAACCACAGTCCAGCATGTTGCAGTGGATTCTACGTCGGGGCCGATGTTGGCACCATACAATCTGACCATCTTGATGAGTCAAAAACAACTCCCAGGACAGAATAAATGATTGGATATGCAGGATTCTTGTCCGAATATCAGGCTTGGCTGCCCAGAACAGATCCCTTATAACCTAAAACGAGATCAGCCTCTCAAAATATGATCAAACCCAGTCCTACTGCCTCCATTTTATATGCCTCGTGTATGGTTTTCGACGATTTTCAGCTTGATATTGTTTCGGTACCCCTACAGGAGACAATGCATGACGTCCAAGTTTGTTCTCGCTGTATGGCGTATGGTATTTACGCGTTTGCAGATTCTTACATGTATACCTGACCATGATCAGTGTGTGTAAGGTACTTACTTTGTTTAAGCGCTGCGCAGGATCAAGCACGGGTAGACAAGTGGGAGTCTAATATTGCTTCAGTTTTTGAGGTGACGATCATCGCTACGCCGGGGCTTTCGTAAAACGCATAGGAGTTGCTGGATAGAATCGGCGTTTAGAGAATGATTGGATACTAGGCACACTGGGTTGGTTAATGAAACATACCACTTAAAATTCCTGGTCGCTCTCCTGCTCCATTATAGCTCGTAAAGACGTAAGCTTTGCTATCTTGAACAGTAGCCACCGGGATCCCAATCTTGGCCCCCATTTCGCTTGCCCGTGAGCAGTCCACGATGCTTCGAGTGCCTAGAATTTCTTTGAGGATCTTCTCGAGCTCCTGGCCCGAATACCGACTGTCAGAAAGGACAGAAGTGATGAACTGGAAGAGCTCCGCAAGGAATGAAATCCGGATCCACGGTTCTGGTAGCTTGAAAGCCACCTGTGCAAGTCTCTCAAAGGCGCTGATGCATTCTACAACAGGCCAGCCGTTCATATACAATGTGCCAGCAATAATTGCACCTGTTTGTTTTAGTATTCAGCGGCAGCATTAAGCACGTTGCTCACGGCTGCTTCTTCCATCCTTTCATGTCTGGAGATCGGATATTGGCCAGATCGGTTCTTCGGAACGGCAGTTCTCTGGAGCATGATACGTGAAGTAAGTCGAGCCCTGTGGTGCATGCTCTAGATGAATGATATCCATAAGACGTTACTAGCAGTGGGGACCTGGAGACACGGCCATAGGCCTTTCTCTCCTCTTCCCCTCATCTGTGTTACAGGCAGTTCTTTCTATGTTTTAACGTTGGGACGAGAATCGAACCGTGGTACGCGGTATGGGGCCGCCCCTTGTACAAAGGTGATTGGTCAGGAAGCAGTCGTAGTAACGTTTCCCATGGGTCCTTCTCGCATTCAAGCGGGGCCTGTTCCGGCCCATGCGCTTATATCACTGGTACTTACGATCCACCTAGCATATAAGCAGCGTTTTTAGACTTTCACATTGCCCTGTTTATGTTCTCCTTTTGGATCTCGTGTGACTGTTGCGTGTGTGGCGCTCACGACTCGACTGTCGAACAGATCCAGGCCTATATAGCCAGCACATTTGAGGCCAAAGGCCTAGGCATCATACGCGAGAAGCCCGACGACCACAGGCGCGAGATGTACGTTCGCCCCGAGGAGACGGCCGATGTGACGATTAGAAGCGCGATCAGGCAACAGCGCCAAAAGGACTTATAGGCAGAAAAAAAGCTCAGATAAACGTTGTTTATATAGCACAGATACATGAATTCATCCGAGCAGTAGCTGCCATGGCCGTCGAGCACCAATAGACGAAATTCATCTTCATTTTTAAGGACAGTGTTAGGTAGGTAGATCTCGGGCTTAATTAGCATGCAATTAATGATAATAAATAAATAAAAATCACCTTTTTTCAAGCCAGTGCAGCGCGATCTTGTTCGAGGACCAGCCGTTGATGGAGTACGTTATTCGTCACCGGCAGCAGCAGTAGCAGGAATTTACTGATACACTGCAAATACGAACCAAACCATCGAGTTGGACATGTATCACGGAGGTCTAGGTAGCAAGGAGTTCAAAGGCATTCTATTACGATATAGCATGTGGCCGCCGAAGAAAAACAGAAAGGCTTTCCCATTTTTTAGCCCCCCATACACCTGTCCATTTGTAGCCACTTTGATTCCAACGCATGCCTGCCCCGCCCCTTTGCCCATTCAAGTTCAGCCAGCCATTCAAATAATATATCATTATTGCTATCACTGTCGCTCGGCGACATACCAAGTAGGGGCGAGTCTTCCCCTTCTGCCATCCAGTCCCGTGTCGGTCGGCTGGGGACCCGGGGCCAGGGACGCGACGGCGGTAAGTGTTCACCATCACGCTTCATTCTGTCCACGTGACTCAAAGAGGGAGAATAATTGATCCAGGTATTGTTATACAGTCAACTATAGTCTTTCTTTTTTTCCCACTGAGCGTTGGCCTCGTCGATTGTGATATTACATCTCTTAACTGTCAAACACAGGTCCCGTATGTGTTTCTGAAATGAATAGACAAATGATGCAGATTGTTCGTTGAGTTCTCGAAAATATGCAGCCTCTGGTCAAAGCCGTCTGTTTCCACGAGACAGTTCAGCGATCATATCCTCACGGCTCGCGATCGGTACCTTTTTAGCTTGTATATTCTCGACACTTATATCGAGGACTGTCGTAGTGCCGCCAAGTCTTTTAATTTCAATGTCTGTTGGCATGAGAGAGGCCTGTGGTCTGTGGATGACTTTCGGTCGTTGTCACGGCGAGCGTACTGAGGAGCTGGGACATGGCCGGCAGCTAGCAGCTATTACTCTATTGACAAGAATATCAAGACTAGAGAGGAAAGGAAGAGAGAGAGAGATAGGTACAGTGGGAGGTTGCCCTTTTAAGGGGATCCTCTGGTCAGATCCTTCCCCTATTAGAAAGTATCCGCTTGTCATGTGGAAAGGTCTGTGCAGGCCGTCACAATTATCTATTAGTTTTCATAATCTTGAAATTTTAAATTAAATATAAAAACATCAAGGTATTTATAAGATGTGTTTCATAAATTGCGTTACATTATATTGGGTATCGGTTAAATCTGTTCGTTTTTTAAAGTTTAATATCTCTTTTAAAATATTAAAAAAAATATTGTTACGTTCTATATATATAATAGAGACGTAAAAGCTTTATATTAACTATATACATATAACGATGTTTTATCAAAAATGAATGAAAAAAGATCGGATAAAGCAGCTAAGTTTAATAAAGAAATAAATATACGTACTTGTCACGATTCCGTAAATATATTGCAAGGATACAGGGACCCTTATTAACTATCAACGTATAACAAACTCTGATTGAAGGAAAAGAAAGATCTGGAGATGCACCCAAATTGGTATGCAGCTAGATATGGGCAGTTGTTTTCTACCAGACCCACCAGGGTATGGATCAACCTGTCGTCCAATCAGTCACGTGCTCAGTTACGTGACCCTGGGACCATGGGTACCACCGCTAGACCTGATGGATGATAGAACCATCACAGTACCCACTTAATAATTCAAGTTTTTAATAATTTCAAAGCAATTTATTATCCGGGTAGTTACCTTTTAATTACGTAATATCAGAATGTTAAAGCTACAATTGTTAATAGTGTATATAGCTACTATTATAAATAATTACTTATTATAAAGTATTAAGTATTAAATGAAGATTGAAAAAAGTAGTGTAAAAGCGCGTATCAAGCTTTTAATCGCTTAAAAATATAATAAAAATTAAAACAGCGCGAAACAATATTATCATTAATTAATCAATTCATAAAAGATAATTTGACTGTCTAGCAGAAAGTTAAATTCTAGTTGGAGGTAGTAGCGAAGATTTAAAATCGGTCACTAACACTTCGATTGCAAACGGCAGTAAGGTAAGCTGGAGGTGTCAGATACTGTTGGATAACAGGGGTCATGAAGATGAGCCGAGTCCGACCGGAAAAACCACGGTACGGCAGAGATGACCAGCACCAAACTGGGAACCGATCAGGGGCACCTGAACAGACAGAACAGATACAACACACTACATGCAATACACGAAGAATCACCCTCCAATCACTGAACTCGCTTGAATCTAACAGATACCAGCGCACCAATTGGGCCATGCACTGACTATGTCACGTGGATGACAGCGCACTAGACTGCGACCAACCACCAGGGCAGAACTAGTACTGAAAACTCGTACACAGATAGACAGTGCTCATCTTAACATCATAATACACTCATCAATTGACCCTCGTATTCAACAGGAGGAGTGGTGTTAAGATATGGCGTCACTCGTGGTGGCATGTGCCTCGACCTCATCTGCTTTCACCGCCTGGATTCTTCTCGGATCAGAATACAAGCTTTGAATGATACAGCAAACCCAATTCTCATTTGCCTTGAAAACACATGTACAATCAATGGAAGTAGAGCAACAGATCGCGCAGAGATCACGACCACGATGCCGCCGCCCCCAAACCCAGAGCTGAGACGGCAGGTCATCGCCATCTACAAAGGTCCGTCGGTTCACGCGCACTCACTCACTCTTATTACACTGCTACCTGATAGCTCCCACCACCTCATCATACCTCTCACCATAACATGAATACCATACATACGTATCTGTCAATCATCTCATAACCCTCACATCCCTCACAACACAACCCCAGTCCAGTCCTAAAACCCCCAGATATCAACACCACACTAACACCAAAACCAAACCCCAGAGATCCTCAACCTAGGAAAAGACTACCCGCAAGGCGGCCTAAGCTACGTGCGGCCACGTCTGCACCGCGCCTTCATGGCGAACGCGCACCTGCGGGACGACGAGGACATACGCAAGGGGATCGCGCGGGCCGAGTTCGTGAAGAAAGGTGCGTAGGTAGTTCAAGATGGCAGGCAACAGAAACGGAAAGGCTAATACAATGTCCCCTTACTACAGAGATCGAGGCATTGTGAGTTGAGTTTGTTTCAGTGCTGATACTCCTACTCTGTTCGATTGTGCGCTGTACCACACTCGTCGAGATTACTTCATATCAGGAAGGGGTTCAGGTCACGTCGCACTCACTCTACACGTCGTGAGAGTCAGTCAGTCAGTTATGAGGGGTGCTTCCGACTCCCCGTTTGTGACCATATACCCATATATCCCAACCCCAATCCCGACCAAGCGGTCGATTCGTCCCTCATCAATCCATGCCCCATATATAACGTGAATCGAGACAGGTCCTAGACCACATCTGCGAACAAACATGTTGAACATATGTCCAATGTCCCATATCCAAAGTATGCAACGCAAACATGCAGCGGGAACCCAGCCCCTATATGCAAATGCAAACATATTCCCATTCCGCCCATTTCCTTTCTATAACAATGCGCTGGTCCGGTGCGGTGCGGTGCGATTCGATGCCTTCTTTCCAAGACGTGATGCCGTTGTTGGGAGTCCTGCTAATGTCGAGAGTATATAGATACTACCTGAAGAGGTATCGGACGCTGAGGAAGAGGTATGACGGGGCGTGACGGGGCACGAGGCGGAGGTGGAAACCAAGGCAAACAAGTATTGGCTCGGATATTCGAAACAGTGGCCGTCAGGTCGAACAAGCGGTGACTGTGCTGTCAGCCCGAGACGGTCTCATGGCTTCGCCAAGAATAGGTTAATCTCCAAATAAATAGTAGATCCACGTCAAGGCTTGTTGCTCATTCTCTTTCGCGCAGTCCATGCGCCGACCTCAAGGCACTCGCCCCAGCTAGTACCATTCTCGCGCAGAAGATCGTTGACCATCTTGGCAGTCCAGCCATCCCATTCGTCCTGGCTCTTTCCACTGACCTCTCTCAGCATGGGTTCGAGACTGCAAATCTGTCCAACCGTCGTCTCGAGCGCAGTCCGCCGGAGAGCTGCCTGGCCAGCGGTCAACGTCTTGCCTGCAGGTTTCCCTCCTTTGACGTCCGTTGCCTTACTTTTCCCCTTCATCGAATCGATGTAGCTCTTCCCGTCTTTGGTCACCACACCGCCGACACCTTCCCGCTCCCATCGGACCTCACTCAGTGGCACCGCCAACCTTTCTGAGCGCACATCAAGCAAGGTCTCGGACTCTTGCAGTAGATGCGGCCCAGTAAGCGTACAAGGTACTGCAGACAGCCCACGTGCATCGAGGGCTTTGGTTATCCAACCATTGTACTCCACCAGAAACGGGTTCAGCGGTGCGCTGAGCGGTGTGTTTGTCGTCATCACATAAGCACCCAACTTTAGCGCATCGGCTTCCTCGTCCTCCTCGTCACTGGAAGAATCACTATCATCACTTTTGACAGCAGGAGCTGAAGTCTTCAGGACATGCGGTCGTAGCATGCGGATGCTAAAGTCTGTCTCCCATACTTCTATCACACCACCCGGTTTCAACATGCGCAAATAGTCTTCGAGGACGGGCTGCGCGTCGCGAAACGAGCAGCAGAGGGACAAGTCCTTCACCATGATCAAGTCGAATTCGCCATCGGGAAACGGGCAGGGACACCGCCGCAAGTCATGCTGGACAAATCGCCACTTCATATCCTTGTCCGGTTTGCTATTCGTGTCAAGTCCAGAGCCCGCCAGGGAAACGATGTCAACACCAGTAAAGGAGATGGACGAATGACCATGCTGGGCAAAGTACCGATGGCACATCATGCTCCAAAAAGCCGAACCACATCCCACCTCAAGGACACGTGTTGGTGGTTTGTTAGCGAAGGCGGTCGATATGATCGGACCGCCAAATAACTGGAAGGTCATTAAGGTGCGGAGGGACTGCCGGTGAAGTTCTGCCAGATCAACCGGCAGGGGATATGGCAATGTCGGATCGTGTATGTATGTGCGATTATTGCGGACGATGAAGGGCTTGGGCCCGACAGATTGTGGCTTGGAAGCAGTCGATGCCGATGCCGTTGACGCTGGCCCGCTCCCCTCGGCCGAGGAGTTGGGCAAGTTATCGTACGAAGCCATCACGCCGGCTTGGTTCGAGCGAGGTGTGCCCGAGGCGGAGGAGACGCTATCGCTCGTGCGGCTGAAGGAAGGGTACTTTGGAGGAGGTATAGATCCGGCCATGTCGTCATGTTGGTCCCTGCTCGTTGTTGGCCTCAGGGGTCTGGGCCACGAGGGGTCGGTACCCGCAGCACCAGGTTTTGACAGAGTCGGGGTTGACGGGTCAGATGACGCCTGGCGCAGAGCGTGACTCGATGTCCGACGGTAAGGATCGCGTTTGTGTAGTCTGTTTTGTTGACTGTGGCTATGCCCGGAGCTGTTGTAGTGGAAGAAAGGGAGATGCGCAGGCCGGACGCCAAGGGGTTTCGGGGTAGCAGGCGACGGCTCGGGTGCGGATGCGGACGCGGAAGCTGAAGCGGACGTAGCAGAATCAGGCACAGACGCGATCGGGGTCGCCGCAACGTGGACGAGTGCGACAGGAGCGGTCGAGTCGATGGTCTTCGCGCTTGCTTGCACTTGTGGCGATGCGACTACGCTCCCATAGGTGAAAGGGGCAGTGGTGCCAGTGCGGTACGCCGTGACATCAGCGACGTGGTTCTCGGTGGTAGTCTCCTCTGTCTTCTGCAGCGCCTGGTCAGCTGCATTGTACGTATAAGGTATCCATCACAGGACCAGACACTGGGTTTTGTATGTAGGTACGCAGGTAGGTAGGTATGTGTATGTGGGCGGGTAGAGGGCACGGGGTATTCCGGTATTCCGCAATCCCGCATTCGCGTTGCATGGTTCGGACTTACACTGGACGAGTTGTGCGGTTTGAAGGGGAGCCGCAGGGGTTTCTGAGGGTGGGATTCGTGCGACGTTCGGGAGTTGGCACCGCTGGATGGCGTCCTCTGGTGATGCGATGACTTCAGAGCCAGTTCGGACGAACCCTGCGTGTGGACGGAGGTTGCGCGTCGTCGGCCGGGTCTCCTGAATCGCTTTGCGCTGTGCCAGTCGACGTGGCTGTGACTGGGTTTGTCGGCGTCGGTGCCAGTGCCAGTGACAGCATTGGTGATCTCGCCGTTGTTGCCAGTGCTGTCGTGGTGGCTGTGGGAGTAGCTGCCGGCGGCGGCACTCGCAGTCTCATCCGTAGCAGTGGGAGGTCGGGGAGTGGGAGTGGGAGTGGGAGTGGGAAGAGTAGGATCTGGAGTGGTGGTGAGGGTGGCCGATGCCGATGCCCTCGGTGGTGGTCTGCGGAATTCAGGGGCATACATTGCCACGCTGTAGGCGAACTCCATTTTGGCAGTGCGGGTGGCCCGCCCAGTTGGCAGCCCGAGGTTGGCAGCCCGAGGTTGGCAGGTTGGCAGTTAGCCAGGCCGCTGGCGCTTGGTGTCGGGGTGCCTGGGTGTCTGCTGCCGCCTCCTGAGTCCTGGTGAGAACCCCTCTTCCCGCCGGTTGCTGCCGGCCCGCGTACTCTGCTGCGCAACTGCTGCGCAACTGCTGCACACCTGCAACTGTAGCAGCAGCTGTCGTCGCTAAAGCACTGCAACTGTAGCGTCGGCGCCGTTGGAAGCTCCAGCTGCAACCCGACTTGATTGCACCCTCGAATGGTCCCTCGGCTGGACATTCACTGTCAGTTTGCAGTTTCAACCACTCCCTTCGCCTGTTTCTGTTCCTGATCCTGATCTCTCGTCAGACTCCCTTTCTCAACGCGTCACGCCACGCCCTTCCACAAACCAGATTTGGAATAGAGCCCGACTGCAACCAAAATCCCTGACAGCTCGGTCTGGTTCAACGACCAGTTATCCTAATGAGAAAGCTGGCCGGGGATGAACACGGCGATTCCGCGGTTTCGGTGTGCTCGCTTCGTTTCGAATTCTTCGGTGTCGTCTCGTCTCGGGCTAGTTCCGAGTTCGGTATTCTGTCTTGTCTTGTCTTGTCTGTCTGCCCTTCCTCCCTCGGTGTCCAAACAAGGGGGTTGGCTCGCTCGTTTCAATCAACAGTGGCGGTATGTGATATCTTCTGATCCGGCACCGTTGTCATGCAGCCTGGGTGCAGCAGCTGCCGGTGTACTTATTCAATGGCACGCGATGCTGTGACACCGGATCCTGTCCCGGTTGCAGGTGATGCAGCGAGTGTTGCTGGCTTTCCCCTCCCCACCTACCTCGGCCGGCCCGAAGGCACTTAGACTTATATCGCTCCCTTCAACTCGTCCACTGCCAGACTGCACGTCTTTCCTGGCTTTGCCGACCTATAGCAGTCGATGGCTACCTTTTACTAAAAGGATGATTGGAAGAATGCTGGCATTTGTTCCCCAAGGCCCAATCCCATTGGTACAGGCGGCTCACTTTGGGCCGGTGTCTTTCTCGGTGAGTTCTTCGAGTCCCGCGTCGAATCAGGATTCGGGCGGCTTCTGATCTCGGACGGAATATCGGGACCTTTGGTGCGCTGTCTTGTCATTCAAGCATATCCGTGCTGATGGTGTAGGACGCGGTTCCACGATTCGTCGGTCGCTTCGTTTCTCGTTTGGTGCGTGATGCCTTGCTCTGCGGTGGGTGCCGTGTACCGATGTTGCTGTAGGCATGCATCGACTGACATATGGCGAAGACGTTCCGCTGTTCACCTGACAAGTATGGTCCTCTCAGGCGCTCGGTGGGCACAATAGGAAGTTGGCCTTGTTTGAGAATATCCAGCGCCGAGGTCCGGGTGAAGTGGTCTTGACCGCTACATGCCCGGTAGGTGTCTGATATGCTCTTGAAACTCCGTCTCGCTTGAGCGGAAGAGCTCGACAGAGGCGCAGCACTTCTGAAGTATCGCTTGCTTTTTTTGGCGTAGGCTCTGGTCGCAATGGCCATGCGCGTTGCGATCATGGGCCTCGGTGATGTCGTTTAACGTTAACGAGAACAATCCGATGGGATCACAGGCATGCCAGGATATATATATCTGCTGCAGCAAAACACCTCACCTCAGGTTGGGCGCAACTAGTCTCGAAGTCCACTCCTGCTCCATCATACTCCAAGAATAGGTGTCGATCTGGCCCTATCTCGACATGCGCTTTTCCACTTTATGCTCACGATGTTTTAGCCTTGCTCCTTCTAGACCTCTATGGATGATATGTCTGCCAAACGACGCAAAAGACCCTGTTTGTTGGCGGATCGTGGGTCGGACTCGTCAGCCAGCATGGTAGGGTCATATCTCATCACGCACATCTCCCCCGCATTTCATGCGCATACAGCCCCGTCTTGTCGGTAAGTGACAAATCTGGTCTGGTTCTTCAGCAGTAGCGAGCGGGATGCAGTCGTGTCAGCTTTCGGGCATTCGAGTTGCTGTTCCATTTCATCTGATCCTGTTCTCTCCTCGCTGTACGTCTTGCAAGTCAGAACAGGAGCTGGTTCTGAGAACTGATGAACGGGCACAGAGCCCAAGCTGACGGACTGTCCCTGCCCACCGATCATAGGGACATGCGCATCGTGGCAATCAACTTCGTTCGTCCAATGTGCTACACCGAGAAAGGTCGCTTATGCTGCGGCTTGTGCATACTTGATAGCTCTGCTGACCATGCCTGTCTGTGGACTTGCCGATTCCCAAGGTAATCAAGTCGTAGGGATGAGAAGTACCATAGTATGGACGTACTTGGCGCGTCCTTGCACGCACCACATCCCATAACCAGAGCATCATCTCTACCGGCTCGACTATCTGACCCATTTTTGTACACGCGTCGTAAGATGTGGCAACAGGTGCTGTCAAAGGAGCTCGCTTATTGACGTGCATGTTCGAATTGATCAGCCTGAAATGCCATCGCCTAATGGGTTCCCCAGGTTCCCCAGGTTCCAGCAACTCGGTTCGGGACCACATGGTTGAACCTGCTGTTGGGAGGTTGTACTGCAGAATCATAGACCGAGCACATTGACCCGCAGAGACCGATGACTTCGACTTTGATGTTGGCTTTGTTGTATCTCAAGTACCTGACCTTGGAGAGCGATGGGCGAGGTGATGATGCCTATTTGAGCAGGTCGTCCTTCTATCATATCATGCACATGTAGGAATGCCCACAATTCCAAAGTTCCGGCCAGTCAATGACAGACTTGCCAATCCATGTTGGCGGCACAGGCATCGACGACCAACAAGTACAAACGAGCGGGGGATAACTTCTCGAATGATTATGGGTGGTGCGGTAAGCCGGACCGCGATGGCCCAATACAGGCTGACAGGTAGCCACACACGTACGGAGCTGTTGAACATACTTGGGCAGTGTCGTTGAAGATGAGCTTTGTTGGCTGGTTTACGAAGACCCTGTCATATATAGATATATCCTCCGGCCGTTGAAATTTAAGGTTAGCAGGTAACGTTAGACAGACGCAAGTATGGCGGAAATTCGGCAGCTAGTTGATCAAGCTCTTCTCTACTCGGCAAGGTCTTGATACTTCATCAGCTCGTCAAGACAACAACAGCCTGACAGCCTGACACTACCCTCATTGGAAGAACACCGCCCCTCCACCATAGTATGTAACCAAAAGTGACAAACAACTTGCCCAGACTACTCGATCAGACGAAACCTCGAGTGTGAGTGCAGCTGTTGTGGCTTGAGGTAATATTGGCAACTTGGCCAGGTAGGTCTTCAAGACAACGAACAATCGATTCCAATGTTCGGTTCCTGTTTTGCTGGTGTGACAGCATCCAAATCCAAGACACGAGACAAACAGCGGGTCAATTGCCCAATTGAATGGGTGCCAGAGTCGTACAAACTTGTCTGCTTTTTTGCTTTTTTGCTTTGCGTGGTGTTCCGCAGACGAACTTCTCCGATTCCAGCAAAACTCAAACTGAGCACCAGCCACACCAGCCACACCAAACAGCTAGCACTGCCACACTCTTCCTCCACACTTCTCCACACATGAAGCTCTTTCACGTGACACCAACAAGGCTGCACTAATGACACGCCTCTATCGACATCGGCATTGAGCTAGCTGCCCTGTGATTCGAGCAGCACGAGTCCACTGCGAAGCCTGAGCCTGAAGCCTGAAGCCTAACAGGTGTGCTACCTGCAGTCACTGAAGCACGCGGATTGACGACACCTCCAGTTCTGCGACTCATAACAGCATTGTCACGGTTCTGTCCAGACCATCACCTCATTGATATCGTGCAGCGCATTGCATTGCATCCATTGACTGATTCAATTGTCATTCACTTATTGCTCCTCTCTGGGCTGTATCCAACAGTGAGTTCGCACTGGGCAGCAGCCCGTCCCCTGTGCTACTGCGCACTTCAGCCGCCTCTTGCTTCGAGCCCTGACCAGCTAACTTTTGCACCCGGCCTATCAACAGCCACCACTCGTCAAGGCCACTTCAACCAAGTCTGCCCAGCAAAGGCAACACCTCAAGCTTGACCAGAAGAAACAGACATTCACCACAGTTCTGTCTTTGCGACCGTTATTGCCCGCCAGATGCAATCACTCCGAGCTTGGTGCCCACCTCCTTTCGTCCACACACCACCCACCACCACCACCAGCGATCAACACCTCAACCACAATCAGAACACCACCAAATCCACATGCGCCAACTGATACTTGCAGTCAGCTGCTCGTCCTCCACCTTCTACCGTCCACGTTCACGACTCTTGCGACCACAGCTTTGGTCCTGACAACGTGCCAAGCTGCTACAGTTGCACCTACACTGTCCATGCAGCACGACGAAGCTCCCAACCTCGATGTACGGATACCAACCGATCCTTCGTTCTTTCGTCCCCTCCCCGACTTGAGCTGTTAAGTTGTTCCCCAGCCAGCTTGTCGTGATCTCCTCGACTCGACAGCCACCCCGTGGCAGGCGCTCGGACACCTTTCTCCTCAGGCAGATGGACCTCAACCCATACCGAAACCCTCCCGACATATCTATACAACGTACGCGACCGACAATCGCCCTAAGGTCCTGCACTTTCATCCCAAGGTTATCACGTCTCTCTATCTGTGACGATACTCGGTTATTCAGTCAGCTAGAAGGCCCTTGCTTGCCTCACGGTAGCTGGATAGCTTCACTCGCGGAATGTACGGGCCCAACCACCAGCAGGGGCATAACTCGCGCCTGAATGGCGTTCCTGGGGGCCGTGGCGGCATGCCTCCGCAGATGATGTACAACTTTGGCCAGCAGCAGGGCCTCCATCAACACCACACGCACCCCCAGCAGCAACATCATCAGAACCTTCAGCAGGACCATGCAGGCCACAGTGGTGGCTCCAGTGCTCTCAACCACTCGGGCTTTTCCTCAGGCATCATATCCAATGTCACACCATTCACACCTAGCAGTCATCAGAATGGAAACACCCCGGGCTCGCGTGCTGGACCGGTTCAGCACACGTGTGAGAATTGGAACGAGCAGTTGAAATCCCACAAGGAGTCCGAGCGTGCACACCAGACCATGACCGAACAATTCCAGCCACATTTCTTCGCCAGGCTACGGTCAAATGAGAATAAGGGCCTCATGCCGGCCTTGTCGAATAGCAATGCGGCTGAATCATCGGTAGATGGAGATTTGGAGGATAGGGGGAATCGCCCCGTTAATGTCGATAAGGCGTGGGACAGACAAGACTGGCTGAACATTGACTTCAGTGGCCAGGGCCTCAAGAATGTCTCTGCTATGCTCTTTGACCACTACGCCTTCATCACCGAACTCTATCTTGCTTCCAACAATCTAACCTCTCTTCCCAATACCATTGGACAGTTGCGATCGCTAAGGTTGCTGGATCTCTCCCATAACCAGCTCAGTGAACTACCTGCAGAGCTGGGCATGTGCACTCCTCTCCGTCAGCTGCTATTCTACGACAACCATATCCAGGACATACCCGATGAGCTTGGTGCCTTGCATTTCTTAGAGCTACTCGGGGTTCAGGGCAACCCCCTGAGGAATGACTATAAGACGAAACTCATTGAGGATGGCACCAAGGAACTGATCAGCCACCTCAAAGAGAATGCGCCAGGTATGTCAGAATCAGGGGTCTCAACGTATACCCATTGTACTGCTCGCCTTGAATGGGTGTTCGAAACATTTGTGAGTTGGGACTGCTAAGCTGACACTGCTGCTTTAGTCCCTATGCCCCCTAACCCAAGGATGCCTATCACGATTCAAGAGGACGTGGGGTCAGATAAGGAGCGGATTCGAGTGCTATCGTGGAACACCCTGTGTGACAAGTATGCCACCAGTACACAATATGGATATACCCCGTCCAGCGCATTATCCTGGGAGTACCGGAGGGACAGTATTCTCCGGGAATTCCTCGAGAGAGACCCCGATGTCCTCTGCTTGCAGGAGACTGCCATGGATGCCTTCGAGACATTTTTCGCGCCGGAACTCTCCAAGCGCGGTTATCGGGGAGTATTCTACCCGAAAACCCGTGTCAAGCACATGACAGGCAAGGACCAACAAGCCGTCGATGGATGTTCCATCTTCTTCAAGAGCGACAAGTACATCATGTTGGACAAGCAGCTAGTGGACTTCAGACAAACAGCCATCAACCGCCCAGACATGAAGTCGGCAGATGACGTCTTCAACCGAGTCATGCCCAAGGACACTATTGCTGTCTACTGCTTCTTCGAGTCGCGATTCACGGGCAACCGATTCATCGTCGTGAACGCACATCTGTGCTGGGAATCGTACCTGGCTGATGTAAAAGCAGTGCAGACGGGGATTCTGTTGGAACTGGTTACTAAACAGTCCGAGAGGTACACCAGGAGGCCGCCCATGACGTTGGAAGAGAAGAAAATACTCCGGCCTAGTATTCCGGAAGACGCAGGGGGTATACCTCTATCGGAATATCCCGATCCAGCACCCAGTCAGGAGTACAGGAACAACACGGATATCCCCCTATTCGTGTGTGGCGACTACAATTCCATGGCTGATAGCTCTGTTTATGAGCTGCTCGAAAAGGGCCGGATACCACCCGATCATCCGGATTTGGTCGGACATTCCTACGGAAACTTCACACGGGACGGCATTGAACATCCCTTCAGCTTGCGAAACTCATATGCCCACCTCTTCGGAAGCCAAGACGAGCTATCATTCACCAATTACACGCCCACATTCTCGGGTGTCATCGATTATATCTGGTACACTACCAATACACTAGATGTCGTTGAGCTACTTGGCCCACCGGACTCGGAATACCTGAAGAAAGTGCCGGGATTTCCGAATTACCACTTCCCAGCTGATCACATCCAGATCATGGGCGAGTTCGTCTTCAAGTCTCGGAAAGACAAGAAAGCTGTTGAACATCAGGAACGGCCAGGTGGCTCTTCTAGGAATTAGTAGACGATGGACGAGTGAAATCTTTCTCCTCGGGTTTCGCAGTGCCCCTTTCGCTGCATATCTATGGTATTCCACAGAAGCGAGCATAGGTTCTAGTAGCGCCTCTTCGGAACGGTCCTGGCTCATTAAACCCCGGGCCACATGTATATGAAGGAATGAAGGGATGCAGCGAATCTTTTCTCATACTCTGAGGATGGTCTTGGCACGACACCTGGGTTGGAAATCTGCGGATGGCGACTGCAAAGTGGAGTGGAAACGGTTCTTTACTCGATTTGATTCCTTTTCCCGCTTCTGCCTTTTTTGTGGTCTTTTCAATGTGCTTGGCGCTCCAAGTATCTTGTACGTGTAGCTTCCAATTCAAGCCCCCAAATACAATAACTGCGCCCGCAGTTGATTGACTTCTACAATTCCGTCTTCTGGCCTGCCGCGTGTGTTCTCCGCGTGAGGATCTAATGTAAGTGACATGACGATCGCCTTTTTCGATTGCCAGTCATTCGTGCACTGCTCTCAGGGTCAAGGCTTGTTCCCATCTGGAAGACGCCCAAGGTGAAAAGAGAAGTCTACATGAACATACTCAATGTCAAACGCACAGAATGCCCTAAAGGGTAGCAATTTTATAGGAGAGCCGGTCATAGCCAGAGATCACTGATACACGGATCAATACTCTGCTTTATCGGTTGCCTGTAAGATTATTTCTTTTCATATACGTCCTAGAATCTTCATCCTTCTCCGCCATCAATACATTTCTCTCTCCAGGCTCTCTCCCTCTCTCGACCAACATACGGCAAACCTAGTAAGCCTTGACGGCATTATCCTTGAGCTCAACCACGGGCGCGACCTCCTCGCCATCATCCTCAGTCATGCCGCCAAGCAGCATGGACGCGGGCGCAAGGGCCTGCATCTCAGGCGGGCTGGTGAAGGCAAAGAACTTCTCGTCGTGCCACTGGCCGGCCGTGATGTAGCGGCCCTCGGAATCGGTGAACATGGCGTCGTCCTCGGCGCGCAGGAAGTACGCGATCGAGTAGCGGTGCTCGGCTGGGTGCAAAGGTACCACGCGGTGGATGCACGACTGCATGGTATGCCCCGACGCGAACCGCAGCGAGTCGCCCACGTTGACGACGGCGCAGCCTGCCCGCGGCTCCACGAACCCGAACTCCCGCGCGCCCGGCGGCCGGATCTGCAAGCCCCATTGCTCGCTGAAGAGTAGCGTTAGGGAGCTGATGTCCGTGTGCTTCTGGTGCCCGATGTTGCGGTCCTTGGATGAGTCTGATGGGATGTAGTGCATCATGGCGAGCGTCGACGTCGAGGGCCGGTCGTTGCGGTGCGAGTTCTCGAAGCGCGCGGCGCCGGACAGGCCGCAGCCGGTGGAGAGCGCTGACAGGATCGCCTTGGTGGCGATGTTGGAGCCCGCGATGGCGTTCTCGAGGACCTTCATGTCCGGGCTGTTCTTGATCACGGCTGGTAGGTGCGGGCTGGAACGTTGGATCTCGTCGCGGGATACCTGTATGGTTTAGCAGTTAACCGTACTCGGGCATTGGGGTGATGTGTGTCTGACCTTGATCATCTCGTAGCCATCCTTGGTGTTCTCAAGGACACCCGTGCGCGAGCCAACAGGCTCGTAGCTGTTCCGATACAGTACCATCAGCAAAGGAGCTGTCAAGTCAAGACACAGATAACTACATACCCGAGATGCGGCGCAATGAGACCATACTCGTTCTTGGCCTCCAGCGGCGCCTCGAAGAAGCGGTGCATCAGCTTCAGGGTCTCCTGCTGGTCGTCGAGGAACCGGCGGCCGTCGATGTTGTTCAGGTCCAGGTAGAAGAAGCCCTGCTTCTGGCAGCAGCGGACTAGCCGCTCGACCTCGGCGGGCTCCTGCGAGAGCAGCAGGCTGAAGTCTATGGTCGCCATGGCGTAGACGGGGACTTTGGTGTTGTTCCACTCCACGCTCTGTGGGATTTCTGGTGAGATGGCCATTTTGGATGAGTTTTTAATTGATGATACTGAGGATAGAGGATGAAGGTCAGGCTCGGTACGTGGGAAGTACGGAGTCAGATACTTCACTACTACTACTACCTGCTGGCCTTCGATCGTTCTCTGTTTTATAGACCGTCATCATGTCAAGTCAACCGCGGAACCCGATCCTCCACCACATTAGGGGAGTCTGGTAATACTGCCCCCTCACCCCACGCATCGTGTTCGATCGATGGCGCCTTGTCACTCTGAGCCACCAAAACGTAGCGTAGTGTTACAGCCAGATAGCTGTGGCAGTTCAGCCAGATTGAAGACTGGGCGAGGGGAGCCGGGAGTACACACATGTGTCATGATGATGTCTGGGGTGCACATGGATAAATACACAATACCAAGACCGGCAGATGCTTGTCGTGGTTATCTGGAACTATATGATGCTGTGCTATTGAAGCACCGTGCCCATCGATGATCTGGCATAGTACCATTGATTGGGACTCCGCACTTGGCATGGCTACAGTTCTCTGGTCTGTTGCCATTTGGATGACGATGGCTTCATCTAACCGGCATGGATTGCGGCAAAGACGGCATATGTCATGACTCCCCTCACCACTTTGGGATAGATAGGAGGACTCCTTGGCTTCATGAGGCAGTTCATCTTGGAGACTAAGGGGAGGGGATGGATGGCCCAGGGGCGAATTCGTGGCGCCTGCCCCAAGTTCGGCTTGTAGGAAGGTCTGCCATTTCGCTGGCTACACGGCCGTTCTTGTTCATCACCGTGTACCGGCATTCGCTCCAATATACTCGCCATTGGAAGAGTACCGTTCCGCACTCCTCGTGTGCCAGATTCCATTCCAGGGATTGATCCGGATCTTGTTAGGTTCGATCTCGTCACCATATGTCGTTTGTCTCTCCTTGTTGTACCTCGAGTGACGTGGGCTGGTCCCATACTCAGTTCGTACTCTTGATTACGTAGAATACCGTAAATACGAGACACATATACCTATATGGTTCACAATGAAAGGAGTTGATATAAATACAACGCGTACATCATATCTGTGCACGTACGATTCGCGCAGCATTGCCACAACGGTATGGCCTGACTTGTATGGCCTAACTCGTATGGACCTCAGGCTGAATCACAGCAAGGAAAGTACATGTTGAATGACATAACGCTTCTGGATCTCAGCCACCATACTATCGTACCCAGTTGGATATATCTAGCCACGTAAATCTGTCCGTAGAGATCCACGGTGTCGATGAAAATCCCCAACGCATCAACCTTATAACTTCCGTGCCGCTCACATCGCATTTTCTCGTTCAGCTGGAGGATAGTGTGATCGAGACACCTACGTTCGTATTCTGCGATAAAGAAGAGATCGGCCTTCATGGCCTTCTCATCATCGATACCATACTGCACTTCATTCTCATTGCTTGCATCCTTCCTCGCATGACCGGTCTCATGGAATTCGGGGAAGTTAAGGCTGTTGAGGTTCCCTTCCTTCAGATCTCGCGCAGTCGAGCCGTAGTCATTGTACAGTCGACACAAGCTGGCAGGATGTCTGCTGAGGGCGTTGGCTAGATAATGCTGACGCGCGCCGACGAAGAACGGCTGACCATCGTCTGCCGCGAGGCATGAAAAGAGTAGAAAGATGACAGGGGACTGTGTATCGTTGGCAGATGTGGTTTGTACCCAGGAGTAGTACGTCCCTTCGATGGGCTTGTAAGGGACAATCTTCGGCTTTCCCTCTCTGCTAAGGGGTTGCTTTGCTCGTTGGGCTGCGAAACGGAGGCTGTCCTCTTCGTGATCTATGTGTGCAAGCATACAACGAGCAAGCTCACTGTGAAGCTCTTTGTGAATGTGGTTGGGTGATTTAACGACGCTTGAGTGCTGGAGGATGTACGACGTGAAACCACGCAACGTGGCTGTCACTTGTTCCAGTGGGAGACACGGTGACGCGCCATCGCTGGAAGTGCCATCCACCTCCTCCATCCTCGCAATGGATAAGCGGTCGAAGTAGTTCAGGTGATGGTCACTTGTCCATCGACGCCATAGTTGATTCTATTGATGACGTCAAAATCAGGACTGCGCTGATCAACGGAGGCGCGTACAGTTATGCGCTCCAGGTCAGGGACTTGACGGGTCGAACACTCGAGCAGACGATCGAGGTATACAGGAAGCACTACGCGTTGTTTGGCTCGTGGGCGTCGCCTTTGCGTTGGTCGGCTTTCTTTTGGTGTTCGTTGAGAAGCATGTCGATATGCGCACAACACTTGAAACTGATTTTGGACTAGAAGAGGCGAAAGACCAGAATCTCGCCCAGGGCAGCAAGATATGAGTTGTAGAGTCGGAAGGGAAGGGCCGCAGTACATGTGTAGATAAGGTAGGTAGCTACCTAGTGTCATAATTCTAGGATGGCTACCACCTACAGTACGTACCTCTGATCGAGCATGTGATTCGTAACACAGATTTGTGCCGTAGTGTTGAATGGGAGCAGGGAATAGATACCGGAAGATCTCCAGTGGGGCAGAGACGCACAGGGCATCTGACCCACCAAGAAGACAGATGATCAATCTCTGTAGGCTGAAGAACGAGAGCAGAACAAGAAGAAGAACAGAACACACTTGACAACCTGAACAATCTGAACTCGCTTGCATCTAACACGTAGAATTTGTGCAGATAGGTTCCAAGTCCCGGTGTCTAGCGCGAGTGGCTTGCGTGGGGAATACGGATCTAGCAGCCTCACATACTTTTCGCACGCAAGCCACTCGCGCTAGACACGGGGACTTGGAACCTATCTGCACAAGTCCTACGGTATGCTTTATACCGGATGTATGCATATCTAGGTAGCACGTGACCTGCTTGGATGGTAGACCCACATGGCAGTCTTCAAGGCGGCTCGCGATGACAGCTTCACATCTTCCCGACTACAGTTCCAATTGGAGAAGAGCCGCGTAGACCCAGACGAGCAGGATGCTCTCTCGAGATGATCTGCCGACCTCGAATTACGACAGCCAACCTCCTTAGCCAGCCCGGCATTCGAGCAGTCCTAATCCTGTCAACGCTCGTGTTGCTCTACGCGACGTACGGATACCTGCGCTTCTACCGCGACCCGTTGTCCGTCTTCTTCTCGGAGGAACATGGCTTCGACCGAACCTACTCCAAGACGCGCCAGGCCGAAGCCGACCTGTTCCTCGATGCAGCCAAGGCCGATCCAGCTTCGAGCCGCGCCCGCCTTGGCAAGGCGAGGAGCCAACCCGAGATGTGCGCCGTTTTCATCACGGTAGGGAGGGACGTCGAGGGACGACAATACATCGACAGCGCTGTGGGGTCCTTCCTTGCGAACATGTCTAGAGCAGAGAGGGAGGCTATACATCTGAAGCTGTTCTTTGCCGACGTTCCGAATCCTGAAACCCAGCACAAGAGCTACGCGAGTCTCGTGGACGCTGATGTTGCCGATGATATCTTGACCTACCCCGCGACGCTTCCCGGGAATGTCAAAGAAAGCAAGATGAAGACCCTGATGGCATGGGCTAGCGATCGACAAAACAAGCACGCGCTGGAACGGAAGACGGTGTACGATTACGCGTATGCTCTCAGCCAGTGCGTATCAACGACCAATGCGCCGTACATCGCTATTTTCGAAGGGGATATCCTTCTTGCCGACGGATGGGCGGCGAGAACGCTCAAGAATCTACATACTATCGATACCATGATGAAAGACCCATCCCGACATGAACCCCAACGCGGTCAAGTCGAGCCGGGAGGACCGAACAGCTGGTTTTACCTGCGAATGTTCAACCAGGAGCGAAGTACTGGGTGGTCGGGCGGGTACGGGTTCCGGAGCAACAACGTCCACATTATCTCGCTCGCGGTCGGGGTCCCCTTGTTCCTCATATTGCTTCTGGCCCGGCGGTTTGTGCTACCACGTCACGTTGCCCGTCACCTGGATGGCTGGGTTCTATTCCTGGTCTGCGCGATTGCGGTACCGCTATTCATATGGCTCTTCTATGCCTCAGGCAAGGCCTCTCTTCTAGGTGCGCCCCGGGGTGTCCGCGAAGAGTTCTTCGGCTGCTGCAACCAGGCATTGGTCTACAACAGGGCGCACGCGCAGGATTTATCCGACTTCCTCATGGCCGCGACGACTCACGACAGACCGGGGAGGAGTGACATGCTGCCCAAGGACTTTGCGTGGAATCACGGCCTGGCACGAATCAGTGCCTACCCGATGCTGGCTCAGCACGCTGGTAGAGTCAGTGCTATTGACACGAGCAACGATGAAGCGAAACGCGTGTGGAGTATGGCGTTCGAGAGTTTCAACCCGTCACAGCTGGCCCGTGACCATATACGGGATGTCAGAGAGCTATACGGCGACGCTGCGGCTTTGGATATGGAAACCCGCGACCAGAGCATGTACATGTAACTCTGTATAGACTAAAAGTGACTCAAGCTCGGAAACATTGTCCATGTCGGCCCTTGTCTTATAGGCTTGGTCTTCTCGTCTGATTATCTTCTTCCCGGTTGTGACTCACTGAGTGCTGGGTCGAGATAGCACCTCCATTCACTGAAGCGGTGGGAATATTCTGCTTGCAATTCCGTCAAGTCAGCGCTTCTAGTCACCGCCAGGTATATGATTTGCAGAAGAACCTGTGGTCATAATTCGTAGCAGCAGAATGAGGGCGCATCGTAAGTCGCTTAGGCCAAGGGCGCTCCTGGGCATCAGCCTATATAACGGACCCACGATCACCTCCGAACATAAGTTGCCTCGCATCATAACGCAGAACCAAATCTTACGAGCATCACCAAACCACGTCAGCAGGATCACTGATATAGCATCATCAAAACCCGTCCCCTTCGACTATTCACTATGGGATCGATCTCACGCCTCTTGTTGGTGCTGTCGGCACTTATATTGGTGCTGACAGCGACGCCAGTAGCACGTAACAACTGCCTTGAGTTTGCACTACTGAGGAGCTACCCCCACGTTAAATACAAAACAAACAAAAAACAAACAACTGCCTTGTCTCAGCAGACCCAGCCCCTCTCCATGGCTTCTACTATACGTGTCATTCATAGCATGTGGAGCCAGCCTCAACAACACGGCTCTCAATCTTGTGGCGAATTGCGAGAACGGGCGGTACAAGAACCAAAGCGAGCCGGAGAACATGATCTGTACAACGTTGGACTTGAATCAGTAAGTGCATCAATATCAATCCGATCCAGGTCTTTCTCGCATCCCAATCATCAAAGGGCACAATAGCGACGAGACTCCACGACCAGAGAGGTTGGAATGCATATTTAGAGGCTGACATAGCTGCAGCTGCTTCAAGAATATCAAGGGCAAACTAGTGGGCTGGATGGCGGATATTGCGATACACCCACGTTCTACCCTTCAGGCTGTTTTGCAGCCGGTCTGCTTGTTGATGCAAATCGCTCAATAGCCACAAAAAATACATTGCTCCAAGCAGAGTGCTACGGGGGAGCAGCGGGAGGGTTCGCTCGAACGGTTACTTCCATCGACTTGGGTAGGTACCAAATCTTCTTCTCCGTACACAATACACATTGAGGTATCTGGCTAATACAGATTTGTACACAGGGCTATACATTTCAAACTGGAATGGTCATCTCGAATGCGACCAAGACGGAACCTCAATTGTGGGAGAGGTGACAACAAAATGTCGTCATTAAGGACTGAATGCATTGAAATCGAGGGCGGTGGATCATACATCATACACACCATGATGTGAGAGAGCTATCTGGCGATCTTAGACAAAAGATTCCTCTGGGACGATGGGTATTTGCTCTGGGCACATTCACCTGCGAGTCAAATTCCAATAGCTGAAGCTGTGACCCAAGCTTGTATGAGACGCCCCTGGATGACCTGCATGAAACTAGTAGCTATCATGGCATCTGGTATCGAGCGACTCATACACAGGAACATTCACTTGTCGAATGGTCATACTAGTTCTCATTCACAAGTGAGTTCGCCAGTATTAACGTCTATATAGTAGGCCTTGCTGGCACTCCAAACCCGCCTCGTAGCAAAGCACAAGCTCACGAAATTCATGATACTACTGCCACAAAAGGAGTCCAGATCCATCGACAACATCACAGCGAGACGAGATACATTCTAGAGTGTCTTGCCCTACCCCGAGAGGACCCAACAGCAACTAGCGATGTCACCCGCACCACAAACACTACCCGTGCTCCCAGCACTCCTGCCCCCCGCAGACACAGTGCACGCCCCTTTCATCGGCTTCAACGCAACATGTAGCTCATGGCACGTGGAGCCCAGCCTGGACAACGCTTCCATCAACCTTGTGGCGAAATGCGGCAGTGGATCGGGGGACCTATGTACCTCATTGGATTTGAATCTGTCAGTGCAGGGAGCCCGAGCATATTGGCACAAGCCCAGTAAAGCTGATATACCTTGGCAGATGCTTTCACTACAACGGCGGACTCCTCCACCCATTGGACCCAGTAGCTGCCGCTGCTTCGAATTACAGCAAATTCTACCTTACGATATGCCCTTCGGTACTGCTGGTACCTGATGCAGATCAGCAAGAGACTCGGAACAACACGGTACTGCAGACGGTATGCCACGACACAAAGGATTCGGGGATGATGGCAGGTTCGATCGACTTGGGTATGCAGCCTATCTATTCACTTCTTAGAAAAACAACACGAGGCTTTGCTGACGCGAGGACACACGCAGGGCTGTACATCTCAGATTGGAACGGCCAGGTTGGCTGCAATTCAGGCGCAAACTCGGTCAACGGAAAGTCCTCTACCAACTGCCACTGAGCTTCAATTGCCATGGTTTGAAGAAAGAGGAAGCGCCGGCAAGCGGGTGCGGGGTCATGACTGGCTGTGTACCTAGATTTTGGTTTTTGTAATTTACCCATTCTTGTTGTTACTCTCGTGTAGTCCTCTTTGAGGAGTTGACAGGTTGGCAGATGCTTGCGGTCTAGTTTTGAATTCTTTGCAGATGTGTCTGTCGTTGTTCCCCAGTTGGTTTTAAGCAATGTAGACTAAGAGCTACGGATTGAACTTCTGGAATTGCCGAATCCGGAAAGCCTTGGCGAATTGTGAGCTATCTAACCCTTGGAGGTCTTTGATGGTTTGTATAGATGATGGGACAATGTGATACTGGTATATCAATCATTGGTAGCAAGACTGCTCGTAACTAACACAACAATCCCACAACGCCTGAGGGTCAGCGCGTACACCCATAACTTTCAAATAAATCGGGTTCCATCAACTCAAGAAGCACAATATGTCATGTCTAGATCTCACCCCAGAGCTGTCAGCCCTTGTCAGGAGGATTTCGGACCACTACGACTCTGGAGCACCGCTTTTCGACAAGCAAACACTGCTCGATCTCGAAAGGCAGCTCGACGAACACCCCGAGTACGTCTCTATTCAACCGTTCAACGGTGGACCGAAGTGGCGGGTATTCGACTCCCTTCATCCGGGTGAGGGCTCTGAGGGGTGAGTCCTGTGTATCACTTGCGTTGCCTTACCTAATGTCAGTGTAGTGAAGAAATAGCCCGAACGATAAGAATCGTGGGCCACAGAGACCTTTTCCCTTACGATGACGATGTGCGCCATCCCAAACTCCTCTTCGACCCCCGTTGGGCTTTCTGGACCTAGGAGCCCGAGTTCCAGACTCCCTGTGAGTAGCATACCGGTTGTAGGGAACCTCTTGTGTTCTCACGTGAACCGGGCCTATATTTCTCTGCTACCCGGGGAGACAACTTCCCGACCCAACCGCCGACTCCCACCACTACTCATTTTCCTTCTTGCGTTCTTCGGATGACTCTTACTGAGTTTATTACTGACCATGTCATCCTTAGTCACGAACCTTGCCTGGGCACAAGACGGAACTCGACAGGAAAAAGTCACCGCCCTACTGACGCAATAGGACAATTTCCGCAAATCCCAAAAGTTCGAGGAGCTTGGCAATGCGATCTACGGTATCTATGCGTTTAACTCAAATGCGAGAAATATAAGGAAAATCGTCTGCTTGGCTTGGGCGGTTTTGCAGCACCTTATGCATCTGAGGCCGCTGCTCGTGACGGGCAGGCGCAGTTCGACAAGACAACGCAACACGCGGCGGCAATGCTAATGCGTGAAACACTCATGGAAATAACCGGAGCCTTGGATAAATTTAGTTATATCTTTAGTAATATTTATATTATTTGATTTTAGCAGTAATCAATTTCAGTTTGTACAAGAACGTTATGATATGAACTTATTTGATGTTTATTTAGGGGTAGATGGAATATCCATATATTTTATATTGTTAACTACAATAATAATGCCTATAGCAATATTATCTAACTGAAATTCAATAACTGAAAATGTTAAATCTTATTTAATAATTATGTTATTACTAGAAACATTATTGTTAGCAGTTTTTTTAGTATTAGACATTTTGTTGGAACAGGCTTGAACGATCAATCATAATACTCGAGTATGGGGTCAAGGTCATGATATTGCTAATGGTTGGATTGAGAGGAATCTAGCTGGACTTGAAGGTCTGGCCAAGTGCCCTCTCAATCCACTATCTTATCTTATCTAATCATACATGTGGGTCCTGGTATAGATGGTTTGCAGTCTGGAATCGCATAGATCCAACACATTTTATTATTCTATATATTTTTTGAAAGTATACTACCCCCTTTATTTTTATTGATAGGTTTATTTGGATCTAGTAATAAAGTAAGAGCTAGTTTTTATTTATTCTTATATACATTATTAGGTCTTTGTTTTTATTATTATCTATTTTAACTATGTCTTCTATAATGTGAACTACTGATTTCGATGCTTTATTTAAAACAAATTTTGATTATACTACACAAGTATTCTTATTCTGTGGAATATTTATAGCATTTGCAGTAAAAACTCCTACTATATTTTTAAATAACTGATTATTAAAAGCTCATGTAGAATCCCCTTTAGGTGGAAGTATTATCTTAGCGGGTATTGTTTTAAAATTAAGTTTATAGGGTATATTTAGATTTATTTTACCTATATTACCTAAAGCATCTTTAGATTATAAATTTATAGTATTTGTGATAGGTGTAATAACAATAATATATGCTAGTTTTAGTACATTAAGAACTACAGATATTAAAGAGTTAATAGCTTATAGTTCAGTATCTCATGCTGCTGTTTACTTGATAGGAGTATTTAGTAATACAATACAGGGAATAGAAGGAGGAATACTTCTAGGTTTAGCTCATGGATTTGTATCTAGTGGTTTATTTATATGTGCAGGGGGTGTATTATATGATAGATCTGGAACTAGATTAATACATTATTATAAAGGTATAACTCAAATGATACCTTTATTTTCTATATTATTTTTTATTTTATCTTTAGGTAACTGTGGAGCTCCTTTAACTTTAAATTTTGTAGGTGAATTTATGTCTCTTTATGGAGTATTTGAAAGATTACCTATTCTAGGTGTATTTGCTAGTTCTTCTATAGTATTTTCTGCTGCTTATACTATATATATGTTTAACCGTATAGTATTTGGTGGATCATTTACTAGATTCTTTGAAGAAATTATAAGTGATCTTACTAAAAGAGAATTATTTTTATTATTTACATTAGTAGCCTTTACTGTTCTTCTTGGTATATATCCTTCTACTATTTTAGATAGACTACACTATTCAGCCACAAATTTAATATATAAATATAATTTATTGGTTTAGTACCATTTAATAATACGGTGGTTATAGTTTACTCTGGAAAAAAAAAATATATAGTTATTTCCTTAATTAAAATATTTTCGTTTTATAATAAACGCTAATACTTATTAAATAGTATTTAATAACACGATTATTATTAATATGCCTCAATTAACACCATTTTATTTTGTAAATGAAGTAACTTTTGCTTTTGTTATAATTATAATAACAATATATATGTTATCTAAATACATATTACCTAGATTTGTTCGTTTATTTTTAGCTCGTACTTTTATATCTAAATTATTTAATTAATACTTATACTACATGAAGTAGTATATTTTTAAAATATTATATTAAATATAAATTAAATTTATCAAGATTTACGTTTCAATTATTAATATTAATTAAAACGAGAATTTGCTGTTGGTCCCGCTGGATTCGGTGGATGGCGTCGCTATTTTCAGCGGCTCCAGCAGTGATTGTGGGAGTCAGAATTTGTGTACCAGTCAAGTCATATATACTTTACTAGGCTCTCGGCGCGCCCAAACATGCCATCATGTCTTGTGCGTGTTCTTGGCTTGGCACATGAGCCATTTCTGGCTCCAGTATGTCCGTCCCATTTCCTGAACCCTTCCTCCGGTTCTCTCCCTTTGCCACACTTCCACGCCTACTCTGGATCTCAGGACCAGGACCCACCCAGGATGGCAGCATTGATTCATAAATGACTGTACTGCCATCTATCTCTCTTCTTTCAAACTGAGCAATAGTCATAGCTACAATATCGTTCAAAGTGCTTGCCTCCTCGTCACCATGACCACTCCAACTTTACATACCTCTACAGACCAAAATGCGGATTTCCTTAAGCGCTTCTCTTCCTTCGAAAACAAGAAAAGGCAACATCCGAAGCCTCTGTCGGTTGAGGAGCACGTTCAGTTTTGCACGCGTGCCAAGTCTGTCAAGTACGTCAGACCAAAGCTATCGGAGGGAACAGAGATCAACATTGGCGGGATACTGGACAAGTGGAAACGGTATGCCCTACAGAAACCTTCACTTTTCAAACCTTTACTTCCCGTTTTTAGCTGATCCACGTTTCAGTTTCTGTAAAGAGCTTCTGAAGACAGAAGACTGGCGGACAGTCATCAAGACGATAGAGGTGTCGACTATTATAGATTTCTGCCTACACATATGCGAATCGGACAGAATAAAGGCTCAAGAGTCATTAAAGCAGTATTTTCGGCGATTCCAACAGTTATACACTTCGCAAACCGGGAACTTCATGAACCGTAATGATTCTCATTTGGTCTACACGGTTAGTAATTATATCAATCCAGAGCATGCTCTAATGACTGACTAGTTCATAGTATATGCATGCCGTTCTTGTTCCACTGTACCGCCTCCGTCCTCCCAACACCAACAAACCAGTTCTAGGGGTGGAGGCACTTTGTTCTATCCTGACTTTCAACATCGCCTATGATCTAGCCATTCAACCTCTTAAAAGGCAACGTGTCCAACTATCAGGCTGTTACCAACTCCTTTGCTACACAGGCGTGCGGCCGGCTGAGCTCGTCTGCAACGAGCGAAAAAAGCCTAAAGACGGCACGGTGGAAGAAATCTTTGGTGTAAATGGAGTTTTATCCATTTGCACTGATTCTCGCCTTATAAACAGCACTAGGCAGGGGGAACTTGACAAGAGCGAAGTCAAAGAGATTACAGATGATGGCGAAGGAGAGGTAGGGGTGAGCAAGAACAGAGGAGAGCAGCAAGGTAAGGATCAAGAGTTGTTGGTCCTTTCCTGGCTGCTATTACAAGAGATAGTTGAACGTGGAAGACCAAAGGCCCTTTGCTACGAAGACATTCTGCTGATAATAGTGCGTCACCCAGAGTCTGGTTGACCGATCCCGGCGATGGCTATCAAATTCGTCCATCACAAAGGGTACAACAATAAACCAAGACTGTAAGTTGAGTTAAGGGATTCCTCCTTCATGATAATATTAACTGGAATTTGGTATTAATAAGTCTCTAGTACTATCTTCTACTTTATTACAACAAGAAAATTGATCTTCTGTCCAGTGAGCCTGATGATTGGTATAGCTCTTGATAATTGCGCTTTTGACGCTCCAAGCTTAGTTAATGCCTCAAGTATGATGAAGGTAAAACCATGGGGGCCCATGCAATGCATACCACTGCGATGGAAAGAGTCAATGCGGAGGAAAGCCGTGTTCTGACGTATTAAGGGTGCAGAACTTTCAAATGACAAGGCCATGGCTTATGCTAAGCTCCGTGATAATATGGGTGAGCAGAGTCTCAATGCCGGGTTCGAGGAGCGATGGACTCCGAAGTTCTGCCGGAGAGGCGCAGGCAATGCTGTGAATGGTACGTGCAAGCTACCTTCGATTATGACAGACATTCTAATCACAGATTACCTAGGCGATGCACCGGATTCGATCCAGGATCAGATGATACGTCATGATCCCAAGTTTGCTACCTTTCACAGTGCTTACCAAAATCACAACCTTTAATTCGACAGCCAGAATGCATTCCTGGAGGAGGAAAAACAGGTCCAGCTATTTAAACTCTTCGCCCACGTCAGTATCTCGCGGGATCCTCGCGCAGTGAGAGACATGGTTCCTGAGGATGTATAGAGTAATCTCCCACCAGACCCCGAGATCAGCGAACTCGAAGCGCTACGTACCGAACTCAAGGGCGGCCAGCATCGACTTGTCGGTAACAAGTATGAAGCCAAGATCCGCCAGCTTACCTATACCATCTCCTTGAAGCATACAAATTGTGATAAGCTCGTTGTCAAGAAATATTGCGAAGACTACTTCTATAATGGTCTTACCCGGGACATTGAGCGGCAAGCCTGTGGGGAAGAGGAAGATGAATACGTAGAGCCGAAGCTGGATCTGGACATCCCTGAACGCGCTCGACTGGCAGAGCTGCTGTGCCATCAACAAGAGCATTGGAGCGAAGAACGGATCTCGGAAGCTCGAGTTGAGGTTATTGACCTATACGCAGCTCTTTATAAGAAAAGAGAGACGGTCAAAGGAAAGCTGATCCGTGCAAAACAGGGTGATGCACTAGCTCAGCCTAAGCCTGCATCACCACAACAATTGCCTTTGGTTCTAAAGTTGAATCAGTGTCCGGACTGCATAGGGGATGAGAGAATCTCTCACGAGGAGCGTTCTTACAAATACTGCCGTGATACCGTTAGGAATGACCATTTTGATGATCAGCACCTGCCAGTTCGTGAGCGTGCGGCTTTGCGTGGAGAGCTTCAGGTTTGCAGACATCCAGATTGCATCAAGGCCGGGGTCAAATTAGGTAGTTTGAATGAGTTCAGAAACCATGTACAGAAGGTTCACAATGTGCCTCTTCGATCTGCTGATCAGGCACAAGCCCGGCGGATGCGGAAAGCACGGGCTAAAAATCAGGCATGTCAAAGAGTTTCTAGCTAGATGAACTATATGAGCGTATATTATTTCAAATCGCCCGATGGGCTGGCACCAAATCCTTGGGGCACCTATAGCTTTCTTCATGATTGATTTGGGCCTATAAATTTCGTTTGATTATCTATTGCAGACGATTCGGAGCATGTCGCTAATGGAGGCAAGTATTTGCAAAAACAGAATTAACAGGATATATTGCCATTCTGATGACTTGTGGTACGCGCGTCGTATCTGGTGTAGGGGAGGCAGAAACGCATGGCGGGTAGAACCATCGCACTGGCAGAAGAGCCTTGGCTGGCAGAAAGAGCTTAGCGCTGGCAGAAACGCTCGGTTGCTAGAAAGAGCTTAGCGCTGGCAGAAACGCATGGCTGGCAGAAAGTGCTTAGCGCTGCCAGAAACGCTCGACTGTCAGAAACCCTCGGCTAGCAGAAAGAGCTTAGCGCTGCCAGAATAACCTTGGCTGGCAGAAACATATTGTCAGAGGCTACAGGTCTGTAGAAAATGTGCCAAAGATCATCGACACGTATGACGAGGACAGAATTGGATGTCCTGGGACAGAAGTGGAGTGGCTGGCGAGCCTTTGCTGGCCTGTCCCAGGACGTCCAATTCTGTCCCAGGACCACTTCTGTCTCAGGTCCTAGGACGTCCAGTTCCGTCCCAGGACGTCCATCTGTCCCAGGACATCCAATTCTGTCTCAGGACCACTTCTGTCCCAGGACATCCAATTCTGTCCCAGGACCACTTGTGTCCCAGGACGTCCATCTGTCCCAGGACATCCAATTCTGTCCCAGGACATCCAATTCTGTTCCAGGACATCCTGTTCTGTCTCAGGACCACTTCTGTCCCAGGACATCCAGTTCTGTCCCAGGACATCCAATTCTGTCTCAGGACCCACACCACCTACTCCTACTGGGTGGCGCGCTTTCTCGAGGTGGTCACCTGACACCTTCAGGCCCTTGTAATGTGATTTATAGTTGTGCGGATCGACCCTCCAGCCGCAAGCTCCTTTATTTAAGCCATCTAGTGTCTGCTCAACAGACTAGAAGAGCTGAAAAGAGCAAAGCGCAGAGTGGGAGGCTAGCGATGGAGCAGCGTAAAGGGGAGCTGACTATCAGACTATCGCCTCGTCTTCGTTCACCAGGGTAACCTAGGCGGGAGCGATAGCCCCAGCTAGAAAATAGCTTGCGTATCCTATATGAATTTTTTATTTTTTTATACCTTTTACTATCAATTGAACTTGCTTGACAATCCCGCATCTCCTCAAAGCTCTCTGCAGCCACTACTGTTGTGATTCATGATGAATGACTTGGTGAAGACCAACAGACGCCGTCTTTCTTCTTCCGAGCTTCTTCCTCTTTCTTGCGAAGGGCCGCAATCATCCGTCGTTGCCTCTCCTGATTGATTATAGCCCTTGTCTTTATTGCATACTCTTTGGAGAAGGAATAGCCCCTGCTACGAAGATTGAGCCTATGGATGTGGCCATCCTGCATGCCACGTCAGTGTGTCGGCTGCATGTTACGGGTTATGAGCACCCATGTCCAATCCTTCTCAGCCCCCTCTCGACTTCTCTTACGTGACGCCAGTATTAACCCCCCTGATGGTACTATCCCTTGAGCTTCCAACCATCTAAGGGTAGGTACTATGAAAGCTGTCATATCATTCTTTGTTATCACAGGGGTTACGTAAGAACCTACCTGGGGTTCAAACACGACTTTATCATCATCCTCGTCAGGAGGATCTTCCACAGCAAACAGCTGGACTATATGCTCTGCTCCCCTCAACGATTCCAACCTTGGAACTTCATCGATGAGATCCCAGTCCGACCCGATTCCCTGCTTGATCACTACCTGGCGTAGGACGTCGCCGGCCGCGTTGCGCTGGTTGGCAGTGGTTGCAAAGAAGCTCCCCGCCTTCTGGAGAATGGAGACTCTTCAGGTACTCAAATCTGTGCCTTTCGTTGAAATAGTCGGCCAGGTTCCTCGCTCGGTCATTGAGGTCCGTGTAGTGCTTTGTTGATCTGTAAGCCGGGGGGTGAAGCCATTTTGCTATAATTTGCCCGTGGTGGGCGGCGAGATTATGCTAAGACGCAGTTGGTAGACGTGCCTTGGCCTACCTCCGCCTACCTCCGCCACCTGCATACGAGAGAATGAAACAATGGAAAGAAAATTACAATACGTCCGAAGGATAAGGCGTTCAGCATGCTGGAAATTCCACCCACGTCTCTGAGTTCTCGGTAGTTGCAGATCCGGCAACTACTTCGCTGGTCGAGGACCTGTCTGCCATACGTCAAAAGATTGGCATTCTGCCGGGTGAACTGAAGGTGTGTGATGTCTCACACTGTCCCCTCAGTTGGTCCACGGGCATTACAGCTTGATCATGATATCTGACTCGTTGCGTTTGCTATCATGAATGCCTGCATCTATAATTAAGCTTGACTGTGCGTTTAGCCATTGCTAAGCGCCGAATTCTAAGATGCAATCCTATCTGCTGTTCGCAAAGCTAAGAGAGAGTACTGGCAGACTCTAATCAATTCAGCAACTGAGCCAAAGGACCTATACAAAATCGTCTCTTGGCACAAGATATCAGCAGGACTGCGTTCCCCTCCAATCATCATAGGAGACCAAATATTCGAATCACAAGAGACCAAGGCAAATACACTACGCTCAGCCACGCTTGAACAAAGTACCTCAGATAACGATATCATCGACCCCTGGTCTGCTCAGATCATACAACCTAAGCCATACATCCCCCTTGAATACCATGTCGGACTGGAAGAGGCTGAAGGGTGCACTTTAGGAACCAAGAGCAACTCCCCGGGAATAGACACCCTCACAGTACGGATTCTGAAAGCTTGCTGGCCAGTCATTGGTGAACATATCAGAGCCCTTTTCCAGACCTGTCTACAGATTGGACACCACCCTAAACCATTCAAAGCAGCTGAGGTAATGATGATCCCAAAACCAGGAAAGAAAGACTACTCCAATCCCAGGGCCTACAGACCAATATCGCTACTGTCATGTCTTGGCAAAGGCCTAGAACAACTCATCGCGAAAAGAATTACCTGGTTTGTTGTCAAACTTGGGATTCTAGCTCCACAACATTTTGGAGCTCTACCAAAGCGCTCTGCCACTGACCTGGTAGCTGCACTCATACATGATATTGAGCATGCCCTTGACCAAGGCCTTGTTGCAACAGTAGTCACGTCAGATGTGAAAGGGGCCTTTAATGCTGCCCTAAAGGGACGGCTGGTGGTTCGCATGAGAGAACAGGGCTGGCCAGGCTTTCTTATAAGATAGGTCCAGTCATTCATGTCCGAGCGGTCCGCAAGAGTTCGGTTTGAAGGTATTATGACCGATATAAAAGCTCTCACTTGTGGGCTACCACAAGGTTCACCAGCCTCTCCAATCCTTTACATGCTGTATACCAAACCAATCTGTGCCCAACTTGGCATGAAAAGAAGACGCTTTGGATATACAGACGACCTAGCAACTCTCTGTATTGGAAAGAACCTTGAGGAAACAGTTATAGAGGCTTCTGAAAATCCTTATTTACTTAACCAATAGGGACACAATAATGCTATTAAGTTTGACCCCGACAAAACCGAGATCATGCACTTCTCATAGAAAAAGAACTCAGATAACCCTCCAGTCCGCCACGGGACATTGAACAAAATAGCTAAGTATTCTATGCGATGGCTAGGCAGGGCCCAAATCAATTACATTACATCCACGAAGCCACGGATTCGCGTGGATGTAAGGATTTACACCAAATCCACGACATAGTGGTCCACTGAAGCCCCAAATGGATGTAATTGATGGTGGATGTACATATTTTTGGTGGTAAAGCTGAATTCCTCATCTGGGATGGCCCTGACACCCCCATATTCGTGCTAAAGCCGTAATATTTGTCCCTTTGCCCGAAAGGGTGTAATAGCCTCTCGTTCAACTGCTAGCAGTATTCTTCGTCGTCTGCTTCACGTGTCCTTTCGCTAACTGCTATCCACGCAGTTGCCCACTTTGCGAGCTCGTCAGAGGACATCCTTTCGACGTAATCAACTTCATCCTTCTCGT